GCATGCCCCCGCTTTAATCATCCAGCTCGGAGGAAGATCTTCCCCTTTGGCCTTCCTACAGTATTTTACCAAGTCATAGTTTAAGTTAATTTACAGGTTACTCTCGATTTCTAAATAAAATTCCATCAGTTGCTTTTGACTTTACGAACATAGCAGTACGACAAATAAACATTAGATGTCGCTTATTATTATTATTATTAATAAAGTTTATTTTTCTAGATTATTTAGTTTATTAATTTATTTATTCAATGTTATGAAACTAATAGTAATGATTCATTTTAAGAATATACTATTTTTGGCGATTATCACACGGCACCGCGCACCGCCGCGGAGGGCGGTGGCGGTAACGCGGATTTCGCAGCGGTGCACCGCGCGGTAAGGCGGTTTACGCGCCTGTACGCGCGGATGGATTTAACGCGGTTTTGACCAGTTTGATTGCAGACGCTGGCAAGAATGGACGCTGAAGTGGTGGCAGCAATCTGGCTTTTATGGCGCAGAAAGAAAAAAATAAGAAGATACTGGGTTCATCCATTTTTACGAAGCAGAACTCTAAATGGGTCATTCATGTTATTCTATAAAAGTTTGAGAAAATACGAAGATAAATTTTTTAATTATACGCGAATGTCCACTTCTTCATTTGATTATTTGTTAGCAAAAATAAGGAAAGCAATTTCTGGAGTAAATACAAGCATGCGTCCTTGTATTTCGCCGGAAGAAAAGCTTCTTGTGACCTTGAGGTAAGTGAAGAAGAAAATACACATTTTTCCATTTTATATTTTTATTACTTTAAATAATCAGTCTGTCAATTATTCTTGTTATTAAATCTACCTCAGTCTTTTTTGAAGATTTTTTAGATTTTTGTACCTACATCTAATTATAATTAGTAATTTTAATTTCTTATTTAGTAATCAAATCACAGTTATTTTTTCTTTATCACAGGATCAACCACGTATTTATGTGTCTACCTTAAACTAATTAACATAATCACAGCTTTCTATCTTCCGCACAATGAGCATAATTTCTTATTTAGTAATCAAATTACAGTTATTTTTTCTTTATCACAGGATCAATCACGTATTTATGTATCTACCTTAAACTAATTAAAATAATCACAGCTTTCTATCTTCCGCACAATGAGCATAATTTCTTATTTAGTAATCAAATCACAGTAATTTTTTCTTTATCACAGGATCAATCACGTACATATTTATGTATCTACCTTAAACTAATTAACATAATCACAGCTTTCTATCTTCCGTGCAATGAGCACACTATGGTTTTAAAACAGTGATAAAATCTCCGATTCATCAGTAATGTTTGAATTAACTGTGGTGGGTGTTGCTGGTATTGCTTCTATAATATTATCTGCAATTCCGGCAGCAGAGGTCCCTTGCTCGTTTTGCTGGTGCGCATATGATGAAGTATTCGTATAATAACCCTGATTTTGATTATTAGTATAGGACATTGTAGCGTCGCCTGACTCTTTATAATTGTACATTTCATCCTGAGCTTGTGATATGTATCTAATTATATTTATTTTCACGACAGATTTTAATCGATCGGGTACTTTCTTGAAATCAGGCACCAAAGAGAGCATAAACTGTCGGTCAGGATCTTCTTCGTTTTCTTTTTTGTTTATTGAAGTTTTCAGGGTATCGATTAACTCTCGCGTCATTTCTTCAGCAGGATCAGATTTCTTTCTTTTAGTACCTAAGGCTCTGTCTTCATATGGTCCTCCAACTGATTCATTACCTTCCCCGACTGATTCATCGTCTCCTGCAGACAAACTGTTCTGAGTTTTATTTTTTCCAGCGTAAGGTTTTAAAAATAACAATTGATTATAAAATCTATACTGATTATTTTTCTTAGCTCCTGCTCCGCTCTTTATATTTTTTTGTCTTCGACACTCCTTCATGAAGGCGTCTCGAAGGTTTTTCCACTTTATTTGTAGCGAGCGCCCTGTAATAAAAAAATATATTGTTTCAGATACCTGGCCACGGGGTGTTCCTTTACCGATCTGCATTACAGTTATCGACTTGGTATATCAACCATACGAAATATTGTAGAAAAAGTGTGTGATGCATTATGGGATGTAATGAAAATGGAGTGTTTTCCCGAACCTACAACTGAAATGTGGTTAAATGTAGCTGAAGGATTTAAGTCAAGAGCCAATTTTCCTCATGTTTTAGGTGCCTTAGACGGTAAACATGTGCGTGTTATCAAACCATCTCTAACTGGATCGCTGTACTACAATTATAAGCATTATTTTTCCATCTTACTGCTGGCTATTTGTGATTCTAATTACAAATTTATATACGTTGACATAGGTGCTTATGGGAAATGCAGTGATTCTACAGTTTTTCGTGATTCCATTTTTTACCAAAAACTTCAAGATGGAACTCTTAATATACCAAACTCCTCTGCAATTACTGGTATCACCAATTCCGTACCATATTTTTTTATCGGAGATGAAGCTTTCAATATCTCAAACAATGTTCTACGACCCTATGCAGGACATCACTTAAATTACACTAAAAGAGTTTTTAATTATCGCTTGAGCAGGGCACGTAGATATATTGAGTGTGCATTCGGTATTTTAACACATAAATGGCGTATATTTCAACGCCCTTTGAACGTAAACAGAATTTTATCTATAAAAATTATTAAAGCATGTTGTATACTTCATAATTTTGTTAGGGAAAGACATGGCGTTGATTTTAAGGATATTTTATATACAAACAATGAGACGGAGGGAATAGTTAATATACCGATAGACAATAATTGCAGAGGAAGCACAAGTGCTGCAGCGATCCGTAATAATTTAGCTGATTATTTTGTAAATGAGAACCCGCTACCATGGCAAAGTCAATATGCTTAAATTTAAAATAAATATTTTTTTAAAACTTACCGAGTTCTTTCTTTTCTTTGTCAGAAGTTTGTCCTGGCTCCAAATATAAGGTAACAATTTCTTCCCATTGTTTCAGTTTTAGGAGTCTATCACTATATTGTGTGCTTTTCATGTCCCAGATAGCAGAGCGACTTTGAATCTCTGAAATAAACTTTTCGACATCGAAATCCATTTTTAAATTGCGACACGTCTTGCTTCCACGATGTTCCGCGCGGTTATGCGGTGCCACGTGTGTGAGGTGCCGCCCCTCCGCGCTGCCGTCCGCGCGGAGAGGCGGTGGCGGCGAGAGCACCGCTCGACCGCGCGGTCGGGCGGTGAACATGTGTTTAGTATCAACGGATTTAGTAGAGGCTTATGCGACATGAGATCCGCTTCACCGCCTGCCGCGGCGGTGCGCGGTGCCGTGTGATAATCGCCTTTGTGATCGTCTTTTTTACAAACAAGCAATGAAACTTTGTTTACCTCAAACCACAACATGGTCTCAACGATAGTACAGAAGTTTTCACCTTAAAATTATAATCATTGATTTATCATTACACTCATTTCAGTGTAATGAACATTTGCTTTACAACTTTTCAAGGCGCTACCAACTTACAAGGATCACACTCGATGCTGTATGCACCGGTGTCATACTTTATCTTCTGCTTAACATAAGAATGGTAAATAAACCGTATTATTTGAATTACTTTGAACTCGCATTTGTGATTCTACAGTCGGTACCTTACGTTTTTGTAAAGTCAGGAAGTAGTGTTATTCTGTGTATAACAGTCTTCGAAACATAGTAACTAGTTGAACCCCGGAATAAATGTATAATTTCTTTTATAAATTCCTTAGGAAACGTTATTTCGGTTAAGCAGGTCGAACTGAGAAGTTTATTGTGGTGCCTACCACATTTATTCTCATTTCCTAATAAATATGTAACTTATTCGTAGGTTTTATGCCAAATTGAGAATAATATATCTTAAAAGATTTAAAACATGGTTACAAAATCATATATATACGAAAAAAAACTGGAGATCGGGCTGTATGAACTTAATTTACAATGCCGTGGTAATGTTAAAAACAAACAAAAAAATAAACAAAAGATATGGCCTTATGGGCATTGTTCCCTTTGCCTTCCCTGAAATGGAGAACTATAAAAATACTAAATAATTTGATTGGTCAATGGGACATTAACAAAAGAGCTTAACTAAATTTGATAGGTTAGTTATGTGTTACTAAATACTGATTGGTTTATTACAAAATCTTTTGTTTGACATTGACATTTGCATTATTTGGATTTGACAATTCATTGACAGTTTTCTGTATTGCGGAAGAGAAGAAAAGTCGTAATTATAAATAATGTTTTAAAAGTTTATCGAGTCTAGAATTTCCAGCGTTATATTCATGTACAGTTTGATAAAAAGTGATAAATAATATTTTTGAAGTGTTGTGTCCTTTAATCCTGATCAGTGAGTAAATTTTTCTTTGTATGTGTCATACTGTTTAGCAACCTAATATTGCTCCAGCCAGGATCGAGTTTAATTGTTGTCGTATAAACACGTGATTCAAGGTCAGAATTTACACGACATTACAAATAATCAAATTAACCCCTGTTGGATATCCATAAATAGCTGTAAAACATGATATGACTTTGATAAACTTTTGTTTTTACACCTATATAATCATTGATATCGTTCACCAAACAATTTGGTCTGCACATTTGACCCAATATCTGGGTATCTGAGATAGATATGTATGTACAGACGAGTCACACTCACATACTGACTGCTTGAAATTAGGCAACTTACATTCTGAAGCAGTTGTTTATTATAATTTTATTATTATGTTGACCATCCCATGCATTATCTCAGGCATACTTCTTCATTTTGTGTATAAATACAAAATGTCTATGCCTGGTGCAAAAAAATCATACAGAATATTTTGGTTACTACTAATACTTCTGAAAATGTGATTTAAGTAGTGTTGTATGTTTCAGAGATCAAATGAGGCTGTCAACTCATCAACCTATGTTCACTACTGTAGGCATTTATGAGATGTAAACAAACCACCTGGTATATTAGAAGTAATTTTGGTGATGCAGTAGCAGCCCATGATGTTTTTGGTAGTCTCTGGGCTGCTTGGCCTGCTGGCATTTGTCAATGGAAATGTTGTGGTCTTCACATCAGACACCCCACATGTGGTATGTAAACAATATCTTAATACTGTTCTGTCACACTAACATTCATCATCATCATCAACCCATGCTTGTCCACTGCTGGACATAGGTCTCCCATAATGCATGCCACTGCTTCTGATTTTCAAATGGTCCAAACCCTCCTAATGATATGCACAACACTAACATTAATTGTTGCAAATCAAATAATATTAGGTTAGTGAAAACAGACTTTTTTATTTAAACTGCATATGAAATACCTATTTTAAAAGTAAAAAAAAATCGCAAAAATTCTGTGTTAAGTATATAAAAAGAGTTGCAGATGCTGGATCATTGTTTATTTATTAAGAAAATTAAGTTTTCAACAACTCATTCAACATGTTACGTGTTGACAGCTCTAACCAATTGATAACTGAAGTTGTAGACTTGTAAATTAAAATAGATAATATTTTGTAATAGAACTTACTGTACTGGCCACCAATTATTTATAAATACAATTGTAGAATACATACCCTGATTCTTTAGCCAGCATTAGCAATTTTTACATTTGTCATTATAAAAATGATTTTTAATTCACTGTCTAACTTTAGCAAAGTTTTAGCTTGTGTCATAATGGAGTGCTATAAGAAAAAATTATTAGTATTTTTTATTTGTCAATCATCACAGGTTCCCTCTACCATTATATTAAAAAAGTTTATAATAATATTAATTAATATTTGTTATAGTAGAAACAATATTGACTCTGAATTTGATATTCATGATTGAGCTGAGCATAGGATTGCTTTGAATTGGAAAAGTAATGTTGTCTTTGAGTAATCCATGACATTATGTTTGAGACCGACTCAGACATCTTATATTACGAATGATGTAAATGTTTAAAACATTGTAATTTGTGAAACAATATTATACAGGTTTAATCATAGCCCATACTATAAAATTCAGTGTATGATTATTAAATTATATTGCATACCCTGAAAATCATCATTAGTATATTAATATCACCACTACTTAAGTTTTCCCAAAACATACTACACATGCCCAGAATCTATTGGTCAGACTTTGGATTTTATAAACACAATTTGTTGTGGCATTAATTATACATCCTGCCCATTGTCAGATATGAATCATCATTTAATATTTCTCTATACGCCATGCTGTCATTGACTTTGTCACTGCTAATATGCATTGATAAATAGTTCAACACGTAAATGTATACAATGTAGTTATTTTTCTACAGTAAAATACTATTTTTAAACATATGCATTAACACTAATGTTACTTTGTGATAAGACTAATCTGTGCTCATTGATATATTGAAACAGTAATGAATTAATGTTGTGTGGTGTACTTTAAATACTATACCTAGTCATTGCAGATAGCATATTTTCAGCACAATTGTCAAGTAGGGCTGGGAAAGTAAATGGCACTATAATCTTTGACAACTGGTAGCACTGAACATTATTGTCTGTATTTAAGGCGCTGTAATGTGATGATCACCATCAGAATTACCTAAGGAATAATCTTTAGATAATTCTGACGAAATTACGGACATAATAGGGATGATGAGTAACTTTTTTTTCTTCGTCTGTCTGGTAGAATGTTAAAAAGTTTGGACATATATTTTTTATTTTTTTTACATAATCAAAACATTACAGAGATATATTGATTTGAAATGATCTCCTTAGTCCTTAGTAGTATGGCAGGCTGTTTCCGCAATTCAACACCCAGAGCCTATTTTGCATGGGGATTGACATCAGTCCTGCCATCCCAGCTCCTCCAGAAAGCCCAGCAGTTGCCGGATGTTGCTGCAGGCCTCTACTAGTGTCTGTGGATTTCCCAGTAGAGAAGTCCTTTGTCTTGCAACGCCTCTACTTAGCAGAACATGGGCGCTCGTCTCCTCCTTCTCCAGGCAGGCTCTGTACAGAGAGCTGTCAGAAATACCTATATTACAAAGTTATTTGTTAAAACAGTCGTGAACCGTGAGTATACCCACGATTTGTTTTAGGGCTTGTCTAGGTAGTCTGATTCGCTTAAGTGATAGCTGCAGGTATACCTTCCGGAACGGCTTCCATAGCTTGCCTGCAGACAATGAGTTTTGCCCAGTATAAGTCGTGTTGTCGTTGACAGCACTCCCTTATCCAAGGCCTCAGCTGTCAAATGATGTCACATTTTGGTAAAAATTTTACTTAGAAGTGACGTCTTGATCCCCCATTCCCAAACTATGACGAACTATGACGATATTTATCTTAGTAATTTTTTTGGTTTATTGACCAAAGAAAAAATATTTATCCATTATTATTTGATAATTTAACTGATAGACTAAACAGGATTTCGTTTTCTTTACTCTCTTCTCTTGAGTTCCAGATCAGTCTAGCCCATCATATGTCATTGCACCCCACCCATCGTGTAGTAAGATAATCACCTTATTTAACAGACTAATCGTTTGAAATAACTCACTGTCCTTAAGCTACAGATCACCCTAGCGTACTCCTCAACGCCCATCACTGTATTAAACCATTCATAAAAACAATAAACAATATTCTTGATTCAGGTTATCTATTAATTTAATAGGTAACAATTCAACCGAACTTCCTAACAGCTAGCTACGTGTAAGCATCTTTAAAGTTAAGTATCAAGTAACTATTTTAAGGTCATAATCACTTAACATTCGGCCCAGAAATGGACGCGCTTATTATCGCTTCTATACGCTACTGTCGTTTAGTTATTTATCAATGATGACCTCTAACTATGGACACTTTTAAATCTTCTAGTGAGTACTTACAAGAAAGTGTATTTTTTTAAATCTTTGCTATGTTGTCATTTTTTTCGTGGCATCAAATTTGAAGGATACAATACAATATTGGCTGTACCAGTCCATTTTCTCAAGCGGCCCTTTATTCTTCTTTTAAATCTAATCAAGAAAGTTAGCAACAAATGCATCCGATGTTTTTCTTTCCCTCTCAGAAAAGACGTAAAATGGAAATAGATAAAAACTATATGCACTAATATTGCTAGATTATGATACATAGTATTGAATGAGACCATTCTTATTTTTGAATGATTTTATTCGTCCTCGCATGTTACTGGCGGCAATTAAAAATATCTATGTATGTTTAATTCTATTCATTGCTTTAGCATTCTGTAGACTACTGACTAATTAGTCGGCCTTGGGTTAAAATATGATGTTGGGTTTAGGAGGTGGCGGCTAGCCGGAGAAAATGCCGAGAATACACATCACGTGTCCAAAAATACTTTTAAATTGTGTAATCTATAAACTGATGTAAAACGCTAAGTCCCATTTGGCATGCTTCGTTCTAGCACTTCATCGGTCGCTACGCTCGTTGTTCTAACCTCCCAAAGTCCCACTAAGTTCTCGTTTAAAAGGGCATTCTGAATAATCCCCTGTTAGGTATAGGCCTCCTTGGCGGGGCCGTGGCGAAGTCGTAACGGATTCTCATGGTACTACCCGTACTCTCGCTGCGCTCTCTGAGGACTGCAGTAGTGACCTGAGGCACAAGCGCGAATTTTTGTAGCTCCGTAACGTATTTTGTCGTCAAAGTTTCTGTGAAAACTAAACTTCTATAAATAGAGTTTATTTTTGAACATATTTCTTTTAGTAATTTATTTTATTTACGTCATTTTTATCATATAGCTTATTTTTTTAACAATCCCGTAAATAATACAAATTGCTTTAATGTTAGTGACCATGAAAGTATAAACAATATATCTTTTTTTTATTAGATCGAAAGCGTACTTTTCGTGTTTGGGTCTCGTGAGTGCGTGACGTGTGCAGGAGTATAATTTAGGGTTTTACTGGGTAGGGTCCTTCTCATTTCACCGAGCCCTTAAGCTGGGTGAAATGAGAGGGGAGGGACGTCAGATATTCTTGTCGTATCTCCCGTTGGCGAGGAAGACATCCAGTCTTTCCCCGACATAAAAATGGCATAGGTCTCCTTTTAAATTAGGATACTGTTACCTGATCTTGCTACAACCTATATCGATCCATTTCGTCCTTGCAGTTAACCTGGAGTCATCCTCTAAACGCATTTGTGGTCTTCCTTCCTTCATGTTTTTTAAACCTAAAGTCTCCATTCTAAGACCCCCCCACCCTACGACAATTTTTTTACAGGCTATTTATTGGTCCCACCCAAATAAAAATTATACTATAACATCTAAGATATACGAGTAAATGGGATAGAAACCGATATTAGGAACAGGACATGGGACCCCGTGGAAATAAACGAAAAAACCTTTTTTGGTGATTAAGTAGATATGGTATTAACATTTCTAATCTAAACTTAAGTAATGTGTTTTTATTGACAACTTTATAAGTGCCATTTCTCCATTAGGTTATAAATTGTAATGGTGGCAGCAGTGTAGCGAAATGTTGATTCAATTTTAAAAAAAAATAATTCCATTCTAAATTGATCATAATTTTACCAAATTTAGGAAGCATAAATATAAATATCGAAACGTTGATTACAATCTTTTATAGACTAAATGCTGTAAATAATTGATAAGTGATCTACTTAATTTATTTTGGGTATCATTATAAAACCGATGGTGTAATCCAACGACTAGATATAAATATGCTATATCTTATCAAATTAGAAATATTGGTAATATAGTTTACTTTCTAATAACAGGAAACACAGTCTACACCATTTGAAAAGGATCAGTGAAATAAATTGTACACCAATTGATGAAAGCAAAAAAATGTCAAACTATTAAATACTCCCGATGAGTCAAACACACAATGACATGTTCAGGAAGTAAATGCTTATTTTTGTTATAATTTCATATAAATACGCAAAAGTGAAAACCAATAAAATGTTTTCTTTCTTCTTTTTTTCTTTCAAAAGTAAATAAGATTTTTCTAAGAAAATATTTAGACGTACCTTAAGTTACGTGCCCCATATTTTGCTCGCTGACATAAAATGTAGGTCCTAAGTCAGTCATTTCATTCAATTACAATCCCCTTTTTTCTTAATAATATGTGAAATAATAAAATTCCAACATTGTATACATTTTTATCTTGTTACACTGTAGTAAAAGGAGTTTTTTCTATTTCCATTGTCAACGTATTTCATGGATAGTTGAATAAAAACCTATAAAATAATAAGATTCGCAATTCGCAAAACCATTATTAGCGGATGTATTTGGCCATCCTTTGTAATCGACTAACTGAAGCATAAATCAATTTCCTTCAATCGGTAACATGTGAAACGTACCTACTTAACATAATTAAACATTGAAATAAAGACCATCGCTAATAGTTATAAAGCGTATCTCTTTTCAGTACTGACCAAGTTTTTGAATATGATTGAGAGCGAGTGTTCATTTAAATATTTAAATTTAATTTATTTAACTTGATGAAAATGTGAACGTAGATATTAAGTTAGTAATAAAAACCTCTTTTCAATATGAAAGTAATGATAAATTTCTGGCTATAACAACAATTTATATCTTTAAAAATAAATTTTATAAACAAGTATTAAAAAATCAGGAATATGTATCTTCAAACAATACTAAAAATACACGTTATCAAAGATGATTTTTTTGTAAAAAAATCAAATTCCCATCATACATTATATGTCTTTGTAAAACATGTAAGTACCAGTATTTTTCCAGATTTTATTTGTGAGCACTTCGATATCTATCGATAGTTTCCTTATCTACTTATAACTAGACAGACATGTAGACGGTTCGATCGAATCCTCGCATTATATCGGTCCCGACGACCGCCCCGATAACAGCCCCATACATGGTAAACGCCGGCACCAAGGGACCAGGAAAAAGTGGCATTGGCTAGTAAAAATAATGTGAAGTGTTTTGGTGAAGTGAAAATTCAACAGTGCGGTTTCGCTCGTGTTCAAAATGTCTCTATATTTCGCAATACGAGTTCTGCAAATCTACAGCATGCAACATTATGTGTGTATCTTAGATGTGTTTAGAACATTTTTAACAAAAATAAAAAAATTAGGACTTTCATGTACTTTCAACACAAACAATAACTTCGTTGACCTTACTTACTGGTCGTTCTTCACAGCATAATGTTGTTTTTATCCTCTAGCCTCCCGACAGCCAAGCATTTACTAAAATCTCTTGCCTATCGAATCGATATTCGAACATAGGTTCGAATGTACTTTACAAAGCATTTTTGTTGCAAAGGCCGAGACCTTTCCTGTTGAATAAAACATAAACACTGGTGTTTTTACAAGTTTCACTTCTACAAATGTTTTTTAATATTATTTGATAAAGACATTGAGCATAACAAATTATTATTATCAATTATTAATTTTTAATTAATTTAATTTATTATTAAGTATTAAAACAAATTATTACTAAAATTCACATTTATTAGACGTGCCTAACATATTAATAACAAACACTCGGGAATTGATGCTACCTGAAGGTCGGTCGTCCGTTGTCGAAATAAGAAGTTCAAAAATATTAGCTATTAGGTACGGTTTATTTAGCACTTTGTAAAGGACGCCATGTGTCAAGAGGCTAGACAATGTTCCTACAAGGTAATTTCGTACCTTATGAGTTTGTTTTCAAATTATTGGAAAATAACTATTGGTGTTTAGTAACTAATGTAATCTTTATCGATAAGCCTTTATCTTATTTGAAGAAAAAGAGGCACGGCCGTTTGTCCAGTAAAGCCTTGAAAAGTAAGCTTTGTCACTCTCTTTTAGATTTAATGTGTTCTTTTAAAATCTATACAAATTAAACTTGGGAATAAGGTATGATTATTTTTTTGATGACACACTAGCAATGATGACACACTGTTGTTCTGTGCCTGTTTTCCCAAATGTCTCCTGTTCTTCAGATTAAATTGCGACTTACGTTACGCGTGCTAATAGTAGGTATAATATATTGGTTAAGTTAATCTTGACGCAACGTATTTGTTTTATCGTATCAGCAAATGATTACATTAAACATTTCAACTTATAAATAAGTAAAATATCATCACTCAATGTCACATTTAGTGCAGCTCAGAATTTATTGTTGATTTTTACAAATATGTAGCTAAATGATATCCCCACTGCTAAGGCACTGGCCCACACTTTAGATTCAAGGAGATTAAGGCGATTCTCACACTGTCCCGCTCTACGCTGCGGGGGTGCGGGAGTGCATGTTTTTACGTTACTTAGAAGTGTACGCACGCACCTCCTTGCTGGCTTAGTGCGGATTGGTGGATGCTAACGACTACAGATGCAGCCCGGACCAACGGCTTAACGTGCCTTCCTAAACTCTAAGAAGCGTGAGACAATAAATTTTGATCACCCAAACCAAATATCACCAGCCCTTGTGAAACTTGCTCGATTGCACCCCGGACGCCTTAAACACAACGCCATCGAGCTTCTCAATTATCTCATGGTAGGAAGCAAATGAGAAGTAGATCTTGGCTACCGTTTCAGTACTAAATGTGACTATTGACCCGTTTTCCTAACTCTGTATGTGTAACACGCAGTGTCTAGCATACTAGATACCACACCCATAGAGTCAGGACTTGATAGTGCATTGATAAAGGAGATATTACTTGTTACAGTGTGGCATCACTTCCGATTTGGGGGGCAGTTTATTTATTATATGGTCAATTGGTCACGTCTACGTCTACTTGATTAGTCTTGGCCCAAGATGTTATTTGTTAATGCATACTTGATTTGCTAGTGGGCCCAAGATGATCTTTATAAATAAATAAATATTTTTTACACGCACTCCAATTAGTCTAGCCCCAATGTAAGCACTGTAGGCTTGTGTTATGGGATACTAGGCTAACGGATACAATACATATATAAGTATACTAGCTGACCCAGCGAACTTCGTACCGCCATAAAAAAATTTAAATAAAAAAACATTGTCCAGCGGACAAAATTGTGAATCTAAACCATTCTCAGATCCCCTTGAACACACACAAAAATTTTCATCAAAATCGGTCCAGTCGTTTAAGAGAAGTTCAGTGACATACACACTCACAGAAGAATTATATATATAAAGATTTGAATACAAATACATTTTAAACATCCATGACTGGAGTACAAATGCTCGTATTCATCACACAAACATTTGCCCCCACTGAGACTCGAACCCGGGACCACCCCCTCCTCTCGATTAGGCGACATCTTAAAACCCGGCGTACAAACCACTGCCACGGAGGTTGTCTTTGCTAATGCATAGGCATAAGGGACAACAAACCAATGAAAAAAGAAGTGCCACATTTAAATTAATATTTTGTGAACAGATAGAAGATGAGTTCCGCGATATACCAGCGAGCTTCGGGCCCGACATTCCGCTGGAGGGGCTGCGCGGGCTCCTGGTGGCGGGCCAGCCGGCCGACGGCTGCGGCAACCTCACCGTGCCGCCGCGCATCGACAACTACACCGACAAATGGATCGTACTCGTTGGCAGGTATATGTATTATTTGCGCGGCCAGTAGGAGATGTTTCCCGCGACTACACCCTTTTTTGAGTGTGTATGCTGTTGGTCGCAGATGACCTTTACAGCGACACTGGGTTTGGGGTCGGCGAGATCCTAAGAGGCCCTCAAGTCGAGAATAGGCGAATGCCTATTCTAGAGGTATTCCAGGCGGATGGCATCTCCCCACGGGGGGAGTCTCCCCTCCGTATGGACCCTCTAGACCAAGGCTGCTCAACCCCAGGCCCGCGGGCCACAATGTGGCCCGCGAAAGAATTTTGTGTGGCCCGCGCAAGTATGGTTTGTAAAAACGCACCAAATTCAAAAATCCCGCCGCGCACAGTACAGCCCGATTCAAACTTTATGACCTCTCTGAAGTTAGCTATCAGTTCGCTACGAGCAGCGCGGGGATTGATACCCCACCCCCGCGTCTCCAATATTGTGCATTGCGAATCGTAAGTAACGAAGCTTGGATAGGAATTGTACGGTCGGAACGGTCATCAACCCCGCGCGCCCGCGTCACTTTACTGTCTCATCTCACATCTCATTATGCTTCGAGAAACAATTGAGTGCGTACGTGTTTTAGTTCAACTGACTGTTAGTTGTTAGTTTGTTGTTAGAAAGTGAAGTTTTGAATTTGTGTTTTTGTCAATTTCGTATTTACACTGGAAGGTCCAAGGTAAGAGATATAATGAAGGCAAAATTTTATTTTTTCGTATTACATACTTAGGTATCTATTTGAAAAGGAAAATATACCGATACACGACCCACACGTTTTATAAACTGTCTGCCTGTGTAATAATAATAATAAAATATGGTTTGTTTCAGTATGGCTCACAGCAAACCGAGTAGTTCGAAATCAACGGAGGCCTATCGTGTTTTTCATGACGAATGGGAAAATAAATATTGTTTTATTGAAAGCAAGGCGCGTAAGCCTACATGTTTACTTTGTTTCACGACAGTAGCTACTGCAAAAAAATATAATTTAGAAAGGCATTATAAGCAAAATCATAATTATTTTGAAAAAGATTACCCTGTTGGTAGTGCTATCAGAGAAGATTTTTTAAAGAAAAAGAAACGGGACCTATTTAACCAACAGAATATTTTCGTTAAAAAGCACGACGAGCTTGAATCCATGGTTAAAACATCTTACGAGATTTCTTTGCTCCTAGCGAAAAAGAAGAAATCGTTTTCCGATGGAGAGATTGTTAAAGAGGCTTTGACGATCTTTGCAAAAAATTGTGATGATAAACACGTCAAAGCTAAAGCGGACAGTATTTCACTCTCACGGCACACTGTCACGAGACGGGTGGAGCAAATGGCAGTTGACATCAAGGAGCAGATTCAAGAAATCGTAGCTAAGTGCAAATATTTCTCATTGGCGTTAGATGAAACTTGCGATTTAACGAGTAGATCTCAGTTGGCTATTTTTGTGCGATGTGTTGACGAAAATTGGAATGTATTGCAAGATTTACTAGAAGTCTGTCAGCTAGAAAGCACAACCCAAGGAAAAGACATATTTTTGAAAATTAAGGAATGCATTGAAAAAAATACTTTATCGTGGGACAAATTGATATCTATTTGCACTGATGGTGCACCAGCAATGATTGGAAAAAACAATGGCTGTGTGGCTTTGTTACAGAATTTCTTAGGTCGTAATTTATTTTCGTATCATTGTATTATCCACCAGGAAGCCTTGTGTGCCAAGGATATGGAGTTGAATGACATTATGGACCCAGTAATACGCTGCATAAATTACATACGTGCAAAAGCTCTTAACAGACGTCAATTCAGACTATTATTTGAAGAAGAAATCAAAGAATATGGAGAGTTACAACTGTACTGTGCTGTGCGATGGCTTTCAAGGGGCAGTATGTTGAAACATTTCTTCAACTTGCGAGAACAGGTGTTGGAATTTTTAGAGCATAAAGAGGCTTTACCATTGGAAGTTGATTTACTGAAGAATACATCCTGGTTGAGTGATCTTGCATTTCTTGTTGATATTACGAATTACCTCAATATTTTGAATCTCAAATTACAGGGTAAAGATTGTTCACTTCCGACTATGTTTAATATGATAAGCGGATTCAAAGCAAAATTAAATCTCTTTACAATTAATTTGGCGACAGAAAACATTGATCTCTTCCCCACACTAAAACATTTGAAAGATGAGCTCAATATTGCTTCTATTAATTACTCTAAATACCAATCTAAAATTAAAAGCTTATCACAGTCGTTTGAGTCGCGATTTCAAGATTTCGAAAGTAAAAAACAAAATTTACAAATATTTTTAAATCCTTTCATGATAAGTTTGGCTGAAATAGTCACTTATCCTGCAAATATTCAATTAGAACTTGTGGAACTGCAAAATCACATTATGTTAAAAAACCTTTTTGCTAACAAATTGTCGAAAGCACAAAATTCTTCAGAAGATTATGCAGAATTCTGGAAACTGGTACCAAAAGGAGAATTTCCAGCAATAACTGACCTGGCGTTACAGTTTATAAGTAGTTTTGGTTCAACATATGTTTGTGAAAAGGTTTTTTCAGATCTAAATTTTGTAAAAAATAAATATCGCACATCCTTAACTGAGCAACATATTTGTGACTTGTTGTTACTGTCAACGTCGGATTTGTCGCCAAATATAAATAAATTATTAAAAGACAAACAATGGCAGAAGTCACATTGATTGTAATAAATAAAGTAAATATAAATTAGTTTTTAAGCTATTGTATAGCTTTTATCGCGTGCTTTGAACGCGGGGACCGAATCAAAAAAATCTGTAACGAAAAAACCTTGCGATAGTGCATATACCAATAGAACACAATTTTCGCCAATCTAATGTTAATCTAAACGGCGCAGTGTGTTAAGTTTTTGCCACGGGACTAACGTTCGACGCATCACCGCGGTCGTCGGTTCAAATCCTGCACTCGTATTTTTTATTTTTAGTTATTATTTTTTTATTTTTTTTATATATTTGTTTTAGACCCCAGCACCTGTTCTTATTTTTATTTGTCTCCCTTTTATTTAGACTTTATAATTATAATTAAATTTTTTGGACTAAAGATGGTAAACTGTGGAGCTTGTGGAAGTTTTTTGGCGCCGGGCAATGCTGTTGTTTGCTGTGCTTGCCCAATAAAATATAATAAGGCCTGCCTCGCCATCCCGGAAAAGTCGAGTGTCGTCAAGGACTGGATATGTCCGAACTGCAAGAAGAGCACACGCAGGGGTGACCACAAGCGTTCGCCTGTAAATGGTATCAGCGAATCTTCTGAGCCCGAAAAACCGGTTGCTGTACGGGAACCGGTCGACCTGGCCAGTGGCTCTCCAAAGGAAGATGAGGTCTAGGGTAAGGCCAAGGAGAACGCCGCCAGAAATAATCACACCAGTGATATAAAAAGTATGCTGGCCGACTGCATGAAGGAGATGGAAAAAAAAATTGTTTTCTTATCGGTCACCACGTTCAAAAAGTCTAACATGAATTAATATCAAAGAAAAAACTGCATAAATAAATAATTATAATTGCATAAATTGATAAAAAATGCTATGCAATAGCTTTACCGCGGCAGTCCCCGAGTGCCACACGTATTTTTTTTCTCTATTTTGTACTGGAATATGTTACAGTTTGTAAAAGTCTTTGTATAATATTAACAATAGCATTTTTCTTTGCTTAGTTTGCAGTTGCACACTGTAAAATCTTTCAAACAACAAATATTTTTTGTAAGGGAGGAAACAACTTGCTGAGTTTCTTGCCCGTTCTTCTCAGAACAAGGCCACTTGGTAGCTAGTGAACTCAAAAGAGTATGTAAATACCGAACAGCATAAAAGTTGATTTAAATTTGAGAAGATACATACACAGGTACTTACATAATTCAAATTTTGTTTCTTTTTTAATAATAATAATATTTAGAATAAGATACTCTTTGTTCCTAATAAACAATAATTCAATTTTATATTCATAATTATTGAGTTTATATTGCGCTAATCCTGAGAGTAACTGAAATAGGAAATGTAAGTGGCCCGTCGTTAACGACTAAATCTACCATTTGGCCCGACTCTTCAAAAGGTTGAGCAGCCTTGCTCTAGACTATTCGAACCTGAGGGGGTCGGCTCAACTAGAGGGCGGACTATACCCGCACGCCCGGGATGCGTAAGAGAACATTTGCGTAAGAGATCCCATATACAAAAAAAAGTATATGTACTACACACGATCGAATCGAGTTATTCCAGATCCACTTGCACGATAATTTGCTTAAGAATGTCAAAACAGACAAGTTTTCCGTTGTAAAGAATGCGTAATTGCACTTAGGAACTTCTGATAACAAGGAAACTGTTTATTACATATATTATTTAAATTTAACCTTTATTTTTAAAGTAATAGATCATATTATAGATAAAATTGGAATAGTAGTTTTAATTGGAATTGGAATAGTAGGTGAAATTGGAAAAAAAAACGCCCCTGCTTCTGCTGTATACATACTTCTACTGTATTTACCTGTAACCCCTCCCGATTTTTTTAAATCGTACCTGGCAACACTGTGTACAAATATAGTCGTTGTATTAATATGGTATATAATTGTCGTGTTAACATAGTTTAGTGGTATAGGCATATCTCTTATCCTCAGTATCAGTAATTGACCCATGTTCAAACGAATTAGCAATAGTGTTTAGTCGCAATTTAGTCAATTGATAAATTTTCTAATTAATCTATTGTGTGTACGTGTCACCGCGCTGCTTATCCCCCGACGGCGCCGGCTGTTAATTGGAGACTCGTTTACTTACTAATACTTATTATTTTATAATGATTATGTAGTATGTTGTTTATTTTTAAATGTGATAAATGACGACCCTTTGGTTGGTTAATAACCAACAGAGTATTCTAAGTCTATACTGGGTCAAGAACTATTTGATTAATCATATCTCATGTATCACACTAATATTATAAAGGCGAAAGTTTGTGAGTGTGTATGTTTGTTACCTCTTCACGTCTAAACGGCTGGAGAGATTTTAATAAAATTTGGTATTGAGTTAGCTGACACCCTGGATTAACACATAGGCTACTGCGAGAAAATATCCCTAATAAACCGCGGGTAACACCGCGGGGTACAGCTAGTAAATAAATAAGACTTTTATGTTATGTCCTACCAATGGGCACTCTCTAAATAAAACTTTTTTGTTATTACGCTCTGGCAAAAGATCTGACCTAGAAACCTATTTCTGAAATGTTGTGGATGGATGTTAATGTTAGTGGAGATGAAGAGAGGTAGAGCATAGCTAGTGTTGCCAGGTGTCCCGATTTGCGCGGGACGTCCCGATTTTTAGAGGTCTGGGAACGCGTTCCGTTTTGTACCTGATCGGGACGCTAAATGTCCCGATTGATTAAAAAATTAAATTTAGGTAATTAATATAATACTATACTTGCACTAGTAGCTTAAAACGCAATTAATTAAACCCAGACTTAAAAACCCCTTGTTTTTTATGTACTGTCCCGATCTGCAACCCAAAACCCCTTTTTTTTACCTCATGTACCGATTTAAAACAAGTCGGACCTGGCAACACTAGGCATAGCGGATTTTCCGCTCGAATCTGTGGAAGTAACACCTTCCAGAAGATCACAGTAAAATAATGCTACCTTTTGGTGGCGTTGTATTTCTGTCGGTGAGTTGAGTTGAGGTGAGAGAAGGTTCCACGGGGTGGGGGTTTGGGTCAGGGTAGGCAACAGTTCCTTTGTCAAGCTACCTTCGAGTGATATTCTCTGTATCGCAAGCCTCTATGTAGCCCATAGAGGGCCATGGTGGCCGCATACCTTCAGGCGGGTCATATACTAGTGAGCCACACTTTTAACATTAAATAAAAAGATTATGACGTAACGAAGATTATATCTTAAAAACTTAAACTAAATTACGTATTTGTTTCTTAGGTTCTCACGCACATCACTCATTAAATAAAACTAGTTTTTGTCGAGCTACCTTCGAAAATTAAATAAAAAATCATTATTCTGACGATGTAGACCTGAAAAGCCGCGAAACGTAAATAAATAAATAAAGTTTCTTGCATTAACCCGTTAAAACTAGTTTTAACTAAAATACGTAATATTCTTTTTTTTTTTTATAGATACAACTGCAGTTTTGAGGTGAAGGTGCGCAACGCGATGGCGGCCGGCTACGACTGCGCCATCGTGCACAACGTCAACTCGTCCGAGTTAGGTAAACATTCACTTGACTCGATGTTATCACTAGCATTTGCTTGTCCTAGTCTTGCTTGCTTTTATTATTGCTATATTTCATATATTTTGTTCCATACAAGCCTTTTATAAAAAAAATGTGTGCACTAGAAATCTGAAGTGAAACTTCCTTATCTTAAATAACCTAACATTAGGCGGTGCATAAGGCATAGGGGAATGGAGCAGCGGACGCATCAGAAAGAAAGAGAGAATATTTATTATTCCAACTTTACATTCACATACAAAAAAATATATTCTCATACATCACTCATGTATATGTATATATATATATATATTCAGTGGCGGAGTAAGCCCGTCAGAGGCCCGGGGCGGCAAAGCTGAATGAGGCCCCAAGCTTTAAAAAAAGAGTAGATTCTTATGTTTATTTCGTTAAAACCAGTCTTGTCAAATTCACCATAACTTTGTATAAGATTTGTTTAATAGCCCAATTCGAAAATTCTTGTATAAGGCGGTCTATGCGTTCATACATTGACCGACGTATTTCTTCTTGAATTGATAATCCAGCATCACGATCTTATTCACCCGGTATCGTTCTTTTTACCTTCACTTTTCCTGGTTTCTTGATGTTGATGAACCACCTAAATATTTATTCAAGGCGTTTAGTTTAGTGATTCCTGTATCCAGATTCATTTTTGGAGACCCCAAATATTGTTAGACTTAAATAGAATGTAGTGAATGTATAAATGTATGCGTACAAGAGTAAATTATTTGCACTTCATTCGTTCAGGGATTCCTGAGGAAGTATCCACTACAAAGACGGGAATTCCCCCAGCGTATTGGACGCGTTCAGCAAAGTTAAATAAATATTAGTACTGCGTAAAAAGTCTAGATTACTGTAGTGTTTTGGTCTTGATGAAATTATGTAGAAACTAAGCACATTTTTGTTCTTGTCTCTGTCTTGTTTAGGATTTAATCAGGGGAACGCGGAGGCATTTGGGGGGCCCCCACTGTATATATTGTCCCGTGTGATGCTCGAGCATTTCAGTCTTCGTCGAGTTACCCTCCAACTTTCATGCACGTCGGGAACAGCTGCGCACGCATCCCACACACCAAACACACACACACACATATATATATATTTATAGTCGTGTGACGCATTTCCGTTTCATCTTTTCTATAGGATTTTCCATTTACATCCAGGTCGAAACGAAGTTCCACTTCAATAACACACTCCTTGCAGGCAGATGTAGCACGTGGCAAGACGTTGTTGCTTAATAATCGCTAAAAAAGAACATTAATTTGTTGTTGTAATGTGCATTGTTGATTAAATTATCAGTTTTGATGGACCACTCTTATCATGTGGTAGAACCGAGCCGCGAACAATTTATTTCGTTATCTTGTTTAAATCAACAACTTTACGGCTTCTCGAATTGATTAAAGGGTTGGCTTGTCACCAATTCTATACTACTCTGACACCACTTTCTGAAAAATGATTTGTTATCCATAACCAAGATATAATAAATTCGTAGTATTAATTTATAAACAAGAAGTAATGTGCTTTTACTTGTGATAATCTCATACCATTCAGATTCTATTGTGCTATCGGTCTTGCGATGCTGTGTGTAATTTTATTACATTTCTTTTTAAGCAGTTTAATGCAAGTATATAAACAATATTTTTAGTAGTTTTTTTTTATTACTTAATATTGTACTTATGTACTGAGCAATTACTATGATAAACGCAATGTCGGTACACTTTCAATTGAGGTAATTAATTATTTTTAATTGTGTTGATATCCCTGCTTTTATCTTGTCAGTTTAGTTGAAACCGTGCAATGCAGTGGTGGTTATCACGCCGTTATATTTATTAAATTGTGTTTACTTTATTTGCTTTTCGATAATTACTATGTTTTCAATTATGGCTCTTGATATGGAGTATAATGTGAGTATACATTTTCTAATTATGAAAATTAAGTATTGGGTACCTACTATATTTATTGTTTAAATTCAATAAATTATAAATTTAATCGTCATCTTTGCTAATATTGACTTGGAGTTAGAATGAAAGTTCCTAGGACGGGCAACGAATTAGAAATGATATGGAAGAACTGGAGGCCTACTCTAATTCAACGGAAAACTTAATTTCCATCGAAATTTCACACTTTCCTTAATCTGTTTCTTTTTTTCATTTCGACAATTCATTCGTCTGAAAAATTGTTTGACTATTAAATTTTCCAAGCCTACTCTAATTCACAAAACTTTTGAACGGAAAGTTGAATTTGACAGATAATTGTTCGAAATTTCAACCTTAAATGTACGAAATGAAAAGTGTTACCTTTTCATTTTTGTTCAAATTAAGCCTAAAGTGACTGCTACAGTATTTCTAATCAAGGCTGCTTAGCGTGAGTACCATTTTTTGCATGTAAAATTAACAAGTAAAGCATTGTTTTTATTAATTATTGTATTTCCAATACTTCAAAGTATGAAACGACATATTTAGGTTGACATATATTTGTAGAGTTGATGCAATCCATCAACTCTACAAATTATCCAGCTAACACTGTCAAATAAGGTTCTTTTAATGTTATCAATAATTTTGTCGTAAATTAATATCGTTTCCAAGTAAAAAACGTAATCTGAAAGTGTGTGTGGTAAAAAGTACTCACAAACATGGCTCATTCCATTCGTTCAAGAAAATAGTTTGTGATTCCGAACTTTTTGTGCATGTTCGAAAATTAAATAGAGTAGAGTCACTGGCGAAAATTCGTTTGAAATTCGTTCGTTGCCGTAATTTTGTTTCGAAGAAAGAGAGTAGAGCTCCTGCTCTCTATCGAAGGCCTCCAAAATATGGTTCCAACTAAACTCATACAACTAAACTTCTATACTAACGTGACACGCACACATATGAAACAAAATACTTTGACATCAAACTTCAGAAAATGAATTCGGCGACCCATTCATTGGGTAAGATGATGTAGTTTTTTTCGCCCCGGCCTCTTGGTCAAAATTTGCGAGGAACTACTTTTTAACCAAGTTCTTATTTCATATTATATCTAATTCGTTGATGAAGGGTCCTAATGGCGAAAAATTCGAGCCGCACCCGTTTTTTTAATTTGGGAAGAGATAATGTTTAACGTCCCTTGCTACTAATTTTGTGCTTTATTTAAATACTTTTAAGGTTCATAATCGATTTAAAAAATAACATACTATCCAGAGACTGACATGCATAATATTTTTTGTTTAAATCATATCAATAAGAAATTGACCTTATTAACTTGAACTATAGTATAGTTTTGTTATGTTTTAAACTAAAAGGTGACATTTTGTCCGCAGAGACGATGTCCGCGAAGAATCCGGAAGGCATCGACATACCGTCCGTGTTTGTGAACGACGTCGCGGGCAAACAGCTCGCAGAGAAATACCTCTACACTAAGGGGTCAGTGCAATTCTTCGCTTATACCTCAACGATATTAATACCCTAGATACACCAACATAAACAAAATCTTGCCCGAAACCTGTCCAAAAGGTGCATTGGACTATCCACGGAGCTCAGTAAGATTATCGTGTAGTCAAAAACAATTTAGGGGACTATTTAAACATTAAGAAAAGAAATTACCTTTAATGCATACTATATAAGGTCTTAATTGAAACGCATGCGTCAAAGAGTTCGAACAGTTTGAAATGCAAGATCGTAAAATTGAACGACTCATTGCTATATGCGGTAGAATATAGCCCTTATTTCTTTGACTCTACGCGCAATTCTGAATGCGCTGTTAGCAATATAGCAGGCACGGACCGCGAGAAAAAGAGACGGCTATATAACCTACCATGTATTTGAATATCACAAATATTTTCTATTAAATCAGTTTATAGTAAATATTAGAACATAATTTCTATCAAAAGCGTTAAATTAACAACTGACACAAAAACGACACTACATACTATAAGTATTTTATTCGCATTTTTTCACGGAGCTCTGCAGCAACTTGCCTTTTCAACGGTCCGCGCGTGACTGAGAACCAGGAAGTGCTTGAGTGTTAACAGTTATTATTATTAACAACTCTTTTTTTTTTATTATAACCTATATTCATCAAATTTCTAGTAAAATTGCCGGGTCCGCGTGGAATTTTTGCTAGTAAAATTTTCTTGACATTTAACATTATTATTACTCAACAACTCATTTTTTATTATAACATTTCTATCATTTCATTTTTTATGTTTTATTTACAATAACTGTGTCAACAAAAAGCAATATTTTTGAAACACTATTGACACTCGATTTGATATTAGCTTAGCAGAATCGACCCCCAGATTAAAATGCAGAATTTTCTCCACAGATACTTTATAATGGTGAACGGCGATTTGCCGTTCAACATCAACACGCATCTGCTGCTGCCTTTCGCGGTGGTCGTCATATTATGCCTCGTCATAATACTCATATTCATGGTCAGTATGGGCTCAAACAATGATGAACCTTAAAACTTTAACAATACGTCTCCTTATCTTAGATTTTTATTGAAATGTTGCTATTGTCACTACCTAACACATCCGTAAAAGATTTTGTAATACCCTTTTTTATTTATATCTAAAGAAAACTTATCTAAGAGTGCATGAATTTATATTTCAGTTTCATATATAGACAGCCACGGGTTAAGTAACCCAATTAATGAGTTAAGCTTTATTTTAATGGATTTAGGATTCATAAGCGATTGTGAAAGTTTTACATTTTGTTATAATTTGATGAGTAGCTGTTTGTACCAGACGAGATTGGAACCCGTTTGGTGGTCGGGCGAATGCTCTACCAATAAGAAAATCTTCTTTTATTTATATTTAACCATAAATAAATTCAAAGATGGTATAAAAAAGCTTATTACAAAGTGTCTGATTATATTACAGACAAAAATGCTTGGGTTTGAACTGTTCCAATCATTCCAACAGATTTTCTATATTAAATAAATCATGATTGTATTGACGTTGTAACAACATAATGATTTGTATATATTGTTACATTATACTTTTAACGTTGTGGAGATGTTTTCGCTTGTTTTTCTCCGCAGCTAAAAAATATATTCAATAACGAGTGGTAGGGAAAACAAAAGTTTGGACGATTCAAAAGAGTTGTACTATACATCCAATTTGAATAAAGATAACATTGATTTCTTGATTTCTGATTTCTGATTGGTCATTATAATAATGCTGTTAACATATCTGGTATTGTTTTTATCTATTGGCAATATCTTCATCAATCATCAAACAACAAACAAACTATTAATGACATTTTTAACATCATACGAACTCACTGCAGTATACTTAAAACTCACATGACCATGGTCTTTACATAACTTTTTCTGTAAATCTCTCTTCTCGCGTGACGTCAGAGCTATCAGTTATGCAATTTTTCATCAATGTTTCTTTAAGACGTTATCACATAAAACTATCGTCTATAAACCGACTTTACAGACAACCAATTTTTATTTTCTTAAATGTTTTACACAGATAGTGAAATGCATCAAAGACAGGCGGCGAGCTCGTCGACACCGCCTTCCTAACCGTTCTTTAAAGAAGATACCCACTTGCAAGTTCAGTAAGGGAGACCCTTACGAAACCTGCGCCATATGTCTGGATGACTACCAGGAAGGCGAGCGGTTGAGAGTGTTGCCCTGTGCACATGGTGAGTTTACACTATCATCATCAAAATCAAAAATAATTTATTCAGTCTAGGGTGTTATAAGCACTAATTAAGGTCGAAAAGCTACGCCATCGGTTTGCAAATCGACGGCGGGAGACATTGTACTGATAAGAACCAGCAAGAAACTCGGCCTATTAATGTTTCCACTGCTGGGGCACCGGCCTTCCTTATAGATGGAATAGGGAGACCGAGCCGTGACCCACCACGCGGGTCCAGCGCGTATTGCAGGGTGCTAACGACTGTAGATGCAGCCGGGACCAACGGCTTAACGTGCCTTCCGAAGCACGGAGGAGATCGAAATAGTAAATTTTTGGTCACCCATCCAATGACCGACCACTGCGTAAGTTGCTTAACTTCAACGATCGCAGCCGAATGCGATAACCACTTACGCTATCGAGCTTCTATATGTGGCCTATTTTTCTTGAATATTTTTTTTTATCGTTTTTTTCGCTCAGCTTACCACGCCAAATGCGTGGATCCGTGGTTGACGCAAAACCGTCGCGTGTGTCCCGTCTGCAAGCGACGCGTGCTAGCGGCCGGCGAGACGGAACGGAGACATAGGGATTCCGACTCCGACGACACCGACCCTTTACTGGAGCCCAGCGATGATCGACCCACGCAGGTAATGTACCATTCAAACGTAATGGCGGCTGTGAAATGTATTCTGGTGGCTGGGCGTAGACATTCTGACATAGACAACACTGATCCAGCATGCGGAACACCGCTATATATAAAAGAGATCCTGTATCTCCATCTCTTTTACGTGTATAGCGCTGTCCTGCATGCTGGATCCAACAAGATGGATAATAAATAAGGCGCTTTACTGGAGCCCAGCGATGATCGACCCACGCAGGTAATGTACCAATCAAACGTAATGGCGGCTGTGAAATGTATTCTGTTGGCTGAAGGTGTAGACATTCTGACATATATTACACTAAGGGCCTTATTCATTATACATTGATATTAAATAAGGTGCTTTAATGGAGACCAGCGATAATCGACCCACGCAGGTAATATGCTGTTCAGATGTAATGGCGGCTGTGAAATGCATTCTGGTGGCTGAAGGCATAAAGATTCTGACTTAGATGACACTGATCCCTTACTGGAGCCCAGCGATGATCGACCCACGCAGGTAATGTGCCATTCAAACGTAATGGCGGCTGTGAAATGCATTCTGGTGGATGAAGACATAAAGATTCTGACTTAGATGACGCTGATCCCTTACTGGAACCCAGCGATAATCGACCCACGCAGGTAATGTGCCATTCAAACGTAATGGCGGCTGTGAAATGTAGACATTCTGACATAGATGACACTAAGGGCCTTATTCATTATCCATTGATACTAAATAAGGTGCTCCATACAACAGACCTATTTTTACCCCTTTTTGATCGATATTATAATATAGTGTCTAATGTTGTATAGATAATGGTACGGAACCCCTCTTGCGCGAGTACGACTCGTACTTGGCCGGTTTTACATTAGAAGTCATTACGTTTCGGTCTTCCACATCAAAGCTGACTTTGAAAAGTCCAAATCCATACTTTGATTGGACGCCAACATCAAAGGGAGCTGTGATTACTGTTTCACGCGATCGCCGTCGAAAGTAGTTGTCACTACTTTGTCAAAGCAGACTTTGAGCAAGTCAACACGGCCTCACTGGAGGTCATTGATGATTGACCCACGCAGGTAAGAGTGTGAATCAAACAATCGCGGCTGTGATTAGGATTAAAAAAATCGCGGCTGTGTTTAGGAAAATTTACGCTACCAATTTGCGCCACTGTGACATGAGATCTTTTGTATGAAGTTTTAGGCACGAATCAAACTGTACCGTTTCCTATCAGGAATTCTGGTTACATTTGGTCGTTAGCCCGTATTCGGGTGCACGAAAGACATTACCCGATTTCGGACACCATACATACGGGCTGGAAGATAGTGTCGGGTAAACAAAAGGAAATCAACCGAAATATGGGCGTACTCAGCTCCGTTTATTTACACTTCATTCAGGTTTCGAAATCGGAATTCTCGATCAGAAAACGTCTGCGTTAGATGCACAGAAATTCTGTTTCTATATTCCTGATCACGAACCTCTACGTGTGCGCGCAGTCTTAATCGAACGAGTATTTGAATTGATCCATAGACTTTGACGACATAGGTGATTTGACAGATGAGTAGACCTTTTGTCACAGTGATGCCACCTGGCGGTCGTTATTCCACAAAATCTTTATTGCATTGCATTTTCAAAACACATTGAACTTCTATGTATTTGCCAAGTCATTAATTATCGTAAAGGGTCAAATTTATATGTTTTAAATACTACATACCTTAATTTTTTTTCATAACTAAGTTACTTTCTAGCTCATATTTGGTGAGTTTGCATTAAGCTTGGTTTACGTAACGTATCGTTATCGTTAAATTGTGTATGAATAACGCTAGTTCGTTCTTACGTCCTGTTATATCTGATATATGTTAGGTATATTGCTGCTCCTACTGACCATTATGTCTGGTCAGCACTATAGAACTCAAGCCCTAGTCTCCTCGGTTAGTATCCGACAGTCCGTGTCCATCCTCCATTCAGTGAGGTTGCCTAAAGATCGTTTTAACGTCTTTATCCGATAAATCTATATATTCCCATTGTTCTTAAAATAAAGTTTTAAGTGTAATTAAAATATTTTTTTTAAAAAAAACCATTCGCGATTATCCGCGTAACAGTCCGATAGGGTGCTGCTTAGTTTTCATAGATACTTTTACGATGCGATAAGTTACGGAACTATCAAAAAAACTCATGTTTGGGACTCAGAATACAGGTAACGTGATAGCGGGACTGTATACTGAAACTATGTTTATTTGCGGTTTCACAGGGCGGCACGTTTGAGCAACAACGAGAGAATCCCTTTCAACGCGCCGCCCGCCTCATGAGGCAACGTCTACGCGGCCGTGACACAACTGACGAAGACCAGGTAATATATACCATACCAGGATATATCGATCGATTAGTGGGGCATATCGATCCAGCCTACGACCTATTCTAAACCTACCAAATAATCACAAATAAAAATCGGTCAAGTAATTTCAGAGGAGTTCTATAACACACACTGACACAAGGTTTTAATTCATTGAATATAAGACAAACAAGGAGCTCGATGGTGCAAGTGGTTAGCGCGTTCGGCTGCGATCGTTGAAGTTAAGCAACTTTCGCAGTGATCGGTCATTGGGTGAGTGACCAAAAATTTACTATCTCGAGCTCCTCCGTGCTTCGGAAGACACGTTAAGCCGTTGGTCCCGTCTGCATCTGCAGTCGTTAGCACCTACCAATCCGCACTGGGCCCGCGTAGTGGGTCATGGCCTAATCTCACTATTCCATCCATAAGGAAGGCCTGTGCCCCAGCAGTGGGGACATTAATAGGCTGGTGATGTGAAAACAAACAAGAATAGTTAAATCAACGGCTTCTAAGACAACCGCGGAATACCAAAATTCACTATAATCAATTCGTTGGCATATACAATTCGCACCAATAAAGTAACACATCGAAAATGTCGACACGACACGAGACACTCCTTTATCTCGCGCGATAGAGTTTTCGAGAGAGACAGAATGCTTTGCATAGACTATTCGCGAATAAATTCTAGTTGAATCTGCCTGAGAATACCTGTACGTTCTACAAAAGTGGTAGCCAACATTTTACAATAAGAAAAAAGCCGTTGACATTTTCAGTTACATATATAATGCAATGCAATCAAAATTTGACAGTGTAGAATGAAAATGAAATTGAAAGAACATGGCTAAGAAACTGCCCTTAACGTGTATAAATATTTCACACTAACTCGTAACTTTTCAATATTTTTTTATTAATTATTACGTGTTTATTATTCTCATACAACTTTCGTGAAATAATCAAATATTGAAAAGTATAAAAATTGACTTCATGACTGTGTAAAAAGCAAAATGTTCCATTTTACAAAATAAATGTCCTCAAAAAATATTTTTGGAAGTACGAGTATATTGAAATAAACAATATTATTTCTAAACTCCTTCAAACTTTGATATATTTGGCCCTAATATTTATTATAATAAATTACTGAAGGCCTAAAATAATAGATGTTATTAATTTGATCAGGCTTGAGACAAGGCTGTATGATAATTAATCCGTTAATTTTTGCAAATGGACAAAATAAAACTTCACAGATTTCCTGTCAGGCAGACGATAATAAATTATTTGTATTTATTTTTGCTTTAAAAAAACTTTTGTGTGAACTTTTAATCAAAGAAATGTGAAGAAAGATTCTAAGAAAATGCTAAAGTAATGACTCTGTAGATAATTGGCAACATCTTTTATCAACTATAGTAATGACATAGTAGGAGTTCTCATAATTTTCAAGATTGTGACTTTTTGAAAAGTTCCTGAATCTTTTTTCATAGAAATTATGAATTCAGTATTTATACATTGTCAGGGCAGTCGCCCATACAAAACTTTACCATGTCCTTTAATTAAAGATTTTTTTACTAGAAATAATATAATCGATCTAAGCATCAGACGGGATTTGAACCTGCATCTCCCGCTATCCGGGCGGATATCCTCGATTCGCTTTTCACTTTCTTCGTCGATTAACTTTTTCTAGTAAAATTTTGAAAGTATTTTTTTAAATATTTCAGGAGACACCACCGACAGAAGGCAGCGTTCCGCCCGACGACGGAAATGAAGAGTGAGTAATTTTTAACGCTTCTCTATGTTTTTGGATTTTATTTTCATAACATTATTTAACTTAGTGGTCTATTTTATTAAGTATAATCGAAACAAACTAAACTAAGATCTAACTTAGACGGACAACTTTCCAACGTCTATGTGACGGCTATCGCACGAATCGACTGCAAAGAAAGCTAGTCGCAAAAAATAACCATTAGCTGCGTTCGGTTTTTGCGTCTGATCAATCTTTTTAGTGTGAATCGTTCGTTTATTCCATCTAGAGTTAATCTGAAGCGTTCGGTAATTCCGCTGGGGGGGTCAATTGCCTAACGGGATTATTATGGCTATTGCTTATGATTTCATTTTGTTATTTCTGACCACTGAAGGTTTTTAAATACCTCACGCTCATTTTATTTAATATTGTTATTACCAATGCAAAAGAAAAAAACCGAGCTCGAGGCATTTGAAAACCTTCGGTGGTCAGAAATAATAAAATTAAATCGTAAGCGATAGCCATATCTAACCCATTAGGCGATTGGCCCCCAGATCAGTCCGATGTAAATTTGTTTGCTCGGAGTATTTTGACCGGCGAACGACGTATGCGTGAGAGGGAACGTACGCGTTACGTAACGAAGTGGTTTACCCACCCATGAGAAGTTGTCACTTCAATTTGTTCGTGGCAGTATTATATTGTGTGTCGCTTTCATTGAGGTATAAAAATAGAGTGGGGAAGGCGGCTCTAAAAGTGTCCGTCTTGTAGAAAGAGAAAAAAGATGAGAGACCGCTAGCTGACCCAGCGAACTTCGTACCGCCATAAAAATAGGGGCAGGTGGTGGTAGAAGAGAAAATTTAGGGTTGTATGTATTTTTGAATATCACATTATAAAAAAATAAATATAGTCCATAAAACATTTTAGGGGGTGTGTAACGTTGTGTTCTATCAATTTCCTGGAATTAACATTCCTCCTAACCCATATGAGGACACTACGTTACAATACCCAATAGGTGGCGCGAAGGCGCATTGTAGGTTTCAGAACCCTACGTTACAGGTGGACAACCATTATCACCTAAGTATATGAAAAAATAGATAGTAGCCGATTCTCAGACTCACGGAATATGCGTATAAAATTTCCTAAAAATCCATCAGGCCGTTTCGGAGGAGTATGGTAACTAACATTGTGACACGAGAATTTTATATAGGGTGATATTGAATGTTTCTATGAAACTTCGTGAGATTGTTGGGTTATGTGTATAGAGTATGCCTGTCTTTTTTCGGTTTTTTTTGAAGTATATTTTTTTCATGTATTTATTTATAATTTGTGTATTTTTATGTCCTTTCCTCGTTTTGAGTAGTTATTCATTTTAAACAAACAAACTTACATATCCAGTGAAAAACAACTAATAAATAAGCACTTCTAAAAAACGGAAAAACATTGAAATTCTACCGCGGGTCAACGACCGACCGCGCCCGCCAGCCGTTGAGTGAGAAGGTACCTAACTCTACACAGAGCTCAACTGACTCGTTTGATTCCACACAATACAATAAAATCGCCTTAGATGCCTTTAAGTACTTAGATGAAATAATAAGCACAAATGTCATCTTCTCTTAAGCAGAGAAAAACTTTAAAAGTTAATAATAATTTTGTCACGATTGGAAATAGGCAAATGTTAAACAAAAAGAAATACTTATTGCTTAATACTTGGGTCAGAATGAAATTTATAACCAGGTATTCAAAAGTACTTACGAGACCGGCGATGTAGGTAGGTACAACGAGGAACATATTCATTTTTTTCACTAGAACTTTTTATCAAATCAATCACACTGGTAGTACACAATTAGTTGTTTCTAATCAAAAAGTATTTACACTAGCAATAAAAAGAGACTTAAATTATTATCTGCAAAATTGTTGCTCTAAACCACCATTTTGCTGCAAACAAAGGTAGGCACGTTTGCGGACGTGTCTTTTCACCTTTTTTAAAGTGTCCCTATCACTACTCACTGCACAAAATGCAACTTCTATGGTTTGGGGACTCATTCGTAAACCAAACCTACTTCGTCACACTCGCGATAGCAGTACACCATCTCTAAATAGGTATTCTTGGTTCGTATACCGAGGCATAATGAAATTATCACAGTGTATGTCACTAAGTCAAAAGATGCGCACGCGCACGCGCGATTGATATACTTGCGACTGCGTTTTGCATGCAATCAAAGCAAACCACCGCGTGCGGGGAAGAGGGGAGGTGGGCGGAATTCACATCATCAAAGACGCCGCAACCGGCGCTAGTTGCCAGCGTGCGGCGCGCCGCCCGCCCGTGCTTGCCGCAAAACAACATATTATTATGTGTGTGTGTGTGTGTGTGTGTGTGTGTGTGTGTGTGTGTATGTGTGACTGTGGCTGTGATTAAATGTGTTCGGAATTTCATGACGTGGGCAAATCAGACACGAAGAGTTCCTTCCTTCACTAAGCTCGTAAGTTAAACCGATTTGCTCTTAATTTTAAGAAGATTTATTTTATTGATTAATTACCTGTGCTTTATGAAATAATATTCAAAGGTATTGTGTATCAGTGAATAAATAATTATAATATAGCATCTAAGACTATTTTATTGTATTGTTTTTAAATAGTGTGGATCAAAGCGGAGAGTAGGTAAGCGCCGAGTCATCTGTGCGTGTAGTTAGGTACCTACAGGCGGCCGCCGGTCGTCGCCCCGACCGGCGCTGATCTCGACTGGAGGCATAATGAAGGCATTCATTAAGTTTCCGTTTTTTTAGTAGTGCTTATTTTAAGTTGCTTTAAAACTTCTATGTAGACGTGTTTAAAATGAATAATTACTCATAAGGAAGAAATGACAAAAAAATAACCAAATAAAAAATTAAAAAACGAAAAAAATTATTTTAAAAAATCCGAAAAAAATCAGGCATACTCTATACACGTAACCCATCAATCTCACGAAGTTTCATAGAAACATTCAATTTCACCCTGTATATAAGACTAGCTGTCCCAGCGAACTTCGTACCGCCATAAAAAATAGGGGTTGGTGGTAGAAGAGTGAAAATTTAGGGTTGTATGCATTTTTGTATGATGTATCATAAAAAAAATATCTAAAATTGCAAAAAAAAATTTAGGTGAGGATTACCCTTAACATTTAGGGGGATGAAAAATAGATGTTGTCCGATTCTCAGACCTACCCAATATGCACAAAAAATTTCATGAGAATCGGGAAAGCCGTTTCGGAGGAGTTTAACCACAAACAGTGGCGGCGCTAGGCGTCGGCGACGTCGGCCACCGCCGACGGCCTCGCCCCTGAGGGGGCCTCGCAAAAAATTTTTACAAGTTACCTATTTATTTTCGTTTCTCCTGGTCTGGCTTAGGTAGTCGACCCCGAACAATTCGGGGAAAAAGCTAAGCAGATGACAATGACTTTTATTATTTTCGAACACGTGCGTGATGGAAGCGAGTAGTACTTTACGGGTATTCAGAATCGTCTGTCTGGCAACATTATTTTTGTAATTAAATTTATATTTTTTTATTTTTTTTTGTCATCATTTGATTATCAACAATAAAACTCGTTTACGTTATTTTATAATTTGGCTGATTTAATTTAACGGTTTTTTACTGCGAAATAAAATAGGCTTCGCGAACTTGATGTCGCCGACGTCCATATGTGGTCTAGCGCCGCCACTGACCACAAACACCGCGACACGAGAATTTTATACATTAGATTATTTATATTGTGTGTCGTCCGCGTTTCAGGGGTAGATCTGACGACACGGCGCCCCTTCTGGCCCCGCCCCGCGCGGGCGCAGTCTCGGAGCGCAGCCCCCGCCGGACGCGCGCCGCCCGCCCCCGCGACCACCCCCGCGCCGCCCGCCCTCGCCCCCGCGCCCGCTCCAACCCGCCCGCCCAACCGCCCCCGCCTGTCATAGTAGCCACGCCCACGACGCTCATTATTAACTCCGACGGATCCATCAACAACAACGACGCGCAGATCGGTGAGTTCATCCACATTGTTCGTTTAGTAACAATACCCGCATCCGCCTGTAGTAAACAGTAGCTACACCGGCGCCCGTGATAAAATTTCGACAGATCCATCAACAACAACGACGCGCAGATCGGTGAGTTCATCCACATTGTTCGTTTAGTAACAGTACCCGCATCCGCCTGTAGTAAACAGAAGCTACACTGGCGCCCGTGATAAACTCCGACAGATCCATCAACAACAACGACGCGCAGATCGGTGAGTTCATCCACATTGTTCGTTTAGTAACAGTACCCGCATCCGCCTGTAGTAAACAGTAGCTACACTGGCGCCCGTGATAAACTCCGACAGATCCATCAGATAGGTGAGTAATCAATCTCGTCCTTCATTATCTCATTATCGACATTATTCGTTTAGTAACAGTACCCGCCCCCGTTTTTTGTATATTTTACTGATTGTAGAGAGGCTAAGTTCAGATGGTTGCGCGACAACGCGCGTACATTCTGAAACACGTGAAAGACCGTTCAAATGTGCTATCGTCGTTGCTCCGTCGCAGGTACCTTGATACGTGCGTAAACGCGAGTACGCGGCCTGTTCAGATGATCCAGACGACTTGTTGCGTGCAAAAACATATGGGACACCGAAAAATGGATGCCGTGTGTTATCGATGGTCACATGACTTTCTGAAATTAAAATCATCACAAAATAATAAGCCCGTTTTGACATTTGTGCGCCCATGACGCATATTAGAAATTTGTTCAAAAACTTCAAAAAAATAATTATTGTTCCTCATTGTCATTAGATGCGTGCGTCAGTATGTCATAAAATTTATCGAATCGATAATTTGGGGACGTAGAATTAAATTCTTACAAAATCATATTAAATTATGGTCGTACTACAGAATATGGTTCCGGAAACTTTTCATTTTATGTTTTAAACAGTTTCACTATCTCATTTTATTTTATTTTATTCTGTAAGTGGCGTAAACTTATACAAGCTTGAATCGATTTATCGTGAGTATCGTGTACCGAGTCGTATGGTTACATCACTAGTTTACAAATGTCGAAACGGCCTATTATTGTGTGATTACTGTAGCCTAAATATATTATTAATTTGAACAGGCGTAGCAGCATTACCGGCTCCACGGGATCTGTCTTCCCCGCACCACGTCGAGTTATGAACGCCACGCCTAACTCCTACAGCGTCTACGAGTGACGTCGTGTAAAGACAATACTATTATTAGTAGAAGATCCGAACCTACATCGACCTTCATCGAGCTGATAATAGGATGAAACATATTTTATCATGAATTTAGTATATTACAAAATATATTAAAAATGGGTTACCTAAAAAGATCCTGAACAGACTATTTTTAATAATTTTTACAAATGATTATTTAAAAACAAATTGTTGCTTCATCAAGATAATAAGAAAATGTTGTCCTAACAAAGTAAAAACGTATAGAATGTGCAGCCGTTGGATAACGTAACTGGCATCGACATACCTGTTTATATCTGGCAACCCAGTAGTTCACCCAGGTAAATAATAGACACCAAAGGGCTGCACTTTTTATACGTTTTATACTGTTATTAGGACAACGTTTTCTTATAATCTTGATGTTGCAAACTTGCAACATTTAATTTAAAATATATATTTTTTTAAATTATTTAAAAATAGTCTGTCCAGGATTTTCTTAGGCAACCCATTTTTAATATATTTTGTAACATACTAAATTCATGATAAAATATATTTCATTTTATTATCAGCTCGGTGAAGGTCGATGTAGGTTCGGATCTTAGACCATAACGGTCAATCGAACAAAGCGAACTACCTTCCCTACGTTCAACATAAAAGTGTCTATAAATAAATCGACATTGACAATGAGAAGATCGGACCCTTTAAACCGCAAATACATGTTTAACAAGCGCATTGTCAAAGAAAGCGATTCGGCTGAATGTATAAAATAGAGCTTGTCAGAATGTACTCCATTACTGGTGTCGCTGTGGCATAATTTTGTATGAAATAACAAACTTGTAATTTAAACGTTAAACCGAATGCTCTGTCTTCTCTTTAGCAAATAAAGGTGACAGTATCATTTTAATTGGCTTTTTTTGTTCTATTACAGTGAATTCAGGAATATTGTAAGCATTGTGAAATGTGTCGTAAATACGTTTCGCTAAACCACTCAAAACATACGAATATGAACTTATGGAGCATCAAAAACAGTTACTTTAGTTTTTCTATCCACCCAAAAATAAATCATAATCTTCTATCATCTAAAAAGATACCAATGTGTTTTTTATAAAAAAATCCGACTATGTTCTTTGTGGTAAAGGTAATGTAGCATGCGAGATGTAAGAAAATAAAGTCTTTTGTTAATGGTCATCACAAGAAATTAATATTAAGGATATGGATTATCATAATCACATAAATCCAGACATAACAAAACGAAAGCTAATAATTTCTCATGTGACTAAATGTATATTCACGTTTTATTTACAATTTTTTAACAAATGACACGTTATTATAATACGATTCAACTAAGAATAGGACCGACTGGGCGCCATATTGTGACGTCATAGCTGTGAATTCAAACGAAATAGGTAGAGTGAGCAAAAAGTTTTTATTTAAAAATCTTATTTACTAAGATGAAGTGATAAAAACATCAGATTTTTTTTAATAAAATTTATTTACTGAGATTGAGAAAAGAAAACAACCGATTTTTAATAATATTTATTTATTATGACTGTGTGAGAAAAAACATTAATCAGAATAAATAAATAATTAAGCTCTTCAATACCGCTCATCTCATAATCATGCATTATTACTAGGTCACATACGAACATGCATCCTTTAAGTAAACGAAAGTTTCAAATCGAGTTTCTGAACGCAACTTAAAATGACATTTGGTTGACGATTTAGGTTATCAAACAAACATAACCAAAGCTCAATAAATGAAAAAAAAAATAGCAACCAATATTAATTATCAATATTTGTTATTGTTTGTTTACAAATGTTTGATTTTTATTCTAGAATTAGCTGAGTGCTAAAAAAAGATTTCAAGATTTTTTTCCAAACCGCACTTTTCAAGCGACATTTGACAGATGGAGATCATTGGCTTTCCTATTCTTATTTGAATCGCGTTATAGTTTGTTTTTTCTATAGATTAAAAGAAATATTGAAGAAATAAATAACAAGTTTAGGCGCAGATTCTTTTAAGTAATCCTATTAGGAGGGATTGTCGAGTATAGTATTATCGTAAGGCGGTTAGCAGGATCGGGAATGTTTGTCGCTGCGGTGCAATATTTTATAGAATTGGTCGGTCAGTTTGGCAAATAGGCAGCCATAATTATTTCTAATGAATTGATAAAATATGTTGTATTATAATTAGTGTAACGAAATATAAAAAAAAGCTGGAGCTTGGTGGTGAACATTATTATGCACTCATAATTTTAATGCTTTAACACAACATCGTCTCGAAATTCTAATGTTCTTGTAGTAAGTTTAATTTGTTTTTGATGTGTAATATTTCCTCTCGCTTTCCTGAAATTTGTGGGAGTGATTTCGTGGAATGGGACGGAAGTGTGTAACAGGAAGTCGCGAAAGCGCGCGCCATTTGATTTGATTTTAGGACATAATCTTCAAATGGCTTTATTTCTTTTTTTACTAATATAAGGTGAGGTTTCAAATGTTACACATCATACGCGACTACTGTAAGGCTCGCTCGTTTTTTTTATTATTTCATTGTCTCGGTCCACTAATATAATTGTGTTAGGCAGCTGTTATATTTTCTAAGTTGAAACATTAATAAATAGATTCAGTTTTAACTATTTATTTATATGCAGTTAAATAAAAGTGTTAAACTTAACAGTTAAGTTGACATTATAAGATAAAAAATATGAACTGATTTACTCTTTGAAATTAAGTGTTAATTTAACATTTAAGTTAACGCTAGAAGAAAAAATATATATTGATTTACTCTTAAAAGTTTAGCGTTAACTTAACTGTTAAGTTAACACTAGAAGATAAAAAATATGAATTGATTTACTCCTTAAAGTTTAGTGTTAACTTAACAGTTAAGTTAACACTAGAAGATAAAAAAATATGAATTGATACTTAACACTGTTAAGTACTTAAACCGTTGATTGTAATGCGATTATTGCTATAGCATATTCAGACCTGGTTGTTAATAAGTTATTTTATTGAATCTATCAAAGAAAGCCATTAAAACAATAAATGTCTGTATGGAATTAGGCGTACAAATAGCCACACATCAATTTGACCACCACCTGTTTTATTTCTTCATCATTGTGATTTTTTATAATGCAATATAGAGCTCAAAATCAGTACGAGAAATTCGGATAACTTGATATGTGGCTGTATCTCACCCACAGAGACACAGAAAGAGGTTAGAACGACCTTGTGGGCGGGGCAGGCGCGCCACAGTTGTGTGAGCAAATGCTCATAACTTGACCAAAACTTGGTTCTGATTATATCGTTGCTCTCGGCTGTGAGCGCGGATTGGTCCGGTTGTTTGATGTCGCGTCATTTGATCTTTTAGGTGGGAAAGTAGTGGGGGCGAGCCGGCGACATCGGTTCCCGTACAAAACGGTCTATGATATCATCATCATCATTGGGTGATCATTCTAACTTCTTTCTGTAATCTGTGATCTTACCTCTTATATAATTAAGCTTGAACTAGTTATTACGTAATGTTTTGTTCAAACACTATTCGATGATCAGAGACAAAATGTAGCGCGAGTACAGTCTTATTCTCTGTTTTATATTGAGGATGTAAGAGAAGGAATAAAATTATATTTTTGAAGCACAAGTCAACTTGAATAACATGCGAGTGATGTATTATAATTTATATTTAAATTGACAGAAACTAGGAACGATTTATCCAATATTGCCACACCATGTTAACGAAAGTGAAATTAAAAAATATTCACGTGTACCTCTTTTAAATAATCTCACCTTACCAATAACAGAATAAAGATTTTAAATTGCCTTATTTTATTACAATATTATTATGTCAAGACCGAGATTTTTGTATATTGTCGGGAGTAACAAGTCGATAGTTCTCACTAATTATTATCTAAAGGTATGTATAGTTAATATATTTGTATTAAAGATAAATCAGCTGTGTATATATTATGTAATGTTAAGTCTGTATTGTTAAGTAACTCTTCGTATGTTGTTATTGCCATGGATTACTGAACTTGTTTAGTTTTTAATGATGATAACTTCGATTTTATTATAACTATGTGATATTGTCTTGTTTCGGGGTCGGTGCTTGCGCGCGTTGGATGATGTGATTTGTTTGTAAATTATCATTCAATTGCTGGTTCGGCTCAGCGGCCTCCTGCGGAGGTCTCATTAGGATAACACCAAAGAAATAAAATCGTTTTGACACGACTTTTCACTTTTATTTGAAAACATCTGCTTTACTGCTTCATCATCTGATACCGATTTTGTGTCCTGTCCGGACAGAATATAACAGTATAAACGTAACGTTTATAACTTGGCTAATCGTATTTGTTCCTACAAAAACATCATTAGTCCAGGAAATTAAGCATTATGACGCGCAATTTTTTCATCCTACATGATACGCTTGAAATTTACACAGATAGGTGAAGAGTTTTGAACGTTCCGTTCACGACGAGTTTACGAAAGTAAACTTTGCAGACCAATTCGAAACTTTTCAAGTTACAGAGAGGAAGGAACAATAGCTCTTGTGTCTTCACGTGTTTAATAATTTGAAATCCAACAGTGGCTTGGAAACGAAAATCGACCAATAGCTTGGGGGTGGTTCTTTAAGGAAGGTTCATTGCAGCCCATTAGAGAGAAAAAACCACCTGCATCTAAAGAACTTCTTAAAATGATTTTTTGTTAATGCAAAAAACAGTGCGGCGTTTCATGTGGCTGCTGAAAAGTCGAATTATACGGCAATTAGACCTGTTCTGGGTGCTCTGAAATACAAAAGAAATAGTATTATGTGTTTGTGTAAGTTTTATTTTTGCCTTTTTATGTAAATTATGGCATGTCTTTTTGTGTAATTATTTTTGAAGTTATACTTCTTTAGGCGCGTTATGAAAAAATGATGAGAGTGAAATTTTAAGATGCGCGCGCATCACTGTAACACAAAATTTTAACAGCATGAAGTTGGTCGCTTTAGCAACCAACTTCATGCGTTACTTTTGTGTTTACCGCACATTAAGAAAATCTACCAACAAAATAGAAATAGAATCTCTATTTTGTGGGTGCTAACGACTGCATTGTGAAGGCCTATCAAAAGTATTTATTAATCTGGAACAACGGAACCAAAGCGCGATTCAGGAGACTACAGCGCCATCTCTTGACCATTGGTGTAGTAGAACCAAAAACCACATCTTTATTTTTTGTAATAAAGTAACAGTTATAGGTATTCATATTTATAATATTTATCCACATGTTTCTAGTTTGTATATTCGGAATACGTGTTTGAGTTTCATACAAGTGCAAATCACATATGTTCTAATAAATTATATTCAGTAGCGATTTTAATTGAATATTTTGATTATTTATTTATTTTTTCAAATTAAAACTGAACTTTATTGACTGTATCCTTTTCCAGACTTTTTATTAATTTATTGTAATTAATTATTTGCATGCAATTAAAAACTAATTTTAAACGATGCCAAAGAAGGATAACTTCTCACGCGCCTACATAAGTACACGCACCTATTTTTTTTTGTATGGTAGGTATGCTACTTTTCCCCCTTTTTATATATTTTAAACTATGTTATAAGAAAAACAATGTTGTTAGGGTTTGAAAATTTGTAAAATAATGAAATTGGTAGTACTTACATCAGGTATGGACATTTTTATAGATAACTGTCAAGCTATTAATTTATTTTGGGGTAAATCTGTTTCTTTTAAATAAGGTATAATAGTGATTGATTTATGAGGGTCGAAAAATAGCAAAATCAAATAAGTACATATTTTACAACAACATTACAATAGTACATTTTTTTTTGTGTAATTAAATATTTTTCCATTAATATCTAACTAAGGCTGATTTTTAAGTGTTGAAAATTACTGAAATTGTATTCCAAAGCAGTCTGTAGTGTGTGTAAACACATCATTGCAATTCATTATTCCACTAATTCAAACCAAATTCTACCCATCCTAAGGTTTAAAATGTTATTTTATAAGTTTTGACATTCAGTGGTAGTTTTTACCCTTAAAAATAAATAGCTCCCATGCATCGGCATGATATAGATTTTAAAGAAGAGTGTAAGACGAGCCTAATTCCAATTTTTTATGCAAATGGATGAAGAACGAAAAAATTGCTAGTGTTTTGCCATTTTTAAACTTCATTTCCTGGACTACATGAAACCCGAACCAATGTTGTAGTTATTGTAATAAAAATGCATATTAACAAAATTATCATTTTATTTCATCACACAAATAAGTAATCATTTAATGTTACTTATATACAAGTTGTTATACATAAATAACTAGGTATTCGATTACATTATTCACATTGCGCTCATCCTAATCGTAACGTACGAAAGAACACGAGTGGGAAGTTGATTGAAAAAAGATTTAAATATTGAAGGGCATCTATTCTTTTCACAAAATAGAGCTACAGCAAGCATTGCTTCATTATTCCCAGAAGTTCAATTTAGCTAGTTCCTCATGGAACTGAAACTGCCGTCAAGCTGTGTTGTTTATAATTCGGCCAATGACCAGCACAGACAATCGCGTGAAACGCAGTTTTCCATTCTTGTCTTGAGTATAATACGTAATATTTTAAGTAAGAAATATACACAACAACCGCGTTGTCATACTTTAGCCTTAACTATCTTGAAAACATTCATTCACAGTGTCTTTTTATTCCACAAAATAAAAATCTGTTCATAAACTAAACCACTTTCTTGAAGTAATCATCGTCAAGTTGTACAAAGAATCAAGACCCATCCTACCAATTGGAATGATACACTTAGTAGAAAGCTGGTAAATAAATTAAATAGCTGAAACGACATTATATAAACCCCAGCATTTTCCATAGAGTTGCCATTTTTAATTTCCTGATGTTTAAGTAAAATAACATAAACATTATTTTTAGTCATATCAAACAAATATTTCTTTTGGTGATTTATGACGAATAATATTAAGTAATAAAGGCGCTTTCAATATCGCAATGCATCATCCAAAAACGTGACACTTCGATGATGGTGGTTTGGGTCGCTGTGTTGATTAAAGTTCGGACCTCTTTGGATTTCTTAGCACTGCCGTGTGCCCGATTATACTAAAAAAGTTATCAGAATGGGTCTATAGTGCATAAGAGGCTTACTCCTGCAACAGCGTGTCGGTCATTCTGCCGCTTTAGCTTCCGCTATAACGCTCCGGGCTTGCTCCAATCCTTTCCTGTGGGAAAAATATCTGAATTACACTTATGCAATGGACATGTATGAAAAGCTAATTACGATAAGGATTTTTGCGTTATTTTAGCATTGTTTGAGCTTGAGGCTCAATGTTGTCTCGAAACAATTTGACAGGTCGCACCTCCTTTAAAGTTTTCTAAGTTCCCATTATCCATTGATAGATAGGCTTTTGCTATTTGCATCTAACAACAGCTAGCACAATATAATAAGTAATTTTTACGCCAAATAAAATCTTTTATTAAAATATGTTGAAAGAAATATGGTATACCACTATGAATATAAATAATATTTGTATATTTTGAGAAGCTTGATGACGTAAGTGGTGAGGGCATTTGATCTATGATTATGGAAGTTTAGCAACTTTCGCATTCGTTGCTCATTGTTTATTTATTTTTATTTATTTATCAGGCATGCCAACATTTTTACACCCAACATAATTAAAAAAAACATACGTTATACATAAAGTTGTGCAAAAACAGTTACAGGCATACACAACTCTTATTTCTGTCAAAATTAATGATATAAAACTAAACTAGGTATAAAAAAAAACATACATAAAACTAAACTATAATCAAGTGCCACAATCAATGCTCGATAGCAAAGCCCTCCTAAATCTAAATGCAATCAATGACGCAGCGAACAAATCAACGCCTACCAAGGACCCAGTACAGATTTTATTATGTTCTTCACAAATCCTATTTAAAACACTCTGCGTACCCAGGTTGGTTTTATAAGTTTTTAAATTAAATAATTTATAGTTGGCTGGTCTGAAATTTGGTCGTGGTATATTAAAACTAATTTCACTAAGAAGTTGAGGACAATCAATGTTACCTCTCAGAATTCTATACAGTAAAATCTGATCAGCAACCCATCTGCGTTTCCGCAATGAAACCAACTCGAAATACTCCAATTTATCCTTATATGAGATGAGTTCATATCTTTTTCCCTGGTTTCTAGTTAGAAAAGACAAAAACTTTTTTTGGATTCATTCAATTCTGCTTTTATGACACTCATAAAGAGGATTCCAAATAGCAGAACAATACTCCAAGGAACTGCGTACCAAAGCAAAGTATAGAAGTTTCAATGCTTCAACATTTTTAAACCGCTTACAACTACGCCAAAGAAATCCCAGCATTTTTAAACTCTTAGATATAATATGGTCAAAATGATGAGTGAAAAGTAATTTTTTATCCAAAACAATACCGAGATCTTGAATGGACGATACCTCTTCAAGAACTTGGGAATTTATAGAATATATAGACTTAACCGGAAATCGTTTCTTAGTGAATTTTATATGCTTACATTTGTCAGGATTAAAAGGAAGCATATTTGCGTGTGACCAAGCCGCTATTTGGTCCAGATCTTTTTGTAAAAGCTCAGCATCATTGGAATTTTGGACAGTTTTGTATATTTTAAGATCGTCGGCAAACAATAAACAACTTGAGTACCTAATAACTCGAACCAGATCGTTTATAAATGCTAGAAAAAAGAGAGGTCCCAAAGTGATCCCTGAGGAACTCCTGAGTAAACCAGAATATAATCAGATTCATATCCACAAGTAACTACTTTTTGATATCTCTCAGAAAGATAAGAATGACACCAGTCTAACAAAGAGCCGTGAACACCTGCCAAGCATAATTTCTTCAGCATTATAGAGTGATTAACCTTATCGAATGCTTTACTTATATCGGTGTACACCGCATCCACCTGTCGACCCTGATCCAGTTCAAAACTTAATTCATTTACATAGCATGTCAGATTTGTAATTGTAGACATCTTTTGACGAAAACCGTGCTGCTGAGGAACGAGGATGGATCCAAGATGATTTGTAAAATATGGGTACACTAATTTTTCAAACAGTTTAGGAAAACTAGATAATAAGGAAATAGGTCTATAATTACGCACGTCGCTCGTATTTCCTGATTTAGGAATTGGTAAGACATTAGCCCATTTCCAAACTAACGGAAAAACACCAGTAGATAAAGAATTATTAAAAATAATATTTAGCGGATATGATAGAGAAGAAGCACAGTTTTTTAGGAATATGGCTGGCACTCCATCCGGACCTGGACCTTTCCTTGGATCAAGATTCTTCATCGCTTTTTCAATGCATTCTACCGACAGGTATATATTAGAAAGGGAATTATTATTGTCATAAGATGTACTGCCAACGTGTGGCATTAGAATAGCAGGATCATTAGCCACGTATACCGATGAGAAGTGTTGTGCAAAGGCATTACAAATTGACTGAGGAGTATCAAACTTCGTATTATCCAAATGCATTACAGAGGGCATCGTAACGGCTTTCTTGCGATTGTTTTTGACATAGCTCCAGAAGGCTTTAATGTTATTCTTGCTAATAGAATTTTCAATATTATACAAATATTGACGGTAACATTTTTTTATTAGTAAATGGCATCTATATCTTGCCTCTTTGAACTCAAAATCATCTACAGGATTATTATAAAGCTTCCGTAATTTTTCCTTTTCTCTAAGCATTTGAATAAGGTTTTTAGAGTACCATGCAGGATACTTATTACATTTTGCAGAAACTTTAGGTACGTACCTTTCTATAGTTTGATTGACTATAGAGTAGAATGAATTAACCATAGCATCGACTGAGTCTGTATTTCTGAGTTCTTGATCCCAATCAACACAATCAAATTTTTTATTAATTTGAGCATAATCTGCACGATAGAAATTAAATTTTAAAATTATCTGCTTTTTCAAACATTTATGAACTGTAAAGTCAATATTAATATTAATCGATGGATGATGTGTATCAAGACTCACAAGAGGATCATCTACAAAATCAACATTAACAGATGAACCACTTGAGAAAACTAAATCTAGCAGTTTATTATTCCCATTCATAATATTATTAAATTGCGTTAGATTATTTAATGACCTGAAATCAGACAAGGATTGATAGAGAATACAATTTCTGAATTTGGGAGACATAGCTGACGATGACATTGATTGACATGGGACCCATTCAATATTTCCCAGATTAAAGTCGCCTATGATTAACATTTTATCGTGAATGTCTAGTGAAGATAATCCACTAGAAATACTGCTGAGTAAATTATCGAGGTCTACTGAGGATACAGGTGGTGGGAGATATAAGGCACATATAACTAATTTACCTAAAACTCCCTTGGAATCGGTGATCGAAACCCATAAATCCTCAGAACTGCTTTCCAAGTATGGAAGACGAGAAGACGTAAGATTATTAGAGACAGCTATAAGGACTCCACCTCCGTCCTTTTTGATAGAAGATGTAGTGGCGCGATCTCTACGATAAATCCGGTAGTTATTATTTAGAATTTCCGCATCAAATACACTGTCACTAAGCCATGTCTCCGTCAAAACAATTACATCGTAACTTTGGTTAAGACTAGATATATATAATTCATGTAATTTACCACGTATACTTCTAACATTTTGATAATAAATATTTAGTTGATCGAATTTTGTATTAATATGGATAATAATACTTACTATAAACTAAAAATAAAATAAATAAAAGGAATAAGAGAAAGTCAGTGCTTCAATGATTGAAGTACATCACCATTCCGGATCCAAAGAATAGGGGACTCGTCATCTTTTCTCATTAGAATACGACCGTTTCGAACCCATAGATATTTGTACTTTGCCTCCTTTCTAAATAAACGGGCTTGAGCATGCAAAGAGCGATTACTTGGAGACAGATGTTCACTTAAATAAATTTGTTCCTTGTCTCCCGCCAAACCCAGGAGACCACTGTTGAGTTTGTCGTCGGGGTGAGCTTTAATATACGCGAGACAGGCCGCGATCATGCTATCACGAACTCGAGGTGAGGACAGTTTTACTATCACCGTCTTGGGTCTTTTTGATTTAGGGTTCAACTTGGCTACTCTCGTGCAAGACAGTATATTTTCCTGTTCCAGCGGACAACTCAACACCTTAGCGAGTTGTATTACAGTGTTGGGTAAATTCTCTTTGGAGAATTCAGGTAAGCATTGGATTTCCAAATTGCACTCACGTGCCTGCTGTTCTATGGTATTCACTTTGTCTGTAAGCTCATTAACGATCCCAGTTAACTTTAGGTTCTCCCGGCGCAAATCTATAGTTGATGTCTTAAGTTTTTCCAGTTCAGTGTTCACGTCATCATATCTGTTTGACAAAAATTCGATAGTTTGTTTCAAATCAGGTATAAGTTTAACGGCGTTCTGCAAAGCTTCGAGTTCCGAGCGAAAGATGGATTCCATTTTCTTAAGCAAAGAAGTTTCCAGCTGGGATAGCTTTTTATCCAGCACATCCTGGAATTGACTATGCTCCTCGGAGACTGCTGTGTCATCTTTAATTGGAGTGTTAGTGTTGTCGCCTCGTTTTCGTGGAACTTTACATTCTGGACATTTCCATGAGCCTTTAGCTTTAGCCGACAGTTTGACAAAATTTTCTTTAGTTATGTTGACACAGGTATAGTGATAGACATTAGAACAGGCCGTGCATGAGATCTTTTCAGAGTTGATTATGTTAAGGCGACATCCATCACATAGATTCATGACAATATATTTCCTGTATCCCCACTTAGTAAAAAAAATAACACCTTTAGGACATTGGATGGGTAACCAAAATTTATTATATCGGACTGCCGTTGTATCTGCAGTCGTTAGTACTGATCCGCACTTGGCCCGCGTGATAGGTTGTGACCAAATTTTGCTGTTCTGTCGATACGGAAAGCTTGTGCTTGTACTGACAGATGCAGCGGGTTGTCGGGCTGCAGGCGGGCGAGGGCGAGCGCGGCGAGGCGGTGCAGCGCGGCGCTCCGCAGGCGCCCGGCGCGGGGGAGGGTGTCGCTATAAAGTGTGTGTGTGTGCGGGGCGGGGCCGAGGCCGGGGCGGGTACTGACAGATGCAGCGGGTTGTCGGACTGCAGGCGGGCGAGGGCGCGCGTGGCGAGCGCGGCGCTCCGCAGGCGCCCGGCGCGGGGGAGGGTGTCGCTATATGAGTGTGTGTGCGGGGCGGGGCCGGGGCCGGGGCGGGTACTGACAGATGCAGCGGGTTGTCGGGCTGCAGGCGGGCGAGGGCGCGCGTGGCGAGCGCGGCGAGGCGGTGCAGCGCGGCGCTCCGCAGGCGCCCGGCGCGGGGGAGGGTGTCGCTATATGAGTGTGTGTGCGGGGCGGGGCCGGGGCCGGGGCGGGTACTGACAGATGCAGCGGGTTGTCGGGCTGCAGGCGGGCGAGGGCGCGCGTGGCGAGCGCGGCGAGGCGGTGCAGCGCGGCGCTCCGCAGGCGCCCGGCGCGGGGGAGGGTGTCGCTATATGAGTGTGTGTGCGGGGCGGGGCCGGGGCCGGGGCGGGTACTGACAGATGCAGCGGGTTGTCGGGCTGCAGGCGGGCGAGGGCGCGCGTGGCGAGCGCGGCGAGGCGGTGCAGCGCGGCGCTCCGCAGGCGCCCGGCGCGGGGGAGGGTGTCGCTATATGAGTGTGTGTGCGGGGCGGGGCCGGGGCCGGGGCGGGTACTGACAGATGCAGCGGGTTGTCGGGCTGCAGGCGGGCGAGGGCGCGCGTGGCGAGCGCGGCGAGGCGGTGCAGCGCGGCGCTCCGCAGGCGCCCGGCGCGGGGGAGGGTGTCGCTATATGAGTGTGTGTGCGGGGCGGGGCCGGGGCCGGGGCGGGTACTGACAGATGCAGCGGGTTGTCGGGCTGCAGGCGGGCGAGGGCGCGCGTGGCGAGCGCGGCGAGGCGGTGCAGCGCGGCGCTCCGCAGGCGCCCGGCGCGGGGGAGGGTGTCGCTATATGAGTGTGTGTGCGGGGCGGGGCCGGGGCCGGGGCGGGTACTGACAGATGCAGCGGGTTGTCGGGCTGCAGGCGGGCGAGGGCGCGCGTGGCGAGCGCGGCGAGGCGGTGCAGCGCGGCGCTCCGCAGGCGCCCGGCGCGGGGGAGGGTGTCGCTATATGAGTGTGTGTGCGGGGCGGGGCCGGGGCCGGGGCGGGTACTGACAGATGCAGCGGGTTGTCGGGCTGCAGGCGGGCGAGGGCGCGCGTGGCGAGCGCGGCGAGGCGGTGCAGCGCGGCGCTCCGCAGGCGCCCGGCGCGGGGGAGGGTGTCGCTATATGAGTGTGTGTGCGGGGCGGGGCCGGGGCCGGGGCGGGTACTGACAGATGCAGCGGGTTGTCGGGCTGCAGGCGGGCGAGGGCGCGCGTGGCGAGCGCGGCGAGGCGGTGCAGCGCGGCGCTCCGCAGGCGCCCGGCGCGGGGGAGGGTGTCGCTATATGAGTGTGTGTGCGGGGCGGGGCCGGGGCCGGGGCGGGTACTGACAGATGCAGCGGGTTGTCGGGCTGCAGGCGGGCGAGGGCGCGCGTGGCGAGCGCGGCGAGGCGGTGCAGCGCGGCGCTCCGCAGGCGCCCGGCGCGGGGGAGGGTGTCGCTATATGAGTGTGTGTGCGGGGCGGGGCCGGGGCCGGGGCGGGTACTGACAGATGCAGCGGGTTGTCGGGCTGCAGGCGGGCGAGGGCGCGCGTGGCGAGCGCGGCGAGGCGGTGCAGCGCGGCGCTCCGCAGGCGCCCGGCGCGGGGGAGGGTGTCGCTATATGAGTGTGTGTGCGGGGCGGGGCCGGGGCCGGGGCGGGTACTGACAGATGCAGCGGGTTGTCGGGCTGCAGGCGGGCGAGGGCGCGCGTGGCGAGCGCGGCGAGGCGGTGCAGCGCGGCGCTCCGCAGGCGCCCGGCGCGGGGGAGGGTGTCGCTATATGAGTGTGTGTGCGGGGCGGGGCCGGGGCCGGGGCGGGTACTGACAGATGCAGCGGGTTGTCGGGCTGCAGGCGGGCGAGGGCGCGCGTGGCGAGCGCGGCGAGGCGGTGCAGCGCGGCGCTCCGCAGGCGCCCGGCGCGGGGGAGGGTGTCGGACAGCGCGCACGCAGCGGCGGCCGCCATCGGACCGGGAGCGGCGCCCGCGGCGCAACACAGAGTCTCTGCGGGGGAACAATTCATTAAACTTTTGAACTTCTCAAGACATTTTATAATTCGAGCAGGGTGAATCCATAGGTCACTGGTTCAAATCTGACTCGAATGACCATGCAAAGTTTTGTCTGGTCGCTCGTTAGGTAGCGTCCAGTTCATTTGTTTTTACTATATGAAAAAAATAATTAGGAAGTCCGTGTAAAACTCAACGATATAAAATACCCTAAACACATCACGTGCGCTCAAAATGTGTCACAATCAAGAAGTGCTTCAACACCACTTCTTGGTTCACAATCACTCGCGGACCATTGAAAAGTCGAGATGCCGCAGAGCTCCGTGGATAATGTGGAACAAATACTTAAAGTATGTAAAGTATCGTTTTTTCGACAGGTATCTAATCAATGTTTGATAGTGTAACGTATTTGAAACAAATTTTGTTATAATACTTATTACTACAAACCGATTAAATAAAAAAAAAATTTGTGATATTCAAATGCATGTTCGGTTATATAACCGTCTCTTTTCATCGCAGTCCGTACCTGCTATATTACTAACAGCGTATTCACATTTGCTCGTAGAGTCAAATGAATAATCTCTATTCTTCGGCATATAACAACAAGTCGTAAAATTTTACGAGCTTGCATTCTGAACTGTCATAACTCTTTGACGCATGCGTTTAAGTTAAGACCTTACAGTATGCATTAAAGTTGACTTTCAATGTTTAAATAATGCCTTAAATTGTTTTTGAAGAAAGCGAGCGTGGCTCTCAATAGCCGCACCCGAACACAGCATATGATCTATAGAGTTGCAGCACTCACCCAGTAGCGATATAACGAGCGGCTCGGCGTTGAGCAGGGCGGGCGGGCCGCACCAGGCGAGCGTGGCTCTCAGTAGCCGCACCCGAACACAGCATATGATCTATAGAGTTGCAGCACTCACCCAGTAGCGATATAACGAGCGGCTCGGCGTTGAGCAGGGCGGGCGGCCCGCACAAGGCGAGCGTGGCTCTCAGTAACCGCACGCCCGCGCCCAAGCAGCGGCGCCAGAACACGCCTGCCGGTCCGTCTGCCACACTGTGTATGAAATATAAAAATAAATATCTCCAACACTCACAACAATTAGCCTAGCCCCAAAGTAAGAAAAGTGTAAGGCTTGTGTTATGGGATACTAAAGTAACGGATATAATACATATACTGATACATAAATACATACAGTGGTGGTCGTATAATTAGAAACACTACCAACAGTCCTTGACATTATGTAAGATACTATACTGCAAACGTTTTTAGTTTGAAATGATTACACAACTGCAGTTTCAATATTACATTACGGACAAACATTTAAATCACTTTTAAGGTATGAATAATACTGGTCAACTAATTCGTCGGAGTGCACCGCGTGCGCAACGCGGGCGCGCGCGACTTGCGCGAGGGGCGCGAGGGAGGGGCGCGCGCCTGCTGTACAGTGAGCGGGGGCGGGGTATATACTCACGCGGGCAGCAGCGGCGGCAGGAAGGCGTCGGCGTGCAGCGCGTGCGCGAGGCGGGCGCGCGCGGCTTGCGCGAGGGGCGCGCGCCTGCTGTACAGTGAGCGGGGGCGGGGTATATACTCACGCGGGCAGCAGCGGCGGCAGGAAGGCGTCGGCGTGCAGCGCGTGCGCGAGGCGGGCGCGCGCGGCTTGCGCGAGGGGCGCGCGCCTGCTGTACAGTGAGCGGGGGCGGGGTATATACTCACGCGGGCAGCAGCGGCGGCAGGAAGGCGTCGGCGTGCAGCGCGTGCGCGAGGCGGGCGCGCGCGGCTTGCGCGAGGGGCGCGCGCCTGCTGTACAGTGAGCGGGGGCGGGGTATATACTCACGCGGGCAGCAGCGGCGGCAGGAAGGCGTCGGCGTGCAGCGCGTGCGCGAGGCGGGCGCGCGCGGCTTGCGCGAGGGGCGCGCGCCTGCTGTACAGTGAGCGGGGGCGGGGTATATACTCACGCGGGCAGCAGCGGCGGCAGGAAGGCGTCGGCGTGCAGCGCGTGCGCGAGGCGGGCGCGCGCGGCTTGCGCGAGGGGCGCGCGCCTGCTGTACAGTGAGCGGGGGCGGGGTATATACTCACGCGGGCAGCAGCGGCGGCAGGAAGGCGTCGGCGTGCAGCGCGTGCGCGAGGCGGGCGCGCGCGGCTTGCGCGAGGGGCGCGCGCCTGCTGTACAGTCGGCGGGGGCGGGGTATTCGCTATGTGCGAAGTACATGGTGGGGGTATAGTGAAGCGATCGCAGCGCTTATCGTGGCAGAAATACGCAACAATCCGGGAAAGTAAAGTCAATTTGCACGGAGTTCGTAATAAACAAAAATTTTTTAAAATGCCTATTAATAGATGTTGTTGTGTTGTGAATTGCAAAAATAAGGGCACAAATAGTCTGTGTATATATTTCCTACATTGGACTGGAAATTAAATCAAAGAAATAAATGGATAGATGCCATAAAAAGAAATAAGTAAGCGAAATAACCTTAAATTATGATCAATTTTATTTGCGCTATATATTTTATGTGATATTCATTATTGTCTTTATTATTTTAGTGTTGATGGGTCGCCATGGTATCCCAAACCTGACGACACAATTTGTAGTGAACATTTTATGGGAAACAAAAAATCAGACGACGAAGAAAATCCGAGTTATGCTCCTACGATATTCCCTGAAATATATCGAAAGAGGAAGGTTAATGATTCACAGGTCCTAGCTAGATATACACGCTTGACAAAACGAAGAACCACAAAAGTCTCAGATACCACATCAAATCAAATAATATTTGAAGAAGGGAGTGAATTAAATCAAACTCAACCTTTTATGATCGATCAAGGATGTCAAGTCAATATGTTTTCTGAATCGAAATTAAGAGATACAACTTTTATTTGTATTAGATTAATTTACAGTGATCACTGTGATCCAACATCAAGAATTTTAATGACAAATAATTCAAGAAAGAAAGATAAAAGCTGTGGCACTGACAAAAAATCGTATGAGGATCAATCTACCGAAACAAAAAGTCAAGAATTTGTTGGTATTTCATCAATAACAAATGATCAAGAACTCCTAGATCCTTCTGGTGTGTCATTTAGCAATTTTGAGTCTTTATTAACAAGATTAACTATGAGAAAATGTACAGTTTCCACTAAAGACCGACTTCTGATTTTTTTGATAAAAATGAAAACTGGCTTGACATTTTCAGCATTGAGTGTGTTATTTGGTGTACAAAAAAACCACAATCTCACGTATATTTCATTCGATCTTACAAAATCTAGCTTGTTCAACTGCTAATTTAATCTTTTGGCCGAATAGAGCCACCGTACAAGCACCAATGCCCAAGTGTTTCAGTCCAGATTACATCAATACAAGAGTTATTATTGACTGTACTGAATTCCGAATTGAAATCCGACATTATTTAAATTATTATACAATATATAATAATTTTTATTTATCTTTACCTTACTATATTTACTAGAAATCAATAAAATACAAACTGATGTCATTATTTGGCATAATCCCGGAAAGTTGCGCATTGTAGGTGGCGCTACTGTCGTGCACATAGCGAATATACTCACGCGGGCAGCAGCGGCGGCAGGAAGGCGTCGGCGTGCAGCGCGTGCGCGAGGCGGGCGCGCGCGGCTTGCGCGAGGGGCGCGCGCCTGCTGTACAGTGAGCGGGGGCGGGGTATATACTCACGCGGGCAGCAGCGGCGGCAGGAAGGCGTCGGCGTGCAGCGCGTGCGCGAGGCGGGCGCGCGCGGCTTGCGCGAGGGGCGCGCGCCTGCTGTACAGTGAGCGGGGGCGGGGTATATACTCACGCGGGCAGCAGCGGCGGCAGGAAGGCGTCGGCGTGCAGCGCGTGCGCGAGGCGGGCGCGCGCGGCTTGCGCGAGGGGCGCGCGCCTGCTGTACAGTGAGCGGGGGCGGGGTATATACTCACGCGGGCAGCAGCGGCGGCAGGAAGGCGTCGGCGTGCAGCGCGTGCGCGAGGCGGGCGCGCGCGGCTTGCGCGAGGGGCGCGCGCCTGCTGTACAGTCGGCGGGGGCGGGGTATATACTCACGCGGGCAGCAGCGGCGGCAGGAAGGCGTCGGCGTGCAGCGCGTGCGCGAGGCGGGCGCGCGCGGCTTGCGCGAGGGGCACGAGGGAGGGGCGCGCGCCGGGCACGCTGGCCAGGCGCACGAGCAGGTGTCGGAGGCGCACGCAAGCACGCACGCACACCGGGTCCCACGCCACCTCAACCAATTCTGGAGGGGAAACAAATATTTCAATCAATATTAACTCTTCTGTACGAGTCGCGTACTGCATAACTTTGTATAACTGAAGAGTCAGCACGACCTTCTTCGATCACATAGTTGTATCTAAAAAATGTATAATAACGCTTCCTCCGTCTCTTCAGACGTGAAACACGCATTCTCTTCATATAATATACAAACAAACTATCTATATACCAAGGCTCGTTAATAATATCGTCGCACTCACCAGTCAGTTTTGGCATTAGCACGCGACATATGAGCGCGGGCACCAAACCCAAGTCGGGGTCGTTCCGCACCGCTTCCTCCGTAACTTCGGACGCAGAACATTCAGTTTCTTCGGACGAAGAACCTGATGAAGTGCTGGACGAACGCTCGCGACGAACGCCGTACATCATCAGGCATCTACGATAAACGATAGGGAAATATTGAAAAATTCTTTGTTCCACTTACTAATAAACGAAGCTTGAACTAATTACGAATTGTTTTGTCTATAGTCAATCGTTCATTGCTAAGCCTTCATCAGTTGGATAATTACAATAGTTATCAGTTCCAAACTTTGTCACTGTTTATCAATTCCATACTAATATTATAAATGCGAAAGTGTGTCTGTCGTTACCTCTTTACACTTATACCACTGCTCCACTGAACCAATTTCGAATTTGGAATAAAGACAGTATAAGTCCCGGAAACGGACAACTTCTTATTCCAAAAATCATTCTTTATAGGGGTGAAAAGTGTAAATTTGTATGAGAAACCAATTTTGCCACGGATACAAATTCATAGGCACTCAGTGTACAAATAAAGCTGGGAGTAATAAATTTTTTTATACTACATCTACTTAGAAAGTGCTTTATTATTGTTTCAAAAATTAAGCAGAAAGGACCTCTATAATGTTGTACTACTTAGCGCTGGAAAAGTGTATGGAAATGCCTTTTGAACGTGCTGAATCGGCACAAAAGTCTATGGAAGTTCATTGTTAACATGCTGTCCCTTTTTTATGTTTCCAAAAAACTAGTGGTCAGTATGATTTTTCAGATTGCGATCTATTCATATTTACTTTCTGAACATTATTTTAAATAAAGAAGAAAATTTTTATTTTGACAATAACTGAGCTATTTGTTTTCCTAGATAGGAAACTCAAGACGGCATGTATTAGTGATAATGAAGGTTTATTGACACCGCCAGAATTAAATAAAACCACCTAAGCAGTTATTGATTACCCGTAAAATCAAGAAATCAATATAAAGTTCCCAGGCAAAAGTTTAGTTACTGTAACAACTTTACAGTTACTTAATTAAAATTTAATTTAAATTATCTTTTTTTTATTTTATTATCTTATATTTTTATTATATTATCTTTTATCAAGGACGTAACCCTCGAAAGAAAGTGCTATTCCCAACAGTTTGACTTTAATACACCCATATTAGGTCAAAATACACCCTCTTTGGTAATTGGTCACTTTCTCCTCTCAGTAAACAATGTATTATTGTAATGTGAACACAACATGGCATATTTAGTTCCAGTTTATTATTCACTTATTATTATGAATATTGTGAATTTACTCTAAAGAAATATTAGTATTAATCATGTAAAAAACTGATCAATTTGGCTTTATCAAAACTGTATTGTCCGTTTGCTTGACTGACTGAATATGAAACACACCCAAAATAAGTATGACAAAAGAAATCATGCTCACTTGTACCAGTCCATTTTTTCGTAGTCTTCATTATCTTCATCTGCCAAGGGATTCCATAATATCAGCTGAAACAAATATGTTTTAATGAATTCATGAATTATAATAGGGTTTTACTAGGTTCAATGGTAGACACTTTGGACTAGACCACTAAACTATTAAGGAAACTACTCGCTAAGTAAATTCGAGATGCACTTCAATTTGGTCCTCATAGCCAATATCTTTTCATTTTTAAACAAATAAATAAAACATTCGTCTTCAGAGACGTAAAATTATTAACGGCACAACATAATATATGCAACATTAAACGTTACTATAAAAATACTTTCCGACTGTAACTTTGTCTTATAACAACACTGCATATTTTGCATATCAAATCACCTTTGAATTACACAGAAACTTTGGTCCGTACTTGTTTTATTATTTACAATAAATATTTTTATTCGCAGATTCTTATTGTTACTGAGCTATCTTAACACTTATCAAACAGAACCACTAACCATCTCATCATAAAACAGAACCACCTTCATTTCTCCACTCTCATCCTGTTGTGCTTATGTGTAAGGCCCTAATACTTTGGGCAGACAGTAGCGACGTATGCGTCGGGCGTAAAGCGGCTTAATTTATATACGTGTTACTTTATTCAACAAAAGCACCTTCATTTCTCCACTCTTATCGTCTAATCTTCAATATGAGTTTACAGACGAACAGCGTCGCTAGCTTAATGATGAAGTATTACTTAATTCAACACAAAAATATATTATCACTTATCGCGCACTCTTATGCAGAAATCAGTTACACTCCTACGTCTATAGTTATAAAGAAAAAGACGCAGATTCGAATACTGTCTGACACCTTGACCGAGTAAATTTTCTTAGCATTTTAATGTATTGTCTGTCTTATATATGTATTTTAATGGTCAATAAAGTTTGATAAATAAAACAAGATTACTAAGCTAGCGACGCCTCTCACCGCCGACTGTCTGCCCAAACTGTTGGGTACTGTACTCGTATTTTTAATAATTTGTTGAGGCATTAAACTGGTCGATTTATAAATCTTAACACATTTTTACTTAGTGCCGTCACTTCACTTGGCTATCCGTGTTAGCTATTTGTGAACTTAACAACAGTCTGCCCTTATCATGTTTCATAAGGAATGAAAAGGACAGACTGACTTCAAGTTTACAAATAACAAACACTAGTAGCCAAGTGAAGTGACGGCAATAAGTAAAAATGGTTTAATGCTTCAACAAATAATTAAAAATACGACTACAGTTACCTGATGTCTCATCAGCAGTTTGAGCAGACAGTAGTCGGTGAGAGGCGTCGCTAGCTTAGTAATCTCGTTTTATTTATTAAACTTTATTGACCAACACATTAAAATGGTACAAAAGGCAGACTTAATGCTGAAAGCGTTCTCTACCAGTAAACCTTTGCTAAAAACGATATAAACTAAGGGCTTGTGTTACTTTATTCAGCAAACCTTTTGTTTTGTGGAAATAAATGAATTTTATATTATGTAATTTATTAACATATTTTTCTTTGTGACATATAATATGTTGATTAACTAACCTAAATTATTATATAAAAATAGATAACTACTGTTTAAAATGAATTTTAAATTAAATAAATGATTAGTTGTATTTGAGTAACATGTGTCTATGTTTATAGTAATGATTATGAGTTATGTTGCTTGAAATAAATGAATTTTATTTTTTTACTACCTGAGCCAGTGAACTTCATATCGCTTTAAAAATATGGGTGGTAGAAGGGTGAAAATTCAGGGTTGTATGTATTTTTGTATGATGTATCATAAAAAAATAAAAAATAAATTTTATATGGTGGATCCATAACATTTAGGGGGATGAAAAATAGATGTCCGATTGTCCGATTCTCAGACTTACTGAATAAGCATATAAAATTTCACGAAAATCGGTCGAGCCGTTTCGGTGGAGTTCAATTACGCACACCGTGACACGAGAATTTTATACCATTATCATCATCAATAGCCTATATAATATTAGAATTTTATATATTAGATTTAAAACCCATAGTCACCTGGTGTCTCACATAAGGCCCCAGTAGTTTGGGCAGGCAGTCGGCGACGTACGCATCGGCGTACATAGCGGGGGAGCGGCGTCGCCACTGAGCCAACTGACCGCATACGCCGCGCAAGTTACGCCACGCCGGCAGAGTGTCGGCGAATAACTCCGCACTTGCCGCTCGGATGGCCTCTAAACGAGGATAGATAAAAAAATGTGTTATAAGTGTAAAAAAAAAACAACACAACAATTAGCCTAGAGGAGGTGTGAACTTTCGCAGCTCCGTTTTCATATAATTTATATTATATATTTCCATACGAGATCTTGCAGCAAAAATTTCATGAGTTAGGTGTGTAAGAGATGTGTACTTATGAAAATCAAATGCTTTTGTTGGGTTTTGTATAAATGCATGGGAATTACACGAATACAAAGAAACATGTTTTTATTTTTTTAACCAAAAATCTTACAGAAATATTCCAAGTACAGAGTGAGAAAACTTTTTTATTAAATGAACTACGAAGCCAAAGATAAAACTACAATTAGTTTAGTTTTTACTGAGATAGTTGATTATTACCAAACATCATACATCATTAAAAAAGTCAATACTAAAAATCACAAGTAAATAAAATATTACTTCTCATTACCACTCAAAAAAGTGATTTCATTCAGTGCTAACTAAAATTTTCATTTAATTTCTGAGAGAATAACATAAAAATTTAACAAACAGAAGTTATGCAAATCATACACATAGAGTTACAATAATTAGTAATAATCATAATTAATCTTTATTGTCCTTCCAAAACACAACCAATGGGTACGATAAATATATTATTTATTTTCTCACAATAGTAAAAAAAACCTAATCCTTGTATCCTTTGCTCCACTCAGGATTCCTATCTAGAATCCTTCGTTGCTGCAGTACCAGCACCTCAAATTAAATTTCTTTTATATTTTATGATCCACTAATTGCATACTATAGTATCAATTTGGTAAAGCGCGGTATACTGAACGTCTGAACTCTGGCAGACTCGCGGCCGTATTTACCTAAACTGCAGCGGCGCAATTTTGTAAAAGGGCTCTTAAGAAGCCGCTTTCATAATTTGTTAGCCAAAAATTTATTTTAGGTAAATCCGGTTATCCGATCCAATCTCTCGTTATAGTCTAGTCGCTGGAGTCTCCGTCCTTATGTGAAGGAGAGGCACATTCCTTTCAACGTACCCGTCCCGCTCTCCAATATACCTGTCTCCCTTTGATACAGCTTGTTGGGCGGCAGACTGTCGTCGCTGGAGTCTCCGTCCCTATGCGAAGGTGGGGCACATTCCTCTCAACGCACCCGTCCCGCTCTCCGATATACCTGTCTCCCTCTGATGCAGATGCAGCTCATTGGGCGGTAAACTATCGTCGCTGGAGTCTCCGTCCCTATGTGCAGACGAGGCACATTCCTCTCAACGCACCCGTCCCGCTCTCCAATTTACCTGTCTCCCTCTGATGCAGATGCAGCTCGTTGGGCGGCAGACTGTCGTCGCTGGAGTCTCCGTCCCTATGTGATGGCGGGGCGCCGGCCGCGGCCGCACATTCCTCTCTACGCATCCGTCTCGCTCTTCTCCTGCCCTCTCGCTCGGCGCAACGCCGTCGCTTCTCTTCGGATTCTATGGGCTTAGCGGCGCCGGGACGTGCTGAAAAATAACACAATAGAATAATAAAGGATGATTCAGGCTACATCGTGTCGCGACCGGGCCGTGCCCCAGCCGGGGCACGCTCAAGCAAACATTATAGTATACTTTTTGTATGAAGAATTTCATAGTTGGCTATGGCTCGGCCGGTGCACGGCGTGAAATGTCGAAGGGTATTGTTTCATGGCGCCCCTCTAGTTATCACACGTCCGCCCTCCCGTCCTCCAATCGTAGGTCCCTCAGATTAGAGTACCCAGAAGACGAAATCACCTGCGAAAACGCCCCTCCGACTACTCCCACACAGGCCACAAACACCAACACTACACAGCTAGCAAACTTGCACACTAGCTTAGCATTAGGCAGACACCGCTACGGGTACCGATAAGAGTGCAAAGAAGACCCGGTCTACACAAGACACGCATACCAGGTACAGGTACGTACCTGTTCTTTTTTACGGCGGCTTACTAGAGCTTACTAGAGCCTAGGTCGGTTTACGGCTTACTAGAGCCGAGGTGGGATTACGGCTTACTAGAGCCGAGGTCCGAGTCTCAGAGACGCCCTCTAGTTGAGCAGATCCCCTCAGGTTCGAGTGGTCTAGAGGCTTCAGACTGAGAGAACAATCCCCCCGTGGGGAAATGCCATCCGCCTGGAATACCTCTAGAGGGACTCGCCAATTCTCGGCTTGAGGTCCCCTTAGGATCTCGCCGTCCCTAAACCCGATGACGCAGTAAAAGTCATCTGCGACCATCAGCATACACACTCAAAAAAAATCACGGCGCCGGCACGATCCGACTCCGACATGTCGCGACACGGAGTAACGTGAATCATCTTTTACCGTAACGAATGGAGCATTTGATTGCGATTGGCAGACCAATGAAAAGGTAAGTCAGAAAGAGAAAGAGAGATATAGAGAAAGCATTGAGCGGTGTTATGGATTTAAAAAACAAAAAGGCTTCTAAACAATTATCGTGTGCTAGCTGCAGACAAGAAAAACTCGTTAATGTACCCCTAACTCGCGTCAAATTGCTCTGGGCTCGCGTCGTAGGCGCGTGCCCCAGCAGTGGGAATATTAATAGGCTGATGACAAATCACGACCACAGAGGTCATGTGGTATTTATACGTCGGCTTTCAAGTGTCGCCGACTCGTGATGAATCTCGGTGGGGGCAAATGTTAGTAAGATGAATACGAGCATTTGCACCTTAATCATGGATATCTCTTATCTATTAGACAAGTCCGTCCGTCCGTCCGTCCGTGGTGCTGTTTCAGCGGCCAAACCGTAAGAGATAGATAAAGAGAATGTTTATGTTATAAGTTAAGAATAGTCTGATAAGACTACAAACCGGATTTGAGTAACGTAGCACTTCCGGTTTTCGAGAAATCACGTGATTTCTATTTCAAACGAAACCACACAAAATCTCCGAAGTTCTCAATTAAATACTTTTTTTTTTTGGTGAACATTTGGTTCACTGGTTTGCTAGTTTATATATATTTCCATAACAATATACATATATATTTGTTCTATCCGTTACCCTTGTATCCCATAACACAACACAAGCGTTAAAGTGCTTACTTTGGGGTTAGGCTAATTGGTGTTGAGTATGGTAAATATTCCATTATTATATACCTGAGAGTGCTAGAGTGTCATCCGCTTGATCTCTGACATCGGCGCGTCTTCTCTCCACTAGAAACTCGCAGCGGCGACGCGCCAAAGCTAAAGCACGACCTTCTAACGCTTCTAGCGTCGGCATCTGCGTATATATTATACATTATTTTAAACAAGTGACCGCCCACGACTTTGTCCGCATCTATATTAATTTTTTGAAAATTCCTTTTGGAACCTAACGCTTTTATACGGAATAATGTCTCAATCCAAGTCATAAAATATATGCGTACCATTATACCATAATCCGTTCAGTGGTTTAGGCGTGAAAGGGTGACAAACAAACTCACTTTTCACAACAATATTTTTTTGTAAAAATAGTAAAAACGCCTGTCAATATTCATTCTAAACACAGATGCTAACATTTGGCACTTTATTTTTAATACCATATTACGTACCACCTTACAAAGGATTTTGGCGAAAGAACTGTTATAAAATTCAATACGATCCCCGCATATAGAACCATAGCTTATACAGACATTTATATTTTCATTTAATTCAATCTTTTAAATGAACTGCTACTTACAATATTCGTTAAAATACCCAAAAATATAATGACATTTTTTTTCGATTACAAAATTGACTTTTTTCTTTACTATTGTAATGTGTCAAAATGCCCATCATCATAACGTCACTGCCAAATAATGCCACAGCTTTTCTTGAAATCTTTCTTCTCTGGACATTATGGCATCTCACTAGTCTGTGACGTCACACGAATGTCATTAAAACGTCGAACGATACAATTTAATGTCACTGGCCGAAAGTATACTAGCGTGTGACGTCATTTTAGTCATGGCCAATCCCAGGAGTTTTCGGTCACTTGACTGTCAAACAGCCTATTTTTCTTATTTTACTGCATACCTAGATCTAATTAACAAAACATACATCAGTAGAGTTTCCACTATAACATACAAAAGAGTTCAGATTGTTTCTATCTTAATCTATTAACTATATATTACTATAAATATAATATATCCTTAGAAATAACAAATCACTGCACTATACCTTCTCGTCCAGACACTCCACCAGGTCAGTAAGGAAGCCCCTGGCTGCCTGGGCTCTTCTGTACGCCGCGTCCAGGTGCGCAGTTCGGGCCGCCCTAGATTCCCTCATACGGGCCGCGTTTAGAAGCCGGTCCCGATACTCTTCACGTTTGAGGGAACTCTGTTCTCGGTCCGTTTGGAGTTCCTCTAACCTAAGTGGGGAAAGAGAATAAATAACTCCAACACGCATCAATTAGACTAGCCCCTAAGTAAGCTCTGAAAGTCTTGTCCTTAGGGATTGCAATCCGGCGTCATTTTCAGTCCGGCCGGATACGACCGGATTCCCATTGATCAAATCAGGGTGATTTTCGCTTTTTCGTACAAAATAAGTGAGTTAATCAAGTGGCACTGCACTTATATGTAGGGAGTTTATAAAAAATAAATCCTGAACTCGTTCTGAAGTTGAATAATTCAGACAATTTGTGTCCAGCACTATTTATTTTATAATCTTTTTGAAGTTATACTTCTTTAGGCGCGTTATGAAAAAATGATGTTAGTGAAATTTTTAGATGCGCGCGCATCACTGTAACCCAAAAGTAACAGCATGAAGTTGGCCGCGGGCGCGTTATGAAAAAATCATGTCAGTGAAATTTCGAGATGCGCGCGCATCACTGTAACACAATAGTAACACCATGAAGTTGGCCGCGGGCGCGTTATGAATGTTAGTGTCTAATAATGGTGGATTATTAACCACTAAGTGGTTAATAATCCACCATTATTAGACATCTGTTCGAAAGGTACTTTGAACTATCCAGGGAGCTCCATAAGATGATCGCGTTGTCAAAAACAATGTTGGCACGCTCGTCGCCTCTGATCACTGTTTTCATATTTATAATATTTATCCACATGTTTCTACTTTCTATATAGACACAACGTGTTTTAGTTACTTACAAGGGCTAATTACATATGGACTAATAACTTTAATTCAGTAGTGATTTTAATTGAATATTTTGAATATTTATTTAATTTTTCAAATTAAAACTGAACTTAATTGACTGTGTTAACTATCCTTTTTCAGTCCTTTTATTATTTTATTGTAATTATTAATTATTTGCATGCAATTAAAAAATATTTTTAATGATGCTAAAGAAGTATAACTTCTCACGCGCGTACATAAGTTACACGCATCCATTTTTTATAATTCTTACACTCAGACATAAGTGATCAAGATAATATTAAAAAAAAAATCTCAATGTAGTAAGCATTCAATTACTATTATTATAAAGTTAAATGATTTCTAATGTGCATATGCTTTACCATTAGTGCAATAATTTTATTAAGGTAAATATTGTTATTGTATTGATTTAACTGACTGTACATATTGTCATTTTTCATTGATTGTGTTGTAGAAGCCTGAGGAAGTTCAAATAAATGAACGAAAAGTCGCAAAATTAATAAAGTTTTTAATAAAACACGTCCAAAAACACATTTACTTACTCGCCTGCGCAGTGTGGCGAATGATAATGACCCAAACAGTACCCCTAGCACGGACCATTATCGAATTCGAATAGTTTGCAAACCGAAATGTCAATGTCAAATTTTGTATGGAAACTTGAACAGCAGCGGCAAAAAGTACGTTATGAGAACTAAAAATCAGTACACATTTGACAATGACATTTCGTACTCGCAAACGTTACGAATTCGATATTGGGTCGTGCTAAGGGTACTGTTGTCTGGCGGTGGTACTGGCGAGGCGTAGTGGGGCGACTCAGCGACGAGAGACGCATGAACACCACGCGCAACGCTTTTAAAGTACCTACTCATACAACAGCTTTATATTTTGCCACAAACTGCTAGCACCGGTCTTCGAATTCAGTATATTGGAACCGGATCTGGTAACCGTCAAATGATGCCGGATCCGCCAGATTACCGGATGCGTTTTTCCGCATTCCCTAGGTATGGGATACTAGAGTCATGGATAGAATACATATACTGATAAACATATTGACGACCTCCGTGGCCGAGTGGTTTGTACGCCGGGTTTCATGGTGTCGCCGACTCGAGAATTCGAATGAGGGTTCGAATCCCGTAAGGGGCAGATGTGATGTGTGATGAACATGAGCATTTGTACTCCCGTCATGGATGTTTAATATGTATTTCTATATAAAAATGTACTTTAATGTAATGTACAGTATATGTATTCTATCCGTTACCCTAGCATCCAATAACACAAGCCTTATAGTGCTTACTTTGGGGCTAGGCTAATTGGTGTGTGTTGGAAATATTTATTTATTATTATATAATTTTATTTAGAAATACATATAAACACAAATGATTTGGGTACAATTCTCCTATCCATCATACTAAACATTTGCCCCGCCGGGATTCAAACCTGGGAGTATCCGATACCATGAAACCCGGCGTACATACCACTCAGCGAGGCGGTCGTCGGAGAAGATAGCTTAGTACTTATGTGGTTGATATAAGTTAAATTTAAAATAATAATTATCAACCTATTAAAAACCCCACCGTTGGGGCACATGCTTTGCCTATGGATGAAATTTGGAGATTGACCCACGACCAACCATGTGGGCCCAGTGCGGATTGGTGGGCGTAACAACTGTAGATGATGGTTTAATGATTTTGAAGCATGGAGAAGCTCATGTTAATCAATGTTTGATCACCCATTGTTTTCTTTCCCATTGTAACATTAAAAGTTTATTATAAGTTATTTTAGACAATGTGATATTTCTAAATAAAGGTTTACTAGAAAAAAAATCCACGCGAACATACATCGAGCAGTTAAATGCTTAAAAAAAATAAAAACATAATTATAATTGCTATTTCTTCTTTCAAATGTTTAATACTTGTAAAAGTATTCATTTGACATTGTGGGTTACCTACAATGCGAAGAGATGGCGCTGCCTTGCAGTCTAAGGCTAGAGAAAAATTCGACACGGCGGCAGGGCCGCGGTAGCATAATGGTCAGTGCATTCGCCCTGATAGCGAAGGGGTGGGTTCGAATCCCGTCTGCTGCCTGGTCCGCGTGTTTTTTTTTAGCAGTTAAATACTTAAAAACAATGTGATATCTATAGAAAATATAACTAGAAAAAAATCCACGCCGACCAATTTTTTTCTAGTTATATTTTCTGTAGATTTAAAAATCAGCAGTTAAATGCTTAAAAAATAAAAATTATAAGTATAATCTGATATTTACCTGTTAGTAAGGGCAACCAGCAAAGCGTTGGCAGACTGTATTGGTGGCACAGCGGGCAGCGGCCTCAGATGCGGCTCCGAGTGCAGGCGGGGCGGAGCCGGCGCCACCGAGAACGGATTCAACTCCGACATATTCTCACCTAGCAGGATAATACTCGCTATCGTTACATTGGAAACTTGCTGCTCACGTATCACAGGGACACAATTGAAACAACCTGGGCTCTTGTACGGTTTCCTGAACAGCCAGCCTATTCGCTTGCTCGCTTTTTGACATTTAAATTTTTTTTTTTTATTTATTAATTTACAGTCAGGCAACGTAGGCCCATAGATACATACCTTAAAGTCTAACATATATACAGATATAAAACATAGTAACAAACTTAATATAACTATTAAAGTGTGTAAGAGAAAATTGCATACCCATCGATGCTGTTCAGAACAAGTATCTTGGTGGCATTATAATAAAACAGTAGTGGATAACTGAATAGCTCGATGATTATCATTTTCATATGTCAAAAGCAGTTAGCGTGGGCCTACAGGAATCCAAATTCAGAAATCTGAATGCACACTATACGGTTTTTTTTACAAAATGGATAACCTAACATTCGTTACGGACTCTAATAAAAAAATTCTACGCTAGGCTCACCCCAGTGTGCGCCCAGTCTAAGAGCAAGCGCACATTGAGCCACTAAACGCAGCCACTAATGGCTCATTCAAGCCGTAAGACGCTGCCACCGATCGCCGCCGCTAGTGGCTTAGTGACGGCCACTCGAACGCTTAGTTTACGCCGATATTATACAAAATGTATGAAAAACTCTGGTAAATAAGAAACCAACTTGATTTTTAGAATAATACATTTAGTTTGTTTTATCGTCAACTGCTATGTAGTAGTTAATTACATAGGAATTTATATAGATGGCGCCACTATTGTTTGCCTCACTGACGCTCGCTCACTGTACCGACTAATTCTCTGCTCCACGACGTTTGTACTAAGCGTATATGTGATTTCTTTAATAAATATTAATTTAAACATAAGTAGTTGTTTGCTGTTTTTGATCTACACCAGTTATCTCTCCAAACACGATCGCGGCTTATAGTCGCGTTTAGTGGCCGCCAATAGTGGCTCAATGTGCGCTTGCTCTATGGGCACCTTGCACTACCATTCTAAATTCAAATCGAAGCTTAGGCGCCTTCCTAGTCGGACCGGCGTGTGCACGTTTCGTTTACGTTTCTGTACCTTTGTACGGATTCTTTACCGAGAACCACTACTTGACCGGCTCGGTTTCGATGCGGTATCGTATCGTTTTGTTAGCTACGGGGCGGTGGCTACTACTGCGGGGTGAGGCGGGAGTGATGGGACTAGAGGTATGCATCCCGGCAAAGTTCTTGAGCAACGACCATAGACAAGGACGCCTAACCGCAGTAGCAATAGGCTATTTGACAGTATGAAAAATAATGAACCAATTATTGGCATCTGTACGAATATAATAGGTAAGACCGCTTTCGGCAGGCGCATTCTTGTTAAAATTATAAGTGACCGCTGCCCGCAACACTCTCAGTCGTGTGGCGTCACACACTAATGAGACGCCATAATGTCCAGAGAAAAGTTGTCGCGGTAAGATGAAAATTGAATTTTTAATTTAGTTTTTTTTTTACTGAATTACGCAACAGAATTAAAAACGTCCACTTTTTATGAACTCCATAAACATTAGTAAATAACGTGAGATCAGTTTCTTAAACTTGTCTAATACCCTATTTGACACACAAAAACGTTAACTGCGCAAGCTTGTCTGTAATTTTGCACAAGAAGTTTGCCGCCACCTATGTTTGCGCTCGATACATAATCTGTACTATAACTACTCAGTGAGGAAGCTCTCATTTAATTACATGCACTCGTTAAATAATATGTACAGACTCGGTATAGAAACGAAAACGGAACGAGCAAACGCCGTTGTGGGATAGAAGGCACCTAAATCCAGTTAAGCGCATTTCATTCTCCTAAACTTGAAATTTGTATGCAAAAGAGATGGAATGAACTTTAATGAAGCTTAAACATAATTGAGATTGAAGAACTTTGGATCTGGGCATTAAAATAAAATAGTAAAAACATTAAAATCTCACTACACATCCTGACTAAAAGTTTACTCTGGAAATCATTTTCGTTAGTATGTAGTTTGTTTTCGTTTATTCATATTTAGACTCACTCGGTATATCACAGATGGCGGGCATTGATTTCTGCATCTGCTGCTCCTCCCACTCCTCGGCTTCGCTGTCCAATTCCTCGTTAGTGGGCGCCGCGGCCGTCCCTCCTACAATACAACAATCATCATCAGCCTATTAATGTCTCCGCTCGAACTAATTGGAAATAATATGGAATACGAACTGCGCTAAAAAGTGGTTCCACGAAAACTGCGATCAAGTGGGCGGGGCGAGAAAACTGCAATCAACACGCCGATCATGTGATTGGTTGGGATTTACGTCTAACATTATCATACCCAATGGGTAGCCGAATTCACTTGCAAATATTTGATTTGTTAAAGTATTTTGTTTTGTCTGTGTGCATGTCGCGTTAGTATTGAAGATTAGTATTAATTATTATTATTAGGATGAATTTCGAACTTGCCTTTATTAGAGAGTAATGCTTCCATATCATTTCTAATTCTTTCTCCACTGCCACATTAATTACATTATGTAATGGATAAATGCATACACAGTAACGAATTTTCGCTGACGAAAAACTGAGTAAATTTGTATAATCAACTCGCTTTAACTTACTAGGGTTTCACTGTACTATGACAATATAAGGTAAAACCTGAACTGCAACCTAGCTAAAAATTATAAAAACAAAAATTTAAGATAAGACTGATTTAATAAAACCAAGTTTTAATAATTTGCCAACACATTCTCAAATGTTATTAGTGAACACAGAGCATTTTCTATACGCAAAACTCGCCTCGAAAGTCTTTAGCTACTTACTAATGAAATGACCCTATTTCATTTGATCACCATCGTGCGTCTACGATTGTGGGGGAGGCATCCCCTGTAGTTTAGTGGTTGCACCACCAGCGGGTGATACCGTCCCCGGTTCGGTAACTACTTGGTTGCATTTGGTTGCACCATCAAGTTACCACTAATCGACATATGGCATTGATATAATTCGTAACATTTTGTTACAATTGTCGGTATCTCACTTCAACAACATTATGTTGTGAAACAATGCTAATTCTTACAAGTTCACATATTTGCCAAATTGACAGAAATTTTTGACATGAATCAGGGCTCTGTTTTTCTTCTTCTTTTTCCGAAAGATTTGCGTTAAAATTTTAGTGTTGTCGTTGTTAGTTACAAATATATATATATTACTTTTATAAATATATATCCTCTTTTATACAGGAGAAATAATAAAGAACGAATAATTTTCACCTTAGATCACTGATTTTGCGTTAAAAAAAAACTGGATATAAGAGATCACCCTACAACAAGCCGTCGGCTTACATATGTCAGCAAGACATGTCGACTTTGTGAAATAGGGCACAGATGAGATATCCTCCATACAACTGTACACATTTAGTTGGTGGCTCGACGGGTGGCACCATCATGGTGTTCTAATGAAATAGGGCACGAAGACTACTTCAATTGCAAAGGTTCTCTTACGTTTAGGCTTATCACTGGGCAGATCCAACCCCCTGACGTGGATCCGACCCTCTTCATCGTCATCATCTCCTGAGCCATCGTCCCGCACGAGCCTCGACCCTGGAGCAGGTTCCGTCTTCACGGGCACATAGTCTCCTCCGAGTTCCCGGGCCTGCAATTACAATGTTGTGTCCAAAAACTGTGCAAAAGAGTAACGTAAAAATAATTTGGGTTAAATGCTGCAATGCTCTTTATCATGGTTTCAGGCTGAATGTAAGAGATAAGGTTTAGTGTAATCCAAAGTTTATCGTAATGTTAGCAGCGAGCACAACTATTTGCAGGTTTCAACATTATCTTAGATTTTGTTTACTGCGCAGTCGCCATTTTGTTTAAATCGCACTTTAGCAGTAGTACAAGAAACATAATTATCATGTGTACATATAATATTTGAAGTTGTTCTTTGGGCCATCATTTTTCCTTACCTTATTGTTATAACACAACTCTTCCAGAAAAATTATAAAAAATAGTAGTTATGTCTAAATAGAAGTGGTGGTGCGGTACCATATGCGGTGCGGCATTTATTATTTACACATAAGGATCATTGTAAACAGGACATATAAGACGAAGTTTACTTGAAGCATAGACAACTGCAGCTTCTATACTAAAAGTTCACAAAAATAATCGTTTGGTCTTCTACACTTCTTCTTACTCATGGCCTCAAGAAAGAATGAACAATATGTAGTTCCAGACAACCCAACTGCTTGCCATTCCATGGCTCTACATGAAGATTTCACGATATTATCACTGATCATAGGTATACACCCCAGCAAACTTCTCGAGCAACATCATAGAAAAGGAAGCCTGTACAGTAGCAATTTTACATAAAAAATGTTTGATGCGCAAGTTTATTCGACTGTAGTTTTTCTCAAGAAGTTCCCATCGCCGCTACCTATAACATTGGCGAAATACAGTCTCGCGGGCTACAAGAGACGACAGTGGTCAGTGGCTGGCTTGTGTGAGAAACATCGGCGACGGCTCGCTTGTGCCTCACCTCTCATACCTGCTGTCTGGTCTTGCGCGCGGCGTGGATGAGCGCCGCGTCGGGGATGAGGCCGGGCGCTCCCGCCAGCGCAGCCCTCACCGACTCCGCGCGGTACCGGTGGAACCCGTGCCCTTGGTCCTCCTCCTCCTGCTCCCCCTCTTCATCCGACCCGCTGCCCGACACGTCGCCCGACCCGTCTGCCGCCAACGCCGCCCGTCCCGACAATATCAACCCCTCCAATGTCACTTTACTCTTCTTCTTCTCCTGCTGATTACTGTCCGTCACCATCTTCTCCTCCTGTACATCGAAATCGAACAATAGAATGGCGATCAGTTTGAAATATAGCAATAGCAAAACAAGCGGAGATTGTCTTTAAGTAAACTAACTTTGTTTAAAGAATAACTATTATTATAGACTTTACTGCACTCAAGGCACATTACCTCCTGCACGTTATTGTCATATTTATTACTATCACCGTCAGGGACGCGCCGTCTCTCCTTCTCCCTGCGTTTCGCGAGTCGTTTGCTCTGTGACGATTTCTTCACTTTAAACACCTCGCCATCTTCCTCTGAAAGAAGGATGAGAAAAATTTATTGATATTAAAAACATCCTCATCGCCCCTGGTGACTAAGGCATAGTGAGGCCCCGAGCGATTTATTTTTTATCGAAGCACAGGGCAGTGGATCTTTGCAAGACCCCAGGCGGTAGATCTTTACGAGACCCAAGGCGTTAGATCTTTAGGAGTCCCCAAGTGATGAAACTTTAGGAGACCCCAAGCGATAGATCTTAAGAAGACAAGTGATGAATCATTAGGAGACCCTAGGCGATAGATCTTTAGGAGACCCCAAGCTATGGATCTTTACGAGACCCCAAGTGATGAATCTTTGCGAGACCCCAGGCGATAGATCATTAGGAGACTCGCAAGTGATGAAACTTTACAAGACCACAGGCGATATATATTTAGGAGACCCCAAGCGATGAATCTTTAGGAAATTTCAAGCGATAGATCTTTAGGAGACCCCAGGCTATTGATCTTTAGGAGACCCAAGGCTATTGATCTTTAGGAGACCCCAGGCGATAGATCTTTAGGAGACCCCAAACGATAGATCTTTAGGAGACCCCAGACGATAGATCTTTAGGAGACCCCACACGATAGATCTTTAGGAGACCCCACACGATAGATCTTTAGGAGACCCCAGACGATAGATCTGTAGGAGACCCCAGACGATAGATCTTTAGGAGACCCCAGACGATAGATCTTTAGGAGACCCCAGGCGATAGATCTTTAGGAGACCCCAGGCGATAGATCTTTAGGAGACCCCAAGACGATAGATCTTTAGGAGACGGAAGCCTTTAGATCTACACGAGACCCCTAGTGATGAATCTTTACGAGACCTCAGGCGCTAGATCTTTACAAACATCAAACATCCAACAGTTAAATCCTTAAAAATAACAGAAATATATTAATATGGAAAGTATATCGATTGATGAACAACATGGTTTTGTACCTTAGAGATCCATAGTCACAAATCTTCTTATGTGTCTTTAAAAATGAACATATAACTGGGACAATCAATAACTAATGGATGTCATATGTACCTAAACTATGAGAAGGCTTTTGATCATGTTCCTCTAAAAAGACTATTAGTTAAGCCATTTGGAATATGCAGGGAGCATCTACAGTGGATTGAAGACTTTCTAAGTTATTTATTATTATTTTATATTTTTTGAGGCTATGCAGTTCTGGAACTTTTCACTGCGACCTATACGATCTATTGTGATTTGCCACCAAGTTAAAGCATCTCTTTTAGCCAGAGACAGCTACCAAGAAGCTCAAAACATTTCTTTAAACTTTAAGAGATTGGATTTCCTCTGGGCATATTATATGTTGACCACATGAATACTATGTTTGTGGATAAGAGGCCCAAATTCACATAGAAGGTATTTCGGTGTTTCATGCTCCTGATTGCAGTGTCTGCAAACATCAGTGTCAATTAATTTCATATGAAATTGGTGTCTGTTGAGTTTGCATTGTCCAGTTAAGGCTCTTACGATAGCACGGGTCTTTGCCTGCTAAGTTCTATTAACTCAGCACTCCATTTGTTCGAGTAACCTTCTATCGGCATGCTCTTATCCCGATTCGCCGAGAAGGCCTTCCTTAAGAATTTGCAAAGCATGGTTTCTAGGAATGTCACAGAAAGGTTCTGGTCCCATCTGTTGGCCCTGTGTCCCTGATCTCAATAGTTCATCAGCTTTTTCTGCTTTTTTTGTTGCAGATTATGCCGGAATGACCTGGTACCCACATTTAAGAACAAATATATTCTTTTGACCCAGGTTCATCATAGCTTCAAAATAACCAAAAAGACTATTATATTTGAACTATAATAAGAATCTTTACAAAAACAAGAAATGCATGCAAGCAAGCAAAATAGGATTACAAAAAGTATATAATATATCAATGGTGGCTGAATGGTACCATTTAGATTAAAATTAATAAAATAAATTTGGTATAAATAAAAAACATCGATTGAAGGTCTTTTCATAACAATACAAATTATATAAACAAACAGGCAGCCACACATCAAGATACCAAAAATTGGCAAATTTTCTCAAAAGACTGTAAATCATATGATAAGCAATACAAAGCTGAAAGTAGTTTGGATAGAAATTAGAACAGAATTATTATTAATATAAATTTGTCAAATTAGTATAACTTGACACTTCCATGTAACAATCCTGACATTTCTGAATATGACATTAAAAATTCTTTGTCATCGGTTATTCCTTGGTTAGATAATTATAATTTAAAAATAAATCTTGAAAAGACTAGATTCATGACAAATAATGAACGATCTCTAAAAATTGATTATAAAAAATTTTGACTTAAGTGAAGTTGAAAGTGCCAAATTTCTAGGTATTATGATTGATTGTAGATTAAATTGGAAATTTCATATAGAAAGTGAGTAGTGTGGCCTATGTGTTATTTAAATTGTCTTCTTTATTGAACTCTGATGGCCTGCTTACTACATACATAAATATATTTGCATGATATAGCTGCGTCAATTCTGAGATATGGTATCATCTTCTGAGCGAATTCTACTGATAAAGACATAGCATTTAAAATGCAAAAAAGATGCATAAGAACTATGTTTAGTTTAAAAATAACGGACAGCTGTAAACCGTATTTCTTAAAACATAAAAATTCTGACACTTCCGTCTATGTACATTTTTGAGGTTTTACTATTTGTAAAAGATAACATGCACCTTTTTGTTAGATGACAGATGTTATAGATGGTAATAGACGCGATAATAGTAGGTAGTGCATGATAAACTCGAGATCAGCTCTTATGGGAAAGAACATATTCTGTATGGCCCCTCGAATGTATAATAGACTCCCGACACATTAAAGAATTATATTATAACTTATATAACAACAAAATTAAAAATATATTATTAGAGAAATGTTATCATAATGTATCGGAATTTTGAAATGATTAATTTTGAATTTTTATTATGTTTTTTTTATTATTATTACTATTAATTCTATTTTATTGAATTGAAATTATATGAATTTGCCATGTTTCATTATTGAATAATAAGATTTTTGACTTGGAATTTGAATAACCTGATGAATTTGTATGCCCATGTTAGCACAACATGTTATGTACCCCTCAAATCATAACATCTTACTTACACATATTGTTACAAATAAAAATTTTCTTTCTTTCTTTCTTGATCTATGGCTGTCTGAAAGATTTTTTTTACACAAGTACTCAATGAAAATTTTCATTACAGTTGGAAAACCCCTTACACTTAATATATACCTCAAAATACAAATCATAAATTATAAAACTCATTTGTAATAAAAAGGATGTTCTATTTGTTTATAGGAATGCTATTCATTTCATTACACAATTCCTTTGATTAATTATTTCGCTTATTTCTATGCATTTTTTTTCTCTCTCTATAAATGGAATCTCTTACTAAAGTTTTCACAAATCAATGTAAGAAATTTCTGCAAGATGATGAAAACCTATATATCGGCAAATGTACCTTTAATACCAATTAATGAAATGTAAAATTTAAATGAACATAAAATTATTATAATCAGTTCATTTTGGTTAATACATTGGGCCATGATCCATAACGTGGTCCCAGTGCGGATTGGAGAGTGGATTTAAGTATATAAAACATAAATCGTTGAAAAGAAGGAAACCGAAGAGGTTACCTTCATCAGCAAAACTCAGAAGAGAAGTGGTTTTCAAGGGTTTATTTTCTTTTTTCTCCCTTTCATGACTTATTAACGGTGGTGGCGGCGGCTCCGGATCTACTTCATCTTCATCATCAGCGCAAAACATCCGCCGTTGTATTTTTTTTGGTTTCCGAAATAATGACATCTTTGCAACGCGTCTCCAGATCAAACGGTAAAGACTTTTTCCAAGTCTTAGAAAACAACTAAGGGCATTAAATTGGTTTTCAGACACGGTAATAAAACTGTACAAGAGATTTATAAATAAGTTACTACAATTTTTCTGAAAATCACAATTTATTTTTGTTCGAACTGAAACCAACCATCAAGAACCTAAAATACAGAAGTAGGCAGTGTTGCCAACTCGGATTTTGAAAAAGGCGTAGGTCCGATGAGAAAATTACGTATAATTAGTAAATTTTGGATATGAAAAGTACGTAGATCTACGTACTTTTTTCTGAGTGAAATGAAGAAGTTAGGTGAAACCGAATAAAATGAGTATTTTGTTATACAATTTGTTTAAGAACGGGAGATAGAACAAAGAGTTCTTGGAGAAGTCGCTGCATTGGAAGCATTTACCATGCTGTGGTAGACATTTACCATCAGACACAGACACTGGTGGGTGTCAATTCTGGATGGTTCTCTTAATTTAAAACTAAATTTAACATCAGTCTCTCCTTTTCATTCTGTATAGAGAATGACAAGGATAAACTGTTGTTAAATGGGCTAGTTGACACTTTTTGGAATTATGTTTTAAATTGTTAATAATCGTTCTATCGGATCGAAAAATAAATGTATTATACAAAAACGCTATTTAGTCAATAGACTTATCTATGCTATGACATCAAAACATTTGAAAACAAACTATCGCAAGCACGTAGGAAATAAACTTTATAAGTTAATATTATAAAACCACTACTTCTAATAGATCACATGAAAAATATAGTAGTTATCTTGATACACTTGGTAAAAGACTAGAAAAGTTGTGGTTTAAATTGCCAAGAGAAATAAACATACTTAGACATGAACATATGTTTAAAACTTGCTAAATCCTATAATTTTATCGACTGAAAGTCATTTCTTTTTGCAAAGATAAATTCGATGTGAGTAGGTACTCATTGATAATATTAAAAGTTACAAATACAATTTTTAATGTTATGAATGTACTTACTAAGTCAAAGAATTTTGTCGTTTCTGTTTTCACAAATCCTGCGGCCAGCATTAATTTAGTCAACAAAACCAATAACGGGAACCTTTTCTACAAGATTTATTCTCTTATAAGAAATAAACATTGGTATAGTTTTTAAGTAAAGTAACGGAAAATATTCTTCTTTATTCTAGTGAATTAAGTTATTTTACAAATTTGAAAAAAGTAAGAAAATACGTAGATTCTTGGACTGAAGACTTAATTTTTTATTTAACATTTGTATCTCCTTTTCGTTTTATATAGAAATTGACAAGGATACACTGTTGACAAATATAATTTTTGGTATAGAGAATCATGCCAGAATCGACACCTTAGTCAGAGACTATGGACGTTCACTCTACACATAAGTACGTTCGTGAGAATCAATTTGTAAAGGCAGAAACATATTAACGTGTCAGAAGCACATCTCGGTTTCATACATTTATGCGGGATTTACACTACCCAATTTTAAGGGACTTGCCCTGATTAAGGCTGGTGTAATGTGAGTTAGGGAATAAGAAACCCGATCAAGGATGATCGGTGCGGTGTAATAATTGCTTACCCTAGCTAGCATCTCTTATCAGGGTGATGATGACGACATTATTTTATCTAGTGCTGATATAAAGAAGTAAATGAACGATGCAAGTGTAAAAGTTTAAATGCAAACTTTAAAACTTTTTAAAGTTCAAGTCCTTTCTCGGCTAGGAATCAAGCCCAGGCCACCTTCGTAGCAGGCGAGCTTTCTACTACATCTGAACCATTGATGCTTGTAGATAAAATGTGAACTTTTAATAACAATTCACATTAAAATGTCACAAGTTCTAGTTGAACGATTTTTTTTGGAGCGATTCGATGTAAGGTGTAATAGAAGTTTCACATTAAAAAAATTGAAGAAATAACTTTATTTTTCGTTTTAATGAGGTGGTAATCTTTTTGTTGAGATTCCACATTCTGTAAAAAGAAATACAAGTTAAAAACAAAATGGAAGGTTAATACAGACGAGGTTTTCAGTGTCTTAATGCTTACACATTTAAAGGGTTGTTGGTTGATGTTAATAGATAATATTGTGGGATATTTCGAGATGTTTTCATCTAAGTATTATTATACACATAATACAGATTATAAATAGATAAAACATGATTTGCAAAAATGAAAACTATTCTTTGCAACCTTTTCGTTACATTACAATTACAATCGAAGAACAGTCAGATCAGATGATGAAGAGTTTAGCTGCAATAATAAAATCAACAGAAGATATTAAGATGAGCTTTGCATTGCAGCGTTATTCTATAAAAATAATAATAATACATATATTTTTTGTTACTAAGCCGAATAATCGATTAGTTCAAATGAAATTTTCCTCGATTCTGCACGGACACACGTCACGTCATCGCCACATCCTTATTACTCCGCCATTTTAGTTTCGCACTGAAGTTGTGCGTTTGCTCTTGGTAAGTTTTGACTTTTATTATCCGTTTCTAACGAAATAATCTTTAATTAATAGTTCTTTATTCTTAAATTTTTGTTTAAGTATTGCTTCTTTAACATCCACATTTCTATTATTTTCGATATATTACAAATTATCTCTAACAGGCTGTCAATTAATAGAAGGCTTTCGTTTTCAGTCCTTAAATTTCTCCGAAGTCCCTACTACACTCTCCAAGATGGGTAGGGAGGACAAGGCTACCTGGAAGTCTAACTATTTCACCAAGATTATTGTAAGTATTCACATATAAATTTACTATAGCAAAACTTGCAAAGTTAACCTCGAAATGTTACGTTTATTTTAATGTGTTAATTTTTCTTGCAGCAATTGCTGGACGAGTACCCAAAATGTTTCCTAGTGGGTGCAGACAACGTTGGTTCAACCCAAATGCAGCAGATCCGTATTTCGCTGCGTGGACACAGCATTGTGCTGATGGGCAAAAACACCATGATGAGAAAAGCTATCAAGGACCATCTGGAGAACAACCCAGCTCTAGAGAAGCTGCTGCCACACATTAAGGGCAATGTTGGCTTCGTGTTCACCCGTGGAGATCTTGTCGAAGTATGTACTTTTAATTTTATTCTATTATAATTTGTAAACCGAGTTTGAAGACTGATCCCTAGTCACTGTTCGTACTGTAATTCTACCGTTTCACATATTTTAAAAGCAGTATGTTCATATCATGCTCTTTGTGGGATGAACTCTTGTCAAGTTCATTTAAAGCAAATAAGTAAAGCCTTGTGAAGTGCTGGCGTAACTTTGTGTCGCGAAAGGGAAATTTAAATCTGCATAAAATTGTTATTAGTTTCTGGTTTTACACTTATCCATACACCAGTTTTCAATAACATTTGTTAGTTTTCAAAATAACAAGTGTTCTTACTAGGGCTTAGATAGTAAACATAACTTGAATCAAAATTAAAATCTATTGACTTGTCAATAGTGAATCCCAATCCCAAAGATAGGCTTATTTGTCTTAAGTTTCAAAAAAAAATATTTCATTGGTATAATTATTTTTTTCCTATTATATATTTTTTACATAATTTACTATTACAAAATGTCTGTTCTAATACCAAAGAGTGTAACATTAATTCTTTGGCTTCGCTTTCAGACAAAATTAATTCTTTAAATTTATCCTAGTGTTATATTCTTCATAATAGGTATTGCACTGGCATTTTAAAGATACATATTTTATTTCTAAATGTGATTTATCCATGATAACTAAATTATATTGTTTTTAAACAATAAAATTTTACAAATAGCTGCCTATCATTAGACAATATTTGTAAAACTTTTTATGAAGTTGATTATATTCTTATTTCTAAACAAGTTGACTGTAAACACTGTCTCTGAAACTTGGCTGTCTTACTAGGGCTAATATAGTAAACATAAATTGAATCAAAATTAAAATCTATTGACAGATAATGAATCCCAATAATGGAAATCATGCAGATATCATTTAATCCTTGTCTTATTTTGTAAGTGCTTATGTCTACATTGGTGTCAATTCTGACACGATTCTCTAAATCTAAACTTAAATTTGACAACAGCTTATCCTTTTCATTCTCTTTATGGAATGAAAGTTAAGAGATTGATGTTAAATTTAGTATCACACCAGAATCGACACCATAGTTATATTATTTAATGGTATTAGGTCCGTGACAAGCTACTGGAGAACAAAGTCCGTGCTCCTGCCCGTCCTGGTGCCATTGCCCCGTTAGCTGTTGTCATTCCTGCTCACAACACTGGCCTTGGACCTGAAAAGACTTCTTTCTTCCAAGCTCTTTCTATCCCCACCAAAATTTCTAAAGGTAATTACAGTCGAAACTGGGTACAACTACAGTGTAAACCCTATATAACGACACTAAAGGGACTACATTTTATGGCGTTATAGAGTTATCGTTAAATGGAAAGAAGAAAAATCAGAATTATGAAAAGAAAAAGCTAATTTCAAGCTAGTAGTTATGTACATAAAAAAATGTTCCTATTTGAACGCTATTGGGTATGGTTTTGACTGGAACCTTGCCAATTTGTTGTAATAACCGACACGTCGTTATCAACAATGTTGTTATATTCGGTTTAACCTGTATTTTATAATATATTGATTACATAATATTATGTCTATGCTAAAGAATCATGTCAGAATTTACACCATTATCAGTGACAATTCTGACATGATTCTCTAACTTAAATTTGCCAATATTTTATCCTTGTCAATTTCTATACAGAATGATAAGAAGAGACTGATGTTAAATTCAGTTATAACTCCTACATCACTGACATGCTTCTCTAAACATAAACTAAATTTGCCTTCTTAGTCTATCCTTTTCATTCTCTATAGATAAGAACATAATATTGTCAAAATTAGTAAGGTTTAGGAGAATCTGGCTGATTTATGTCTTAAGTGTCAAAAAATTGTAACCTATTCGTAAAAATTAATGATATTTATTTACAAAATGTCTGTTCTAATACCAAAGAGTGTAACATTAATTCTTTGGCTTCGCTTTCAGACAAAATTAATTCTTTAAATTTATCCTAGTGTTATACTCTTCATAATAGGTATTGCACTGGCATTTTAAAGATACATATTTTATTTGTAAATGTGCTTAATGCTAATTAAACTTAATTGTTTATAAACAATAAAAATTTAAAAAAAGGTGCATATCATTAGAAAATGTTTGTAAAACTGTATATGAAGTTTATTATATTCTTGTTTACAAACATGTTGACTGTAAACACTGTCTCTGAAACTGAGCTGTCCACACTTGTCAGTTATTGGTAGGATGTAGCCCAAAGAGGTCGTGTTGCTCTGTGCTACAAACGTTAACGACATATAGTCCAAGTACAAGGATCTTTATGAATGCGGCGAAAATTAGAACTAACGCTGCCCTCTTTGTAAATGTCATATTTTTTGTCATTTACGTAGACAGTGGCGCCCTCCCTGAACTGTCACTCTCATTCAAAAAGATGTTTGTCGCACTGGAAGTAGTTTCATAAGAGTAAAAAAAAGGAAAAGGTAGTGTGGTCGCAACTACTTCTTAAAAAGAAATTATGTATTGATATACCGACAGTGGAAAAGCAAAATAGCATCACTTTGGTAAAGCTTAAAATTAACATTAACCAAAAAACTAAAAAAAAATTAAGCAGCACCCAAGTGTAATTTTGCCACTGTTGATAAGATGAAAATTAGTGAATCATACCTTTTGCATTTAATAACTTTTCAACACCACTTTTAGTTGTTTGATGAAGTTAATCAAGTTATTTCAAATTGAAAATTTTTAGTTCATCTATGTCTACTTCTGTTTGTGACAAATTCAGTTCAGCTGCAGTTTCAGAACAAGTTTTTTTTTATCTATATATTTCTTTAACTGTATACACAGATGATGCAACATTGTTTCTAAACTGTTTAAATGAATATGCGGCCTGACGTTTTTCAGGTACTATTGAAATCATCAACGATGTGCACATCTTGAAGCCTGGTGACAAAGTGGGAGCTTCTGAAGCCAGTCTGCTGAACATGTTGAACATCTCTCCCTTCTCGTACGGTCTTGTTGTCAAACAGGTATTGCATCTATTTTTATATTTTACTGAAGTACAGAATTTTTCCTTTAAGGATGTTGTTTAACGTACAGGCCACGATCCGAGTGCAGCTCTGAGCAATGCGCTAGTGTTTGAAAACACGCTAGATTACACAGATAGCTCCAGCATTAAAAGTGAAATGTAACATAAGAGCTCACGGAGAGGTTTTTTACCGCACCCGTCGGCCGCAGAACTGTTTTATTTGAAAACTCACAAGACCGCAGTTTTCTGCTCGTGCCGTGAATTTGCTTTTGCATTTTACCTACAATTCCACTTCTACGCAATTAGAAGCGCCGCAGCAGGCGCTGAACAAAATCGCGCCGTGATCTCTTAGCCTTATAGCTCAATATCACTTGGTCGTTATCCCCTATTCGGGTGCACGAAGGACATTACTCGAAGCAATATTATCACTGGAGTACGAAAATTTTTGAAGTGAGTGACTGTGGGTAACGAAAACTACTTGTTATGGTAGACTGGACTCCGTTCATTTACACTTATGGCGCGATTACACTTGCTCGTTAGCCCAAATACTAGTGCCAATGGATTTCGGGTAAACGACTAATTGTAAATAAACAGTTGAGTACGCCCTGGTTCGGGTACTTACCCGACCCGTATATTGATTCGGATGCCCGAATTCGAGTAATGTCTTTCGTGCACCTGAATACAGGCTCACGACCAAATGTTATTCAGCCAAAATTCCATTGGCACTCGTATTCAGGCGAACGACTAAGTGTAATCGCGCCATCTGTCTTTCATAAAACCCGAGACTTCTAGCTAGCATTCTTCCAAAGTGTTGAGTACAGTTTGCTCTTTTTGTGCACTCTGATAATTTACCTTTGGTAAATAATATGCACTGGTCACTCTTAATGATCTGTCTTTATGATTGGTCATCTGTACTAATGCAAACAAAATATTTTTTTATTGAAATTATATTTCTTATATTGCATTGTTTAAGAAAATATCAATGTTTGTTTATTTCATTTAGTTACATTTTATTTGATATTGTTGGAAATATATTTTTCTTTTCTCTTTTGTGTAAATTACTTGAATTGTTTATATTTTTACATACGTCACTAATATGCTATGGATATTGAGTATCCCCTTTTTAAGCATTTTATTTGTATTAGGAGATACTCGCTCTTTCGTGAATTTTTATATTGAACTTTACCATAAAACAATTATTCAAGACAAGTTTCAATTGATCCCGCCCCCGTAGCATGAGCACCACAATTTACATTGTATCACGTCTCATATGGCGTCCAACTGTCACTCAACTGGAGTTTAAACTCCAAAGTATTTGACACTTGAGCACGAAAAAAAACGCGTCACATATTGCGGTCCTCATGCCAGGGAAGAAGCCATCAGACATTAACTATTTAAAGTATTCAACTATAAACTAACTGAGATTTCTAAAGTCGCGCGAACATAACGTTTATTCCGTCTAACAGGTGTACGACTCTGGCACCATATTCGCGCCAGCCATCCTGGACATTAAGCCTGAGGATCTCCGCGCCAAGTTTATGGAGGGAGTTGCCAACGTAGCAGCCGTCTCCCTCTGCGCCGGATACCCGACGCTCGCCTCGGCGCCACATTCCATCGCCAACGGGTTCAAGAACCTGCTGGCTATCGCTGCCGTCACAGAGGTCGACTTCAAGGAAGCCACCACCATCAAGGAGTTCATCAAGGTAATTTTATCGCAAGTTTGCAAATTATCAAGATAATTTTTTTCACAGATAATTAATGTATGCAATGAGTGTTTTTTTTTTAAATTTAGGTATTATTTTCATTTAAGTGTGATGAAATCACATTTAAAATTCTAATTGATAATAAAAATAAATTCTAAAAGGCATGCAATAAGAATAATAGTTTGGTTAATAAAAAAATACATTGATCACATAGATCATCATCTCGTAGTTTTCGCCAATAAAGGTAATGGGACTTCATCCTCATCATCCAAGTTAAAAACTGTATTTATGTTTTGGTTTTAATGCCTGTTTCTGGTTGTGTGCTTTTCTATCATAGTTACATGTTGATCAATGATAATTATCAATATGTAAACATAGACCAGTTGTATATAAAAATAGTTTTTTAGAAATACATAATTACTAGCTGATCCAGCGAACTTTGAACCGCCATAAAAAAAAATTAAAAAATCATTGTCCAGCGGACAAAATTGTGAATCTAAACCATTCTCAGATCCCCTTGAACACACAAAAAATTTCATCAAAATCGGTCCAGTCGTTTAAGAGAAGTTCAGTGACATACACACTCACAGAAGAATTATATATATAAAGATATTTGGTCATTCATTTGTTATTTTTAGGCTTCTTACTGGTCCATTGAGATGTGATTATTTATATGCAAAAATGGAGACTCATCTGACAGTAATCAAAAGGTTTATTTGGCCCTGGATTAGAACCCTGAATAGCAATAACAACATTAGATTGAAATAAAATTTTATTGAAAATGTCTGTTCTAATACCTGTGAGCACCAACACTGGCTCTCTGGCTTCGCTTTCAGACGATAATAATTCTTTAAATTTATCCTAGTATGGTATTGCTATGAGCACATTGTACTGGCATTTTGAAGATACAACCTTACCAATTTAACCAAAATAGTAACCTACTTTTAGACTGACCAGAGACGGAAGCACTAATTTTGACAGGTCCGTAATTGCATCGTCAAAGTTTCTATTAAAACTAAGCAGTGCCTTACCGGTCGAAAGAATAAACTGGCTCCTCCAATACACAATTTGACGACACGATACGATTACAGAGCTGTCAAAATTCATGCTTTGATCACTGGATCTACAAAATCAAATCGTTTATAACGGCCATTAATTTGTTCCAGGATCCATCAAAGTTCGCGGCGGTTGCAGCCGCCCCCGTGGCCGCCGCCCCGGCCGCTGACAAGAAGGTGGAAGAGAAGAAGGAAGAAAAGGAGGAGTCTGAGAGCGATGACGACATGGGCTTCGGTCTGTTCGACTAAGTCCCGTATCGCTCGCTGGCCTGAGTGGTTGTCATCACCCACTGCGACGGAGGCCGTCAACGCCGCCGGGCTGGACACCCATATGGCGGCGGATGTGTCTTAACGCATTGTGTGCTTGTCAATAAACTCTTTATCATGAAAAAATATGCTGTTTATTTTTTAATCCACTACACTACCCCCTCCCTTTTTTCGATGATACGAATCTTAATGGCTCAATTACATGAGGTCGTTAGCCCGTATTCGGGTACACGAAAGACATTACTCGAATACGGGCGTACGCAACTGTTAATTTACGCTTGGTCGTTTACCCGAATTCCATTGGCACTCTAAGGCGTTGAGCAGACGACGGGGCGGGGCGGGCATTTTGTCCGCGAAGCAATAAAGACCGTGTCTGCCCGTCGATGTCTGCGGCTGCCCGCGCCGCGTACACAAAGCACACGACGGGCAGAGGCGGTCAGTTCAGGACGTTCGTTCTAGTGAATAGTCCATCACTAATAAGCGCGTGGCGCGGACTGAGCTGTCCGCCCCGCGCCGCCCCGTCTGCGTTACTGCATATAAACTGGTTTGTATGATCCACGGCGGGCAGCCGCGGACATGCCGCGCCGCCAGTGCCCGCCGGGCACCCAAGGCGCGGTCTTTTTGCCCTCTGTGTGCGTTTGTAGTATAGGATTCACTTTGTCCTATTATTCGCGGCGAAATTGACCGGCCCCGTCGTCTGCTAAGCGCCTTATTCGACCTAACGACTAAATGTAATCGCGCCATCAGACTTGGACCCTTTTAGACACCAAAATAATATTAATTTATTATAAATAAAAAATAAATAAACATAAAATAATATTATTATAAATATTTGTGACTGACGTTACATAGGCCTAAAGAGTAAATTCTCTCGTAGAACTACAATCAACAACGCGTAGTAGATTCGCGGTCGCTGCATGGGGAGAGTTTACCATTAATGGGGTGTACTTCTCGACAGAATGCCATAGTTGGAGAGATGGCTGGTCTCACTTGAGGCAGCAGTGAGACAGACGGGCGGGCGTCGCCCGATAAGATTATTATGCTCGGGGACTTCAACGCCAAACATGGCGTGGGGATCCTGATCACAAACCGCAAGAGAGAAGCGGTACTTGACTGGGTGGTGCGTCTAGGGCTGATTATAGCCAACAAGGGCACGGAATACACGTGCATGAAGCCGCGAGGCGGTTCCGTAGTGGAGCTAACCTTCGTGACGCCCTTCTTTGTCCCAAGAGTTTATGACTGGAGGGTGCTATGGGATATAGAGACATTATCGGACCATCAATATATTCGGTTCCAACTCTCTCCCCCAGCACATAGACAAACGCAAGTAAGTCAGGAGACGCACGCACTTCTCGCGCTGGGCTATTACCAGGATGGACCCAGATAGACTGGATGCGGCAGCATCTAATAATACCTACGCCTGTATGGTCATTCAGGCGTGGGTATTAGATGCCGACGACACTCAGGGAGGTTGATAGACGGGTATCCAAGTTTGGTAGAGCCTTGAGGGTGGAGTGTGGCGCCGCGATCCCACGCGTCAGAACCCCCCGACTAGAACCCAAGTAAGTATATTGGTGGTCGGAAAAATTGCGCGACTCCAGATGGTTAGCCTGGAGGCAAGAACCCTCCTTCGACGCTTTAGACAACGGGCCAGGCGAATACCAGGGGAGGCAGAGAGACTTCAAGAAGCTTACAGAGTCGCCAAAAAGACGTTAAAAGATGAGATTGCCAGATCAAAGATCCAGGCGTGGGAAGAATATCTGGCGGCCTTACCGCATGGTGAGGAGTAGGCTCTAACAGCAGGCTCCCGCCACAGAGTCGTGCGACCAGAAGCTGCCGACACTACCTCCGGCTTTGTTTCCGGGAATGGTACTGGAGATATCTCCGCTAATGGCTCCTCAAGAACTGGCGAACCCGGTACAAGCGGCTCCAGCGATCGCAAGGGAGGAACTTGAGAGGGCTCTTGAAAAGTCAAAGAAAGGGAGGAAGGCTCCAGGGCCTGAAGGCATACCGGGTCGTGTCCTCATCCCGCTGGCATTGAGACACATGGATGAGTACTTCGCCTCACTGCACTAGCCGCGAGTCTGCCCTGGCGACGGGTGGGCTTGCATTGCACAAGCTTCCTAGATGCTGATGTCCCTGATGCTCAGGGGCATCTCCTTTGGATGGAGTCTGCTTGCGGACAATCACCTGCAGGGCGCGGACAGTTAAAAACGGTTGCCGCGACCACACCCACAGTTTCGGCACGCATTGGGGGGACCTCGGTCCCCAGAATGCGTGTCGGGTGATCGGTGCAGGAGAATTGTCTGGCTTTTAATGGCCCTGTTCAGGGCATTACGTAGGGACCTGCTCCTTTCATCCGGCCCAAGAACTGGCTGAAATAAACAGCTCCCCCGGTGGTTGAAGGTTGCGTAAGGAATTTCAAAGACAAAAAAAAGGCGTAGGACACACCAAATTAAAAACTATTTACAGCATAATCATTTAATTCATTATAAGATTTACAATTTCAACATTCAAAAATATCACATTGAATTTCACTACCACTTCAATAAATAGATCAAATTTTAATAAACTTAAGAGCATTTAGTACCTAGCTAAAATATGTAGTAGTAGGCAGTTGCCATATTTTTTCGATAAGACAGCGATAGTCCTATTAATTATAGAGAGACATTTCGAACACCTGTCTAAGTTTCTTGCTTATAATGCAAATACGCAATTGACGCCACCGTTTACTTGGGTTAATTAACCAAAATTTACAAAAACTGCAATAATATACTTTTACAAAATGTGGATGAACATTGTTTAAAATAAGAAATTAATAGAAAGAACCAATGTGGAAATTACTAATTGGATATTTTTTCGCTTGCAAATAACTACCTTGATCCCTAAACATTTGCAGGCAGAAAATGTGTATTACAAAATGTAAACTAAAGTTAAATTCGGTCTAAAATGATGCTGTCACCTGTGTTTGCTAAAAAGAAGACAGAGACAGCATTACCAATGAAATGACAAATTCTAACTAGAATCCAACCAATATCAAGTTTTGCAATGCCAGTCAAAATATTGGTAACAATAAAACCCAAGCACAAAGTACACAGGTATAAGTGATTAGACTGATTTCTATAAAATTATAAGAATACAATTTACAAATATGCAATGAATTTTACGCCACTATCGTTCATTACACAATCAAGAAACTTACACAAGTTAATAGTTATTAAGGATACAAAGTTGGATATTACAAACGAGTAGACGAATGTACATATTACTTAGATTAAAATCCAGAGACGAAGTCGAGGGCTTATTTACTATAGTTACGAGATTGTAATACCAATCCGCTCGATTGTCATACAACGTCTTTCAACACATTTGCGAGAAAACATTATACGTAATTTAAGTAATGAAGCAAATTTTTTCTAATAAGGAAATGACGCCACGTGCGTGTGGTGATAATTAGAACTACATTTTTCGTCTTTTTTTATTTTTAGTATGAAAGTGAGACATAGGTATGAACTAACAGCGATTCCGAGGAGGTTCTAATGAAATTAAAAAATAAACCGTAAAGAATGCGCACGGTGCCATGTATGGGAGAGAGCGTAATGAATTTTACCGCACGCTTTGCTGTATGGCCCGTAATTTTGTATATGTGTACTGCAACCTTCTTAAATGCATTTTTCGAGCAAATGTGTTGAAAAGGATTTTCACAGTATAATACTTTTTTCATTTGGCCAGTCCAGAACCAGGTAATTAGAATGTCCTTGCAACCTTTTGTCATCATTAAATTTAATTGAACTGGTTCATAAATAGGACATCAAATAATTTAAACTTTAATTTAAGTAGGTAATTAATAATTAAAATAACTCACTTATTATATTTATTAATTACCTACCTACTTAAATAACAGGTTAATTACGAAGGTTTAATATAGTCAACGAACAAACCATACTTATTCTTTTTTATATAAATATTTTTATGAAAATATTAAGTAAATCTATTCATACCAAATAGTTAATTTACGTAGGTATGAGTACAGACTAATATGTATTCGTGCACGAAAGGCATTACTGAAATTCGGGCACCCGAAGCAATATTTACACTGGAATACGGGTTGGAAGACGGCGTCGGGTAAACAAACGAAAACTACCCGAATACGGGCGTACTCGACTCCGTTCATTTTCACTTGGTCGTTTTCCCGAATTCCATTGGTAATCGTAATCAGGCTAACGACCAAGTGTTATTGAGCCATAAGATTATATTCCTCTTTGGAGATCATTAACGGCAGCCCTCACATGATGGATAACAAAACATTTCAATTATTTTTAATAGGGTAACTAGTTGAATTTACTTAAACTTAAAGAAGGCAATGAACTTTAATATTATTGGTAAACTAAAGGTGACCGAATCTCAAATTTTGGACCCTTAAAGTAAATTAAAATAAAACTATAAAATATATGATGTGAAAACATCAAATGACGAAGAGGGAACGATTTCACGAACCTTGCTCTTCAGGGAGACAGCAATCCCACTCAGCGCGTATTACCGAACCTCTTAATGCAGATATGCAGACAGGAAAATCAAAACTAAATGCTTTTCTTTTTACAAAATTTGCTCTCAATGCTGAAGAAATAATTCATATCAGCCTAATTAGAACTGTGTGGGAGGAGCAACAAGAAGGTATCTGTGGACCCCTGTCCGCTTCGCCTAGCCACTGCCGGATTTAGGGGAGAGCAACCGGGGCGAAAGCCCCGAGGCCTCCACAAACGGGGGGCCCCCACAATAGAGACTTCGGAAAAAAAAATCTTTCAAATTCCAACTAGTAAACATCTTTTCAGTTCCGTTCGTTAACTCTAAGATTTAATTTCAGATAATTCTTGTTTCCTTTTATATTTATATGTGTTTGTTCAATACTAAGGGAATCTACTTGGTTTACAATAAATTATTTATTGAAAAACACGACTGAACTGAACTTACCCAGTAAAAACCAGACAATACTCCTGCACCATTCACCCAACACGCATTTTGAGTTTTTTTTTAATGCATAATAGGCAAGGCGTTTGACCACAATTTCGCCTGATGGAAAGCCATGATGAGGCCTTAGAATGGAATACGTCTGCATAGAAGATGCCTGTTCACTCTGGCCTTGAAGATGTCCAGATTATATTGGTCCGGGAAAACAGAACTCCCTAACCGTTCGTATAATGAAAGCCGAAGCAAGTCGCATCTTGCGAATGGGAGGAACGTCGACAACATAAGGATGAAATCCCTCGCCGCGCCTGTTCGTCCGGTGGTGGAAAGGGGAAGGAGGGATCAAATTATGTAATACCTCCGCATAAAACCGATAACCGGGGTCCCTAATGCATGTCGGGAGTGCGGGTGATATAGCGGCACTCTCTGTTACGAGATGCACAGACAGAAGAAGCCTGTGCACTCGGTCTGTTAGAAGAATACTTCCTGCATTGTGGTCTCCCCGGAGAATAATATCCGACAAAGGCGTCTAGTTTACCTCCACAGTGATGCGTCTGTGTATTATTATACTAATACTAGCTGACCCAGCGAACTTCGTAACGCCATAAAAAAGGGGCTGGCGGTAGAAGGGTGAAAACAAGTATTAAACATTTACATAGCATGCTACGTGCTATTTTTATGCTATTTGCTAAAATCATTTTTAATTTGATAATTAATAGCTGTGATCTGTAAAATGCCAATGTTTCTTCACTAAAACAACATAACATTTTTTTTAATTTAGCAATTTCCGGCCCACAAAAAAGTAAAAATATTAAACGTTTTTTTCATTAAATGTAGTTTCATTATACTTTACCAAGGCTTAGAACTTGCAGTGGAATTTAGAAATAAATAAATTCAACTTCACATGGAGTCACATTAAATTCCCTCATGAGCATTAGCATGCAGCACGCACGAAAGCCAGCCCTTAGCGCATGGTCTCGTATTTATCGCACAAAAGCAGCGCAGGAGCGAACGCAGCCGATTACTGGGATCGATGCTATAATTAGCAATAACTTATTTTAGTTCTCGAGAGTCCGGAACACCGAGGGGTAGAGGATCACGGATGTCGGGACGGGATCACTTCGGGGTGAGCACCTGGAGAATGGAGTATATCAAGGGTCGAGGACACTTAAGGGTATGGTAACGCAGGGATTGGGGGCACCTGAGGGTGAGAGTTCCTGGGTAAACAGACGAAGTTAGGTTAGTGTTACGGCCGGCCAGGCGCCAGAACGATATATTATTTAAAGTATTTTTTAATTAGACAATACAGTTTAGAGCCGTAAGACGGATTGTGGAACATCATTTGCATATGGCACTGTTTCGTTAACCTTCATCTTACCGGTACCCCGTGTCCCCCATGGCCCGACGCATGTGGCTGTGTGGCGGCTCTCATTAAATATCGTTTACAAAGCAGACTGTATTACCTTAAAAAAAATCAAGAGCGCTTCACTTCTGCAGAAAAATCATGTCACCTCAGTACGTCATTTTGTTATTTTCCGACGTATACGCGAAAGAAGTCGCGGGCATAGCTAGTTCTTTATATCCCGCAAGCGCAAGCTAGCCCGGGGTACGCAACAGTGGCGTAGCGTAGTGGGGGCGGCAGGGGCGGCCCGCCCCGGGTGGCACTTCTTAGGGGGCGACAAAATTTTACAATAATAAAAATATTTCAACCATTTAAATAAGAGGGCGGCAAAATTGTCCTTCGCCCCGGGCGGCCGACACCCACACTACGCTGCTGGTACGCAAACCATCTCATAGCAAGATCACTTCTTCAAATAACTCTTAGAAAACTTTTAGGCTAGCCTTAACATCTTAGTTGCCAAAACTTGTCTGGCTTTTATATTCTTGTCGGTGAGCGAGTATAGTTGCAGCAAGATAAAAGTAAACACTACGTTGACCTGTACATTCATTACTATTATGCGTTGGAATTGTGGCAGCAGTAATAGAGTGCACAACGTGCATCAGTTGAAGCAACAGTGACCATTAGGATAGATTAAGAAGCGTTTGGGACAAAACGTGCACCGGCCATGTTTATTTACACTCAAACATGGCTGCTTGTTAATATTTTTTCATTAAAGTTCAAAGCCTTGAAGTATTTAAGACCTGTGTAATAATACCTTATAAGGTAGGCATAAAACAGGCAACATGGTCATGACGGTCATCATGGTCATTTCAAATTTCAATAAATTATGATGTACATATACGAGTATATAGATATAAAAAACATTACACAAAAAGTAAAGATTTTATAAGCCCAATTCAATATCTGTAATGAATAATTTGCCTTAAATTAGGTAAATTATATTTATCATCTTTATATTATAAATAGACTGATTGAAACCCTGTTTTATAGTATAGATAATTTGGTAAAGAACTATTTAATTACTTTAGTAAAAATGAGCTGACATCCTAGAATATTAATGAACAACAAATTAAAATCAGGGGCAAGAGCTATTAAAGTTTTAAGCCGCCTCACATAAAGTTTATTTAAATGAAGGATCAGATGAATCCTTTAAATGTAGACATTGGTGGAGCTACAGATATTTTCTATAGGGTAGCTGAACTTACATTCATTCAAAAATAAATTTTTAAACTATATGACTCTCGAATTCTAGGTTGGGCATTGCCTCCCCAGTTACAGTAGATTATATAGAATAACAACGAAATTATAGTATATGTGACCATAGGTATTTTTTTAAGAAAACATTAAGAGCCTCAGCTGCGTTAAGCGAGAGCATGAAGCAGACGTCCATCGGGGAGATCCGTTCCGCGGGTGATGCGACGGACGCGCCTCTCGTAGCGCCGTCTGTACAATTTTAATTTTAAACAGTCGATAATGGATTATTTTTATTGATAATAACTACCTAGCCAAAAAACGACGCTGACAAGAGCACAGAAGTCAGCTAATTAAGCGTACCCCTTCGGCCGCGGGGCGGGACCCGCCTCACGCAGCACTGCTCTATGTTAAGACATGAAACTGCACGTGGAGCGGACGCCCGCTCCGTGCTCCCGCTAAACGCAGCGCAGGTTTACAATATCGATAACACACTTGGCTTAATAGTTCGACATTCGAAATTTAATTAATATAGCATTGATTTAAAGAAATGGGTCGAGTATTGCATTGTATATTTGTTTCTCAGGTTTTCACGCACATCACTCATTAAATAAGAGTATTGCACATTCTGACTCTTTCATTCATTTCACATAACCATAATATTACATTATAAACAGTAGTTACTTAATTAGGAGTTTCATTTTCCAGCATAAGTTTAAAAGATCCGTCGGGGTCTGTGCATCGTAAAATACGGAGCGAACTGCCCGCAACAATCGGAGACTTTGGATGAATCAAATACAGTGTTCCATCCATAAAACACCCAGGCCTATTAGTTGATATTCTTTCTATGCCATCCATAACTTCTATGCTGTACCAGCTTATAATAGCATTTGCAGGACCATCCTTCATTACAGGCAAAGTCACAACTTGTAACTTCGTATCAGTTCTAATTGAACCCATACAGAATTTATCAGTAACTGCAGAATATTCCAGAAGAGAAAAATCCATGCTAAAATTTTGTGTTACTTCATATTTATTGATATACTCTGCCACTCTATAGTTTTTGACATTTTTATCATAAACTCTATTATTAATATTTAACCATTCACTGTTAACCACTTGAACAATTAGGTTTATTTTGGCTGGCATAATCAAGCTCCCTCTAAAAACATGGTTGTTGTTTATATCATTGAGTATATCTTTGAGGCGCAAATCTATATCGCCACACATATCCAATATATTATAATACACTGCATGAAATCTTTCATGGCTGAATACTTCAGATCCCCAAGTTTCTCCAACTAAAATGTGAATTTTATGTAAAGGTAGATTGTGAGCTTTAAATACTTTCTTAAAAAACTTTTTATCACAGTCCATTCTTGCATAACAGAACAGTGATTGTACACCACGCTTCAACATTAACAACCCAAATACAGGAAATGGAGACAAGTCAACAATATTGATATGGGACATATCTGTCATTTGTCCCAAATAAACACTTGCCATTCCTATGCAACCTGATATCATTTTCACATTTTCCATGTCATTTAAAAATCTCATTGTTTCTTGTGAGATTCTTAAAATGGGTGTTGTACAATCATTAACCATAGTCAATTTACCCCCATTGATCAAAAATTCTGCATCAATAACTTGATTTTTCTTCACAGTTACTGGTATTTTATCATAAAATACAGCTTGCTGCCAAGCATTGGCCCTAACTTCAGATTTTGGATTTGTAGTAAGAGTTATATGTTTTGTCAAGTACAAATTGAACCACCCAATAAAAAAGTTGATTACACCATCTTCTTTTACTGTCAATTCAACAGTGTATGGTTCAGACCGGCTCAACATTTCTTGAATATCACGATAATCATTGAAATCTACTTTGAAAAGAGACTGGGGTTCTGACATGTATTTTAAGTCTTTCAGTAAACTAACATCTTCACAATCATAAGATTCATCTTCTGTTAGCAAATGAACATCATGAGTTATTTGTAGCCATTTTCTCACATCTGGAGTTAAGCGATACTTTTTATCAAGATATTCAGATTTGGCAGGAATAATAAAAAACTCAGCCTTGTTAGGTATAACCTGAGAATTAGGGATTGTAAAATATTCCCATGCATGGGCTAATGTTTGTAAAATATGTTCACCAAGTAATCCAGCATCAAACAATTCACTTACAATAAGTGATCTTTTTCCACCTATGTCCCTATAGTTCATAGTAGTAGACATTTTATTAACAATAACAATATCATGCTTGTTATTTCCTTGCGTGACACACTCAGCCATCCAAGCCATATGTTCAGATGCCTCAATACCAGTCACTGCAGTTGCTGAGCAATCAGTAGCAAACATTGCTAATATTCCTGTACCTGTGCCTATATCAAGAACACTATCTTTAAAGGGGATAACACTTTCAATAAGGGCATTATAATAAGCTTCATTGCGTATCACATCATTTAACATTCTGAAGTGCCATCGTTCTAGAAGAAGATTTTTAATAGAATTTAAGTTTTTTTCTGCATGTACTGATCTAGGATCTATTTTTAAAGCCTTCTGGAAATGAGCCCAAGCTTCTGTGTAAAAACCAAATTTGTACAGATATCCACCTATGTCATTCAACAAGTTGGAGTTGCTTGGATATACATCAATAGCCTTACCAAAGTTAGCAAATATATCTTCCATTCTACCAGCCCGAGCAAGAACTTCGTTGAATCTCATAAGGGCATTACGAAATTCTACTTCTATTTCATCTTTGAGATTTGGATTTTTATTCAGAGCTACATTGTAGAAATCAAAAGCTTTACCGTGGCTGCTTGTCTCTGTTAATTGCCTAGCCAAATTTAGATAATGTTGAGCTTCCTCCTCCATTTGGATGTGATATTTTTTAGTAGTAAGAAAAAATTAAACTCACATGTAGACCTTCCAAATGCAGAACACCAAGAGATCAGATAATTCAGTGCAAATAGTTGTTAATTCGTTATGTTATTTTAAGTTGTCCTAATTCAATTAGAAAATATTGATACTTCGGAGTATGCAGTGTCAAAAATTCACCGACGCAATTACCGGTTGATTTGAAAAAAATATTAGGAAAACACAAATCAATACAAGCGAACATACACCAGACATCAGAAACTGGTCGCGCGCCGGCGCGAATGAAATCAAACGAACAAAACAACATAGATTTGCTCAATTAAATCATTTAAATCAACCTCCAATAGTGATGCGATGCGAGTTGCTTTTCACTCGAGTAACTCGAGTAGTTTTTATATTACTCGCACTCCAGTAAAATTTTTGACAACTCGAGTGACTCGAAGTACGAGTAAAGTTGACTCGTACCACTCGGGTGGTTTATACCGAGCCGAGTGGGAAATTCAAGTTGTGACTAGTTTACCCGCTGTAGGTTCTCTATAAAATGACCTAGAAATATGTTTGTGTGAGTTGTTACTGTTTTGGGGATGTTTAATTAACCGCTGCTCCCTTCTAGCGGAACGGAATAATTAAACGACGATACGTCAACTTATCAGCACTATATTTGGAAAATATTCACCATTATAAAATACAATTTGTACGGACGAAATTTTTATCTGAAGTCTATTTTTAGAATGACAATTAAAAATTCAACAGAAAATATCAAAAAGAACTTAATTATAAAACTTAATTTCTAATGTGCCAGTGCCTACGGAATGTCCATAGACACTGGCTGTATGGCGACATGGACCAACTTTTAAGCGGTGCAAAGTCGCCACACTGTCATAAATAACCAAATTATGATTGAGTGTTATTAGTAAGTGGTGAAAATAAGTAAAATTGCAAAAAAGCAATTGGGTGGTAATTATTTGACAAAAATTTATACCAAAAAACCGTTACTTGTAAGTTTAGCAAAAAAGGTACAATTATTATGGTAATACAAGTAACTTGATTTCTCACATGAAAAATAAACATCCAGTTCAGTATAAGGATAGCAGTGGTGAATGTAGTTCGTCACAAGCATGTTCTTTGAGTGAAGAAAAATCATTTGTGTTCGCGTTCGAAAATTTTGGTCACTCAAGTTTATATTCAGAGTGACTCGAGTCAATAAAAATCACTCGAGTTTTATCTTCACTCAAGTGGCATTCATGTGATAAAGTTACCGAGTGACTCGAGTGAAAAAAAAAACTGGTGTCCTATCACTAACTCCAATGATGTGATGCGAGTGGGAAATAGGAAGAAGGAGCCATAGACGTAGGATTTGGCTATGGAAAAGTATGGAAGGAACATGGAACGGTACGCAAACGAATCGTAAAATACGTATAGTATACTCGATAAGCGAATATACTAAACAATACAATAAATGCCTTATGTTTTGATAGTGTATTTTATTAATGTTTTAAACAATTCCTTTGTCTATAGAGTTGCCTTTCAAGACATTTTTCATATCGATGTTTTCATTTCAAGACAGAGTTAATTGTAGGAGATATGAATAATATAATTTAAAATGATGAAATATTATATACATGTTGCATTATATGTTTATTTGAAGCAATTGAATGTTGGTCTGTAAAACGTGATAAATATCCGAAAATACTTGGGTTATTTCAAGCACATACATAATTTACGGGTATTGAAAACGCTTAAAATACAATAAAAAAAACACGACTGCCGTATAAACAAATGGAACTGAAGAGTAAAATATAAATACTCTTTTTCGGATAGGAGTATGTGTTTTTAATGCCGTTGGAGCAATGTTTTGTAACGAAAATTATGTCATTAACAGCACCCCAACTTCGTTGAAAAAAAAATATACCAACATTTCATTCGCCTATTCGAAAAATAATATTTATTTTTTACTTTTTAGTTCATTTTATTAACGGCAGCGTGTTATTTTTTTTATTAGGTTTATTTATAATTAGCTGCTGTTGCCCACGATTTCACCTTCGTGTAATTTGTTTATAGGAGAACCTTATTTATAGGTGCTCAAGTAGCGTGGTAAATAAAATGGACACCTATTCATTCAAATAAGTCTAGCCGTTTAACAATAGAGGTAACAAATACGCACAAACTTTCACATTTACAACATGATATGTAATGTGTGATATCCCACCAATATTAGAAAATTGTCAATGTCATGTCATAAATCACTTTTGACGTGACAACGTCTTAAATTAGGTTGCGGCTGGGAGTCACTTATGAAAAAGTGTAACGCTCGGTAACGTTACGATGAGTCTCTCGTGTTAAGTTTACATGTACAATGTTTTAGTAAACAAAATATATTTCTATAGTTAAAATTTGTGCAATTCTTATTTTCATTCAATTCCTTGTTCCTATTGTGCAATTTAATTATATTCATATCAATAAATATTCTACCGAGAAAAAGACGTTGTCACGTAAAATCTTCGCCCGTAAAACCGACTTTACAGGCAACCATTTTTTATAGAATATCGAAATATCTTCACATAAACACTTGTGTTTATAAAGATACAATGAGCCTTGGGGCAGCACTATGCAAAGGCACCGTTTTAGTTTCCCAGTAATTAGGTATACAGGTTTTTTTCGAAGGTATCCAATCTCCATAGGTTTCAGTGCTCAGACCTCCGCGCCGATCACCCTTACTCTCTAACTCATGCTAGTCATGGTCACGGTCCCTTAAAATTGGGTAGTGTAAATCCCGTTTATGGCCTCCACCCCACACGTCTAAATCCGGTCCTACTGGCAACACAATAGAATTCAAAATTTCAAATTGTCGATGACAAATATTTCGCGCTATGAACGCTGAAAGTTTTGAACGCCGAAAAGCCACATTAGTTTTTCTTAGTTGTGAAACTGTTATGAGAGAAAAATCAGCAGCAGAGCTTATTAGTTACTTGTATTAATGTCTCATTATTTGTACACTGGTTTCCTGTCCGGCTGTTGGATGCGTTTCTTGCATGTTTCTTCAGTACCTTCATGCGGTCACATAGTAAGGTAAGGTAATTGCAATGTAATGTTTATAGAGGAAAGTCTGCTTAGGGCTCTTAACACTGCTGAGGAGCATTAGAGTGTCGTGACTTGGCTCTGCAGAACGAGTGTGTCGAATCCATGCTGCTGAGGGGCACTATAGAGTGTGGTGACTTGGCATTGCTAAGAGGCATTCGCTTCATAAACTTGGCCAACTATTAATAATGCATGATTGAAGTTCGTAGCTGATAATAGTCTGGCTCACTCCCTGCACCTTGAGATGAATGTGTAAGGTATACCTATGATTTGTTATGCATTATACCTAGTATTAATGTGACATTATCACAAAATGTAACTATTCTCAGCGGATGTGTTTTACAACTTACCGGGTATTGGGGAGTAGGTACCATGGGGCTTCTATGGTTCTTCACAGCTGGATGAGTGATCGAAGCCCATCATGTGGCTGTAACAGTGGCGTAGCGTGCCTTGGCACGGCCCCGTATAAAAATTGTTTGGGGGCCCTTAGGAAGGGTAAAGATATCTCACAAAAAAAGTATGCATAAAATTAAAAGAAATATTTATTCATCATAATTATCTATCCGTCACTTTTCCAAAATTTTTATAAATAATCCAAATTAAATATACGCGGGGGATGAAGTCACTTGCGTCCGTAGGATTTACCACCTTTTCCTAGGCCCACCCTACACGTGTCCCCTGGGTGGTGCAAAACAAGTGACAACGCTGAGTCTCAGGCGGTGGTCTTAAATAACCTGATCCCCATAGTTTACTCTATGGCGGCTTACAGAAGCCGTGAGGATTAAATACCCTCAGAAAGTCTGTGTGCAATGTTCTGGGGACACATTGCAACTATCTACCCAACCTCTTTTTGTATGATGAATTCGAGTAATATTTTATGTGATTTGCCATGGCCCCCCGGCTAGCGACCGGTGCTCACGGGTACCCGGGCCTGTGAGTGAGAAATATGTTACCGAAGACTGTGAAGTAGTGGGTATCCAGGCTGCTTCCACAGTTAATGCTACTGGTCAAAGTGCAGTTAAAGAGCCAGGCTCGAAAACTATGATGCAGCAAGTTTTTCACCGCAGTTTCTTCATAAACAGCAAAACAAGACATCCCTCCCTTGGAGACCTACAGGAGAAAAATCGCCACTAGCTCCTGAAAATGCTAACAATACGGAACAAGATAATAGTAATTAATTGATTGGCAAACCGTACCAACTCTACGTCGAAGCAAACGAAGGAAACTTAGTGATTCACCATCACCATCACGTTATCACGAGATCCAGACACAGAACCGAATTAGAGAACTACAGTTAGATGAAGGAGAAGATAAACCAGCTAAAACTCGCCAAAAGCAAAATAAACCTCCTCCAATCATGCTTTATGGAATCGAAGACCTAACAAAACTCGGGTCTATTCTAGATAGGTCTGAGTACAGCTATAAGATCATCACTAATAAACAACTACGGATATCGTGTAATAGTGTTGAAGCATATAAACAACTAATACAGCTTGTTAGAGAACATAAGCTTATTGGACACACTTTTACAAGAAAGGATGAAAGACCCTATAGAATAGTGATTAAGCACTTACATCACAGTACTCCTATAAGTGCTCTAAAGGAAGCTATAGAGACTACAGGAAATACAGTTAAAGGTGATATCGTCAATGCTAAATATAGACCAGATAGGATCCCATTATCTACTTTCTTTGTAAATCTAGAACCCAAACCTAATAATGGTGCTGTAAAACAACTTAAATATATATACAACACAGCAGTAGTGATAGAAGACCCAAAACGGAAAACAGTATTCCACAATGTAAACGGTGCCAACAATATGGCCACACACAAAACAATTGCATGCGCCCTTATAGATGTGTAAAATGTGCAGGAAGTCATAAAACTATAGATTGTAAGAAAAAAGATAGAACTACTCCTGCAAAATGTGACCTTTGTCTAGGACAACATCCAGCCAACTATAAAGGGTGTGAAGTATTCCTAGAAATTTATAATAGGAAAAATAAGAAGAAACCAAATGTGACCAATACTAATTTAAAATCAGATCATACTAATGAAAAAGGATATATATATAAAAATAAAACAAGAGAAAATAAGAAATTTGAAGATACCCCCACTAAGAAACTATACGCTCAAAATAGAACCACTGACAAAACCTACGCACAGGTAGTACAGCAAAACGAACCAAGTGACTGTCTAACCAATAAACTAGAAGACTTACTCACAAAACAAGCTGAGAAGCTAGACGCTCTAATTAGCCAAATGCGAACTCTTATGAGTCTGTTAACAACAATGCTTACCCACATAGTAAACAAAAGATTCCCTTAGAATAGCAGCCTGGAACATTAAAGGTCTAACAGGCCATGTAAACGAAGTAGTTCACATTATGAATATGAACATGCTTGATATAGTATTAATATCGGAATCTCACCTGACTGATAGATCTAAACTAAGTATAAGTAAGAATTATTGCATTTATTCAACCAACCATCCAGATGGAACTGGTCACGCAGGTTCTGCAATAATAGTAAGGAAGAAGTTGAAACACCACGTATTGCCGCAATATCAAACAGTACATATGCAAGCCACAACAATACGCGTGCAATGCAAACAAAACGACTTGAATATATCCTCAATCTATTGTCCGCCTAGGCCAAAAATTAACTCAGAGGCGTTCACTTCCTTCTTCTCTACCTTAGGACCAAGATTTATTGTAGGAGGGGATTGGAATGCAAAGCATGTAGCCTGGGGATCCAGCAAGACACTAACAAGGGGTAGAGAACTCAAGAGCTGTATTGATAAAAGACACTTTGGCATACTAACGACTAGACAGCCAACATATTACCCTTTTGATCCACTACGTAACCCTGACTTGATAGATTCACCATCACAGAGCACTACATGAAAATTGTAACAAGTTATGATGGTGCCTCTGATCATGTACCAATCATAGCCACAGTTAGCACTACATTAATCGAAAGGCAACATATTTACAACGCGAATACCGATTGGGAAGCATTTAGAGAGTACATTGACAAGAATCTAGACCTTAGAGTTCCTTTGAAGACGGAAGATCAGTTGGAAGAATAACCGAAATTATACAGACAGCGTGTTGGCTAAGTACACCAGCTAACCAAAGCAAAACTAATAAATATCACAATGTGCCTCTTGCAGTTAGAGAAATGTTACTACATAAGAAAACTTAGAAGAACCTGGCACAATACCAGAAGAATTGAAGATAAAACTGCTTTTAATATAGCATCCGAAAAATTGAAACAATTTCTGAAGGAAGTTGAAAATGAAACTCTTCAGCAACGCCTTGAATCTCTTTCGGCTGGAGGTCGCGAGCATTAAAATTCAATTCAAAATTCAAACTCATTTATTCAGTCTAGGCTGTTACAAGCTGTTGTGAAAGTCAAACGCTACGCCATCGGTTCGTAAATCTACGGCGGGAGACCTTGTACTGAGAAGAACCGGCAAGAAACTCAGCAAGGGCTATTTTTTTCTCCCTGTTTTGTTTCATACAGTGTCGTCAATTGAAAGATGACATCAAAAATTGAATACATGTGTTGATGTCAACTTCCATCACATTAATATTATTAATTAACAAAAGTTAAGTATAGCTAGGAAGAGATGAACTAAATATTCGCTTTCGCTCACTCCTTTGGATAATGGGAAGACACTCGCGTCTCAGTTTGAATAACAAGTTTCTCATTTATAACGCGGTATTAAAACAAATTTGGACTTACGGCATCGAACTTTGGGGTACAGCAAGTAACTCGAACCTAGAAATCCTGCAGCGATTCCAAAACTCAAGTGTTTCGCACCAGTCTGAATGCTCCATGGTTTGTGAAAAGCACAGAAATGCACGACTACTTGCAAAGCAACACTATCAGGGACGAAATAAACGCTATAGCTAAGCGCTATCAGGGCAGACTTGTTCACCATGTTAATAAACTTGCGGTGGCTCTCACTGATTTTAGCAAACACACCAAAAGACTCGACAAAAATTTATATATCTGGGACCAATAGTCCAGTAGGGTAAATCCAATTTCGAGAATGAGGTAAACAGCCGAAGCCAAATCGGCTGGGCAGCGTTTGAGAAACTATGCGATGTCTTCTCGTCCGAAATACCTGAAGATCAAGCTTTTCGAACAGTGCGTGTTGCCAGTGATGACATTCAGAAGTGAGACGTGGTCGTTGACTATATGGGCCTTATAAGAAGGCTCAGAGTTACTCAGCGAGAGATGGAGAGAACTATGCTCGGTGTTTCTCTACATGACCGAATCAGGAATGGGGAAATTCGTAGAACTCGAACAACCGCCATAGTTCAACGGATCGAAAGCTGAAGTGGCAATGGGCGGGGCACGGTTTCGGCGCACCGATGAACGTTGGTCTCCCAAGGTGCTTCAATGGCGATCTTGCACCGGGACGCGCAGTGTTGGTAGACCCCTCATCACGTGGACTACCGATATCAAGCAAGTCGGGGGGACTCACTGGATGCAGCGAGCACTGGATCGTTTTATGTACAGATGCAGCCAACCAACAAATATGGAACCTGTATTCTCATTCACAATTTGACTATGTCCATGATTTGAATATAATTAATATTATTTGACATGGTTCACTGCTTTTCGGTAAAATAAATTGATTCAACTCAGGGTAAACAATTATATAGGAAACTAAAGCTTATTTGCTTGCACTAATAGTATTTATCAAAACAGTTGACCAATGTCCACATTCAATAACAAAATCCTTTTCACATTGGAATGCCTTTTTAAAATAGCTCACTGTAGGGTTAAGCTCTGGTGAAAATCCCAACTGCCCATATTTATTATAACCTGTTGTCCATATTGAATTATCTTCAAGCATTATTGCAGTATGTCTTGAACCACAACCAATATCTTTTATATTCATATTAATTTCTTCCTCATTTTGATTTAAAATGTCTACCAATGTGGGAAAGGGATAACTTTTAAGTCCTTCTCTATTTAAGACTCCTTTTGTGTCTGGATGCCTCACACCAAGCTGGCCACTATCATTCCATCCCCAAGTGTACAAGTCCCCAAATTCACTAAGAGCCAAGCAATGCCATCCTCCAGCTCTTATTTTAATAATTTTGATGCCAGCTAGTGCTTCTACTTCTGTTGGAGTTTCCAAGTTATCTAAATTGCCATGTCCTAATTGTAGTCGTCTGAAATTGAATAATAAAAACCATGAGAGCTGCCAGGATTAGTTTAAGGGAGGTGTATATGACTCAAACATACTATGTATTTAGTATAAAATATGAGTAGAATATATCTCGGCATGTAATTATGTGTAATTAATCAAACATTTTCTGCATATTTTTAAAACAGTTCTAAAGACACCCATGCCATTTTGTGAACCTTACCTTCCATTTCCCCAAGTATAGACATGACCTAAATCAGTAAGCAATATAAAGTGTTCATAGCCACTTCTGATATCACAGACTTTGCCTATGCAGTGACTTGTGTCCAAAAGACTAGGTAAAAGTCCATTATAAACACTTCCATCTGAAGTCAAACAGAGACAAGAATTGTTTGTTAGGGCAACTTTAGATATGTTACTTTCACTTCGCATTCGTTTAGAACTGTTTTCTAATGGTGCTTCGGTAGTCAAATTTATTTTTCTTGAGCCTATTTTCTTTTGCAAATCCATAATCCACAAGAAATTATATTTTTTATCAACAAGTATTATGTTGTAGTCATTGCCAACCATAGTGAGATTTGATTCACATGCACTTGTGTAATATTCCTTTGGTAACTCTACTTTCACAACTTTGTTTTCTTTACAATTCCAGTGTCCCGTTAAAAAAAAATCTTTCCCGAGTTGGAAAATATTATACGACCAACATATTTGCAATAATTTTGCAGTCTCTATATCAAAGTTATTGTAGTTATTACAATTCCTTGTTATTGAGCGAAAATCAGAAATTATATGGTCATCCTCTAACCACTGTCCAAATAAATTTGTACCAGTTATTCTATACATTTTAACTCTTTAGCGCGTTCCTTCTACTTTTTTTAATTTTATGGCTTCTGGTTGGTTTTGTTTAGATTTCTTGAATTTGTTAAATGTTGCCTTACACACATAGTACCGCACAACAACATAATCCACAGACTACAAGACATAATCATAAAGTCAAAACAAAATGTCAAAATTAAAAAAAAAACATCTGGAGTACGTTCCATACTGTTCCGAAACTACCCATGCTAAGGGGCTTCCTAACACGGGTGCAATGAGGTAGTTACAACAGAGGCCCTTTTTTATACCAGCCTTAAAATGTAATATCTGCACTTCACTTGGCTATGCGTATTTGCTATTTAAAAACTTGACAACATTCATAATAAAGAATGAAAAGGACAGGCTGATGTCAAGTTTGTTTCTTAAATTTTCACGCACACCATTCATTAAATAAAAAAAGATTGAACGATATTGATGCACTGAATTATTTATTTAGGACATTTCATTTGATTATTTGATATCAAGTTTACAAAATAAATAAGCAAGTGAAGTGCCGGAATTAGAGATTTGGCAACACTGCTCCACTGCTCTGCTAAAAACTCGTCAATGGCCAAGCCGGTATTAAAGGTAATATTTTACAAAATCTGCAATTCCTTATTGAATTTAGATCAGTTGGTCATTCAAAATGTTCAAGTTCCTGTTGGCTGATATGTGATATGTGTCCAAATTGTGTAAGCAGATGTTGCTGTTACGAGTCCCATGAAGCTTGAGAAGAAATCAATATGGCCCTCAAACTGGGAAAATGCAGACTCTGTTTGAAATTAGGGGACTTTTATTCCATCTTCACGGTCGACAATGCCGTGCAACTCGCCGAGATGGTCATGGATTGTGCGAGGGTAAAGGTTAGTACTATATTTTTGTCTGATATTCACATTGCCAAGACACTGTAATTTTCGGCTGAATCACAATAAATGTTAAAGGTTTGGTTAGGGTTACATCGATCGAGATTTATAACGTTTGTATTGTTTAAGCTGTCGAATTTGATGTGATATTTTGTTGATGTTTTGTTAATATTCATATTTATTTGCTCATATCCTTTACTTTGTTTTTGATTAACCTTTTCTTTACTTGAGAAGAGATTGAAATGACACTATTCATACCTGTTATTTATGATACGTCTTCAAACTATGTCTCTGATCACTGGCTGAATCTCTGAGGTTCATAAAATAATCACAAGAAGATATCAAAGCACTAAACAAAAGGTCACACATAAACCAACTGTTCAATACTTCATAACTTTTATTGTATTTCTAATGTTTTATTATGTGTTAGCTTTTAGTTCTAAAGGTACTTAATTCCATTATATGTAATTGAATTTCGGGGTAATTTGTAGGGGGGGTGGAGGGGGGGCTTCCCCCGACCCCCCCGCCATAAAAGATTTTTGGCGGAAATGCAGTTTTTTTTTTACCTAACCTAAAAATTCATTAAATCTGTTAAATGTAGTGGAATTTCAGGGGGATAGGTATTAGGGAAGACCCCTCAGAGGGAAGGGTAAATCCCCCTCCCCCCTCCCGGCGTTTTTTTACAGAAATGATAATTATAAAAAATTAGAGGGGTTTTAAAGGTAAAACTGTACTTCCAGGGCCTAGAGATGATATTTGATTTTTTTGTAGAAAAAGTCTCTATTAACGAATTTTTCTTTCTGGCGCTTCGCCGGCCGCTGCCGCGGCACGCTCGCTTCGCTCGCTCGGCTCGCGCGTTAAGGTCACAACACTAACCTAACCTAACCTAGTGTGAAGTATCACCACACAAGCGGCTCATTAGAGTCCAAAACTCGCACTACACTCGACTCTTCAGGCGAAGGGCCAGCAGAACTCGAGGTCGAAGGCTTTGAGGATGCCATGGTAGTCAGACGACGTTAATATCAACAGGAGTACGAAAAAGCTCTCAACTGCGACGAACACAAACACTGACTGACAGATCTCATTAATGGCGGTAAATTGTCACATTTTGACAATAGTACCAACATAATAAACTTATATTTACCATAGACAACGAGAAACATGTTATTTTTGCATAAAAAAATGGCAGCACTGATCAAAATTGCTGTCAAAATTGACTCATAACCTACAAAAATATTAATTTTCAATAAATTTTTTTTCGAGTTCTATTCGTTTCCGCCTAAAAAGACTTCGTGTACGTGTTTTTAATAGTTAACACTTTGCGTGACAAAAATTTCAGCTTGCAACTCAATTACATATAATGGAAAGCTGAGCCGTTCTAAATTTAGATGAAGGGCAAATAATCAGGTGTAACTAGCCACTATTTTGTCAGTTGTTCGAAATGAGAGTATCACTAGAACTGTGCAATCTGTGTTTCTTCAATATTGTAGCTCCGTCACTTAGTTTCCATCCTAGTTAAATATTTACTACTATGGCTAGTAGCTCCCAGATTTTGAGTAAATTTTTGCCAGTTGGGATGCGCAACTCAATTTAATGGGTTGTTTGTTATGTAAACTTTAAAGCTATGCCATTTACTTCCAAAATTCATGATATTTTATTTTCCCAAGTAGTAACATCCAGATCAAACTTCATAATTACTAGTCTAGAGTTACATCCTGATATAATACTAACAGAACCAAAGGGAAGAAGGGAAGGTGAAGGAAAGGGAAACCAACACAAGATATTCATATTTATTTACAAGAGATGTAAGGATGACATAGTGAAGCAAGCGGAGAAAGCTTGGACAAGGCTGGCTAGGAGGAGGAAAAAGTGGAAAGAGGTGGAGGAAGCCTTTGCCAAAAGGCACACACAGTTAGAAGAGAAATAAAAATTATATAAAGAACTAGCTGACTCGGCGAACTTCGTACTGCCCAAAAGTAATAATTTGCAATAAATTAAAATTGCGACTATAATTTGAGATTTAAACTATCCTATCTCTCAAGTTGGATCGAACTGCACATGGTGTGCGAATTTTATTATAATCGGTTAAGTGGTTTAGGAGTCCATTGAGGACAAACATTGTGACACGAGATTTATATATATTATAAGATTAAGATGTTGGTTCTCTGAATAAAAATACTGACTAAAGTAAAAGAAAACAAAACTGTTTTTCTTATAAGCTGGCAAAAAGTACAATCCTAAGAAAATAAACAAGAAATATTCTAATACTCACTGCTGTATAAAGGAAAGCGTGTTTTTGAATGGTTGTATCATGCGTTTATCAACTAAAATATCATATTTAAAGCTTCAAATATAGCAAAACAAGATACTATAAAGCAGTTGCTGTAAGTTGAAGCTAATGATGACAGTTCAAGATACCTGCTCTGCCAGTTTACGAGTGAGGTAACCCAGCTTGGATGACTGGTAATGCTTGGTACATTTCAGAAACTCCTGCATACATATCTATACAGAGTGGTTCAGCAGTAGCAACATCATCACATATTCAAATTTGAATTTACAACTGCCAGATACAGAATTTTACCTTATGAGCCCTTTCACATTTTTTTTTCCATTTCACCCTTAGAAAAGATTTTGACTATTTCTAATAAAAGTTAACAGTAGATTTATTCTTCCTATTGTAAGTTAATGTAGAATATTTGCATATACTTTTTTCCTTTTTTTTGTACTGATTGTTCTACTGCAGCTAGTTTGCGGAAAAAACGATAATATGCACAACTTCAAACGCCTTAATCTCTCAATAATGTTCAATAAATTAAATCTAAATAAAATTACTACGACATCAGAAATATGTTTTTGTTGTAACAATGTATAAGAATTTTGATTTTCCATCTCATTAATTATCAAAAAAAACATCTAACCTCAGTGACTTTTCCAAAAAAATGATGCAGGTTTACCTCGTATTTTGATATTGACCTAAATAGAATTACTATCTAAAACTTGCATAAAACTAATCTACCATCATTGATCTACTGAAATATGTATATTTTTCTATAATTAGTTCATTAATAATTATTTTATAAGACTCGAAACATCACCCATAAAATGCAATTTAAACTAGTATAAAAATCTACCTACGCGCTGCGCTGATCAGTGCGGCAATCTTAAGCAATAATGCATCCTTTAAATTTCCATTTCGTATTGAATTTTATTAAAGGTAAACCATGTGTGTTTGAGAGCATGTGTATTATAAAAGTTAAAAGAGAAGTCAGTAGTAGTTGGTTAAAACAGTTTTTTTTTATAAGTAGATATGACAAATGATTGTACTCTACCCTCACCTGATGTTAAGTGACAGTGAAGTACAAACACGAAGATAGTTGGTGCAGCTGTTTTACCTGCCACATTTCTTTATACAATGGAACGATAACTGTTTGCTCAGTTTGTCTATTGGAACCCTACTGGACTCCCAGAGATTGCATAAAAATCAGAAAACATCCCTTACACTACCCTGTTTGATCATCTAAGTATAAACCATGTCAATTCCTACTACTTTTCTATTTTCAGGCTTCATATCGCCCATTCTATCTTCTATAGAAATGCCTTCTTCGGCTGGCACTAACAAGCCTGTATACCAGGTACATTAACAGTGTCAACAGCCCAGGCCCAATCAAACATTTTTCCAAAGTATTCACTCCACCGTTTCAACACTGTTTATCAGCAAGAATTTAATAATAGAAAAAGTTTAATTTTTCCCATTTTCCCATATTTTCTGTTTCTAAGGACAATACAAAACCAAAATTAACTGAGCTTTGATATATTATTAAAAATTTTTTTTTTTTATATTGTAAATGGGTTTAGTCAGGAATACTGATTTGATGAATAAGGAATTTAAAATCATATTTTGTGGGTTGAATGAGGAATACAAATAGGTGTGTAAGAAAAAAAATCCAGGCAGCTTCTGGAATACTACGAAAAATCTGCCTCTAAATTACCACAGTGTCAAACGTCTCTGACGTCACTAAGTACGAGGAATGAAGAGAGCGATGATCGGGTATTGTATTTTCCTGCGCTATTAAATCAGATACACGAAATTCGTTAGTGTACTGAAATAATCGACTTGGCTCGAAATCTTGCTCTGCTGAGGTAGCAGTGGGTGGGATACGTACCAATGGATGTAGGGACAAATAAGTTCTCGACTGGCAACCACGCACCGAGCAACACTCAGAACCCCACGGTGGACCAACGATCTGGTCAAGCTCACGGGAAACCGCTGGAAGAAAATAGCGCAGAACCGATCGGTATGGAGATCCTTGGGGCAAGGCCTTGCCAGCAGTGGGTGTCGTACAGCTGACATGGTGATAATAATGACAGGGTCTCGTATAGATTGTAAAAAACAAATATTCTTTTTTTTACTTTTAGAGTTAGTTAAAGAGTTTCATAGACAGACGCAGCCTGCGGTGGCGGCCAGTTGCGTTTGTTTACAATGTAAGAGAGTATTCAAACACGAACGGACATGACGCGGCATGTGTGCGGCTGGCTGCGGCCTCTGGCCCCACCGTCTCCGCCGCCACCGCATATCTGAGGTCCTTCCATACATGGGCGGGCCTAGGTATAGCGAGGCCCTAGGCGACAGATCTTTGCGGAGTCAGACTTTTCCAAAAGGATAGTTATGTTTTACAAGTGAATTCTTTTATATTAAGGTTATTTCTTTGGCATGCTCCGTATCCTAAACGACTTAATAGATTTTGGCTTGAGATGTGTCGTGTGATTCTTCTTGACATTAGGAATATCTTTCGTTCAGTCAAGGCCACACACTAAATCAATGATGAGCCCGACGCAGATGTGCCTCTACAGACCCGCGCCGAGCCTCGTATTTCACCTTACTGACATGCCTAACTATAGGATCTATGATTGGATTGCCACTAACCTTCAGGCGGGTCATAATCGTAATCTACCCTTTCCCAGAGATGTCCCCTAAAAATGTTCGGGATAAAGAGTGAATAAAGATGATAGAAAAGTATAGCGTTTAGTTACAACATATTGCATAAATACGTTTTGAAAGTAATACGGAGAAATTGATGGAAAAAAGTATCTTCTACTAAGATACTGATAAAAAGTATTTAAATACAAGTCAAATTTCAAAAAAAGTATTTAAAATACCAGATGAAAATACGTATTGTATCTTAGATACTTTTATTTTAGACAAGTCGCATCCCTGCCCTTTCCACATAGTAAAAATCATTTAATTTGGCGATATCGTAATATGTTTTTTTTTATTGATAATCCGGTACTGATAACACGGAACACAATCCACTAATAATCTCTGCATGGAGTAAGTACCTGGGTTTACAACAGAACTGCTAGATCGGGTAGTGTACGGTCGTCGTACCGTACGTACTTTTTTTTGGTTAAATATTTTTTATGAAATAGACCTCACTGTGCCTAAAAACAATATGTAACAGACCTGAAATTCCGACATGGTCACCTAAAGAAAATACTTAAAATGGGTGTTCCTAAACATTTATTAAATTTTAATAATATTTTTTTCCAGATATATGAAGGAGATGGGCTGCCTGATAAAATATGCTCTGAGTGTGTACAAAAGCTCAGTAGTGCTTACATCTTCAAACAACAATGTGAGAGATCAGACCAGGAGCTACGGCGAAATTATGTACCTCCACCTGGTAATTGTTTACTTCTTTGTAACGTTTCTTTCTTTTAACATCAAAATATTTGTAAAACAATGTTTTCTTAGATTTTGTCGTTTCGAACGCTCTTGATATACTTAAAGCTTCTTCACAGATGTTTAAAATGTAATGATTTTAATTGCTCGTTTTAGGATTTTCCTCTACCCCACAACCTCCCAATAGGCAAAGTAGCGACTCTGCATTCTCCACTCACACTGAAGTCTCTAGTCTGACTAAACCATCGTCGTCCACCGAAGGCATCACAACACCGGCAAAACGTAGCCGGAAGCGCAGTCGTGAGAGCCTCGATAACACTTCGGTCAGCAGCAGATCGCATGATTATGCGCCACCGTCCAAGCGTGTCTCAGAACTCCGAAAGTCACAAAAAAGCCGAAATGCTGATACTAGCAATAATTCGTTCATAGATTCCGATTTTGATGATCGCAGCGTCTCCCAATTCTCAGGTGGTGAAACAGATTCGGATGAACCGCTTCTTAAGAACCTACACAAGTGCAAAGAATGTGATAAAGCGTTTCCTTCCATTAGAGGTCTCATCAATCATGAGAGAATGCATACAAATGCGAAAAAGGATAAAGTAGACAAAAACCAAGTTGTCGATACCCCGAAACCTGTAACTAAAGATGCTACAGATGACGATGACAAGTTAAGCTGTGAAAAATGCGGAAAGACATTCAAGCTTAAGATAATGCTGAAAAGACATTATGACACATGCAGCGGAAGTACCCCTCAAGTATCACCAAAGAAAGAACTACTCATCTCTTTAGAACCGATTGATGGGAAGAAACAGAATACTCACAAAGTAGAGTGTGAAATATGTACGGCTAAATTTAAAACTGCAGATTATTTAGAGAAGCATATGAGAGTAGTCCACGCCGCCGTTCCCAAAAAAAATATAGGAAAAACTAACACACAGAATGGAAATTCATCAATACCTTGTCTATACTGTCAGAAGGAGTTCGACGATTACGACATGCATTGTGCCCACTTTAACGTTTGTACAGAGAAAGTCGATACTGCTATTTTCGAATGCCCCGTTTGTACGAAAGTGACATACAAAAAGAGCGCGTATTTTTTACATTTAAGAAGTATGCATTTCGCGTTTCTGACCGCCAGCGCCGATAAGAAACCTTCAGTAGATACGAGTTCGTTGAAGGAGTCGTTTGACTGCCGCATGTGCAACAAGAGCCTCCCCTCGCAGGAGCAGCTGATCGCCCACCTCTCCACGCACATGTCGCATGCCGACGACCCCGACCCCGATCCTGATGTCACCATCGTGTGTGACGATGAATCCAGGTAACTTTTATACTTGTCAACATATTGCCTTATAGCTTTATACAATGTTCACGTCCCTTGACTGATGCTTTTATTTCAGAGCCAGCACTATCGATGATTCAGCGTCCGTTGCTTCCGAAAGCAATTTCAGTAGTTCGCACGTGTCTTTTGGACCTTTAAAGTGTCGCATGTGTGACAAAAGATTTAAATATAAGAAAGCTCTGGAGACTCACGAACAGAGACATGCCGAGGAAGATGTGAAAACTGAACCTCCAGATAAGGATCAATCGAGTCTTTTGTGTGAAGCTTTGTCTGCACCGCGTCCAGATGTAGAATCGGAATCTAGTCAAGAAGAAGGCGACGACAACACTTGTGATATATGCGAGAAGCAATTTTCTTACAGACGTTTACTCATTCAACACAAACGCACCAAACATAACCAATGTTCTGGAACGAAACGCGCTAAGATCAATCTGAAAGACTGTTCCGTACGGTGTCTGATTTGCGATTTGGAAATGAAAGTGAGCGCGATAAACGAGCACAACCAAAAACATATATCTGTTAATATGAAACCGAGGAATCTATACAGCTGCGCACTTTGCGAGGAGACGTTCAAGAGTTGTAGTGCTTTGGCTTCTCATATAAAGTTTGTGCATCGACTGAAGCAACCTCCGAAACCGAAAAAACCGAAAATGCTGGAGGGTGGGTCCGAGCTGGCGGATTTTTGTGAAGTCGTTGTGACGAAAGCGGAACCCCTGGACGTGCTCCAGAGTCACAACGACTTTGGCGAGGTTCCGGGCACCGGCGCGCCGCTCGTCAACATGAGTGGCTTCGACTGTCCCATATGTCAGAAGAAAATGCCGACGCTCATATCTCTGAAGAGACACGTCAATTGGCACTCCAACGTCGGCAACAACTTGGAGAAGAAGATCGAATGTTTCGTGTGTAAAGAGGTAAGAAAATGTCCATAGGGTCGATAAAAAAAAACATAGTTATCCAGTTTGTAATTAATGTTTTGATTTTTGTTTTCAGTCTTTTCGGTTTCAATGTCACTACAAGCTGCACATGCGCGAGCACTACAAGGATCCGAACCTAGACCCGCAGCACCTCACGTGCCCCATCTGCGGCCGCAAGAGCAAGCACCTCCGCGCCGCGCAGGCTCACATGAACTTCCACAAGCAGACTCGCTTCAAGACCAAGGACTACCAGTGCTCCATTTGCAAACGAATATTCCAGTATCGAAAAGTCTACTTGTCGCATATGGTGATACATCTGAAGCGCGGCGAGAGCGTACAGAACACGATAGTGGGCGATGCGCTGCCCAATTCCGTGGACAAGACAGTTTTCGACGGAACCCACACTTGCCACCTCTGCGGCAAGGTTTGCGACTCTGAGAACTCTCTAAAATGTCACGTAAGGTGGCACAACTCCAAGTCGTCGCTTTACGGCGCTAGACACGATTGTCACATATGCGGATTGGTGTTCACCAACAAAAGAAGGCTGGAGCTCCACACGAGGACTCATTATGAAGACGATAATGGGCCGTTCAAATGCACCATATGCGGCAAAGGCTTTATCGATGAGGATTATTTCCGTAGACACGTCAAAGGACACAATTTCGATCATCAGTCACATAAAAATAGAATAGATAAGTTGAGGAAAGACAAAGTGAAATGCCCGATATGTACTCGGTTTTATCCTGACTTGGTTAAACTTATACGTCACTTGAGAAGAACGCATCCAGAGAGTAAGATGATAAAAACTGACCCAGACGCGCCGCCACCGATCTATTATTCGTGCAAGCTGTGCGCCAAAGTGTTTCTTGATGAACGGCGACTACAAAGTCACGAGGAAGCCCATCTCAGGAAACCTTTGTTCTTTAAGTGCAAATTCTGTGGAAAAAACACAATATCATTGAAAAACCACAATATACATATCAAGTCGCACTTAACGAGAAATTATTTTGATAATCCTCTAAAATGTACTCAATGTGATGAAACTTTTGTTAAAGGTTACGATCTGCATCATCATTTGCGTGACGTTCATAGCATCAAAGAAAGCTGGATAGCAGAGCGAACAGAGCAAACACTAGAAGGTCCACTGAAAGAGCTGCAATGTGCAATTTGCTTAAAAGTCTTAGCTAGCAAAGGAAACTATGAGAGACACATAGATTATCACAACACATTGAGATGCAACTACTGCTTTGTTTACTTCAGCACTATGAGATTCCTAGAAGGTCACTTGGCATTCAACTGTGAGAAAAAGCAATTAATCGGAGATACAGAAATATATCCAAAGAAAATTAAATGCCACATTTGTTACAAAGCTTTTCATTTGCAAGTAAAACTAGATTGCCATCTTCGGATCAAACACGATATAAAAGTTTTCAAGGAACGATCTTCTGATAAAAAGGAGACTGTGTGCGATTACTGCTTTAGAGTGTTCGAGAATGAGGACGCATTGACTAATCATAAGATCTATCATCGTACTATTGGCTATTACGGCTGCATATACTGCAAGAGAAAGTTCAACACGCTTACTGTTTATCGGAAACACAAGAATCATCACTTTTCTCAGTTAAATGTTGACAATCCGACTAAATGCGAACACTGCGACGAGACTTTTGTCGCGTTTAGAGAGATGATTTACCACATGAGGGACGTTCACGGTGACGATAAAGAGTGGATCGTTATGCCCAAAGATTCCATAGAGGAGACTTGCCACATATGCAACAAGAGATTCTTCAACCTCCACCGACATTTAGATTATCACCAAGAGAATAGATGTAAAAAGTGTGCTGAATACTTCTTTTCTAGAAACGATTTCGACAATCATTTATGTGCCATAGAAAGTGATGACGAGGACCTGCAGGCCAACGGCAACGATTGCTTGCCAGCTTACGAAGAATGTAGGTTCTGCTTCAAACCAGTGACAAGATCGAACTCGAAGAAATTGCATGACAACATCCACAAGACGTCTGGTGCGATTTCGTGCCGGTTTTGCGATCTCAAATTCAAAACTATGGACGCTTTTAACATTCATGCATTTTCACATAGAAGCAGAAAGTATAATAAGAAGCCGATAAAATGTCGCAAGTGCGGCGAAAAGTTTGTCAAGTATGGTCCGTTCATAAAACATATGAAGTATGTGCACAAGTCGACGAAGAAGGTCCATTACAGGGCCGTAGTGAAGCCAGAGAGGTGCGTGGTGTGCGGAGACGATTTCCCGAATCTGCACAACCACTACCGAGCACATTTGCAGAACCAATGTCAGCAGTGCAACAAGTATTTCACCTCGGCAAAGGTGTTTTCGATGCACAAGTGCGGTGAGGAAGATTCGGATCCGTCGAAAGTGTTCGTGTGCGACGAAAACCTATCAGCTCTTATCAACGCGTATGTGCCAAAGGATTTGAAAGACGACGAAAAGTATTACGGCCGAAGCGATGATGAGGAGGAAGAAGTGGAACCCGAACAACCGCCAGCGGCTCCGAAGAAGCGCGCCAGTAGTAAAGCGGCCCCCTCAGCCAAGACTGTACCGGAGCTCAGCCAAGACGAGAAAGATTTGCATTTAATGGTATCATCCCCGATAATCTCGGACGTGTTGTCGCTTTACCAAAAGAAGGAACTAGATGTAGATACAAAACGAATTGTCGATGATAAGGATATAGTAAACTTAACAGACGATGACTCCATGGATATAGATGTTAGTATACCTGTAATTACAATTGATTAATTAATACAAACTTTGTGTTAATATTATACAAAGAAGAAAGGGATAATAGTCGAAAAAGTGGATCAGTGTTCTCCCTCAGTGCACACTTGTTATTATAGTATTAGGCAATTTTTATATAGTTTGACTAGGGAGTCTCTTTTACAAGTGCATGAGTAAACAATCAGCTGATCAACTATAACTGCCGCTGACAAAAGAATATTAAGTTTATTAATTATAAGTACCTAAATAGCTCTTTAATTGAACACTGCTTCTTTTTTTAATTTTTTCGCCTTTAATTTCTCAGCCGGCATCTAAAGAAAATATTCCCTTTAACCACATTTAAAGTGAAATATACAGTTAAATGATTGTAGCCAAGCTATGATGTAAGCACAAGTACAGTTAACAAAGTTTTTTTTTGACATTTATAATTTCTAAAGAAATTATTATTTGATAAATTAGTAACTAAGATTTAGTAATAACAAACTGAACAAACTGCTAGGTTTTCTAATTCTTAAAATCATGTGTATTTAGTATCGTGTAACGAAGATTATATATCGGTCAGGGTTAGGGTTAGGGCACAATATAGTAACAGGGGCTAATAAATCAGATGGTAATTGAAGTAAATTGTTTCACGATGGCTGTGAGACCGATCATGCTGCTGCTTCGTTATTCCAATTTGAGCCGTGCGGGAAAACAACTAAAGTCGAGTTTCAGTTGTTTTTTCAAAGCCTGTTTCTTGCATTTTTAATGGTTTTAACTGGTATACTATTAAGTAAACTATTAAGTTTTAGCGTAAGGATTCTTAAATAAAGATATTCTAAGTTTACTATAAATTCTAAGTATTGTTATAAATTATGTACCTTTCAACTCTATGAATAGCTGGAAGATAGTAAGGGGCTATCTGTAATTTGAATAGATATCACCAGTGATCGTATAATCGGCCGCTTATTTTCTAATAAATTACCGAGTACCGATATAGAGTTGCTTTAACCATCATCCTGTTAAAAATAAACATCTATACTACTCTAATGTTTACTAACATCTTTTATATATTCTTATACATAATGTATTCGTCTTATTTTTTTTTACATTTGTAGAAAGGCGTCGGTACCGAAGTACTGAGACGCGATAGTTTGAATTCGAAAAACATTTTTATTTTTATGATGATGGTTGTACAACTCTGTGCATGTACTGTACTTTCTTGAAATGTAAGTGCCCAATTATCCAACCACTAGATTATTACTTAAAATGTTATATTATGTATGAAGTAAGATGTAACGATGAATCTTCACCAGCTATTTGGCTGCCATATTTGTGATAGCATGTAAATGTAGACCACAATGAGTGATTACGCAATGTAATAACAGATATGCAATTCAATGTAGGCACTTGTGGTATGATACACAAATGTAGTGCACAGTTTCCTAACATAATTATTGTGTACAGTTAATCGTGAAATTCGGAAGCTTAACCTTCGTGTATATTAACAAATTATTTTGGGTTTATATGTACCTTGGAAGTATCCCTTTTTAGAAAGTTTTCGGATTTTAAGGATGTATTTTGTTTTATACACTGCATGTAATATAGCTTAAAATAGTATTCCCTCTGGTCGAAATTGGCTCATTGTGATTTTTTTCTATATTCGGAAGGTTCTCTATATAAATATTAGGTATAAATACTTAGGGAAATATAGTATTTTTGAACTGGCAACATTAAAATGTGGGATCCGTATATACGTTACGTGGTGCATCATTCCGGCAAGATTATACAAGAGATGCGTTTTCGCATGTTTTAGCTGGCGTGTAGTCTGCTCGGTGTACTAGGCGTCATTTATATGAGCATTGTGCCGTATTTGTATTTAAAAAAATACTTCTGTAGCATGCCCATACATTTTGCCACCCGCGGTTACCCGCCCGCTGAAACGTGTGAGGAGGCATCGGGCCTATAGCTATTTATCTTTGCCAAATGAAAGATTATTTCTAAGATAAGTATAAAGAATAGTGTTTTAATAAGTTTATAGTTGATTATTTAAAATATAGGATTTCGTATTAGTCAATAAATGTCAATCCTCTATAGATGTTTTACGTGTGCGAGTGTGGATCTAATTTTATTGAATCTATGGAAAATAATGAAAATATTTTTTTAGGTTTCCAGGTTGTTATTGTTTATTTTTTTCTTTTTTCTCTTGTAACTGAACTGTAATGAATGAATGATGATAATGATTCTTGTCTGCGTAATAATTATAATTTTTAGTAATATTTTTATTCCGCTATTTGTTAAATAAATGTTTCACTTACATTTTTTTTCTACATTCAATATTTCCATTCAACAACGACCAATGACGTATAATATTATATAGACAGTTTATTGCATTTTAAAATAGCACAAGCGGTCCCCACCCCAACTTGCCGCCAATAGAGTGCACTAAGTAGTCTCTTTCACTCGCATTCATAAAGCAGTTTATATCTCGCTCTTCAGCCTCTATGGCCCGTATTACAGAATGACAACTAAGTGTTGATCTTTACTTGAGTACAGTTAGAAAGGGATGTCGCTATGTGCTATATTATAGCGACATCCCTTTCTAACTATGCTCAAGACTAGATCAATCACTGAGAATCTTTCTATAATACGGGCCTATGTGTAACGGCCGATTCATTTGATACGCGCGGCTTGAGACGGACATACATGCCAGACTGAAGCGCGTACATACGCCATGTGAATGCTTCAACCGTGCGGCTATATGAACTACGCCTTAGCATCCATCCAAAGTTGCTGAAACAGAAATGGATGTCAGGGGGTGGCTAATAATAGCGAGATTGCATATTTATCATATTATAGTAGGGGAGCCCAAGCGCGGATTTTTGGATTTACTCGAGCGCGGCAGAACATCATATGGATAGCAACCTTGCACCTAGTTACGTACTCCCACCATACCTGAGCCCTCTATGTAGGGCCGAACGTCTAGGACAGCAAAAACAAAATTTCAACGAACGGTCATGACTTTTGGTTGCGCCCAAATCGTCAGTCTTTTGATAAAGCCACATGAACCCTCATATAACGTTTCTAAGAACGGAAAAAATATTGATTTGCCGCGGTTTGCATGATATGGGCCGTACGAAGAGGTAGAATATAGGAAAAAATAACCGAGCGCGACAGATATTGAGAAGGGATTACGTGAACCCTCCAGTACCTCCTATTCAAAAGACTGACGATTTGGACGAGGTGCAAGGTTGCTCCCCATATGTTATTCTGCGGCGCTCGAGTAAATCCAAAAATCCCCGCTTGGGCTCCCCTACTATTATATAATTCAGACAGCCGTATGATATCGAGATCTCGCTTGTAATACCTGTTGCATTCCTTAATCTGCATCTGAATCTGTCTTAGATCTGCTGTTAATCAATCGACGGCTGCCGCCGTAAGGTGGCATTGCTGCAGTAGCTGCTCGTGTTAGCCTAAGAGCGGCCATACACTGCTCGAGCAGTTAGCCAGAGATCAACATACCATACACGGACCACTCTTGCAGTCAGAATCAGCAGTTTGCAGCTACCATGTCACCGCGCTGCCGACCGCCCGAAGCATCCGCAACAGCGAGTGGTTCCTATTCCATGTAGTCCAGTCGGCATTCACAGCTTGAACCTGTCCGGGTCGATATCATCCACCCCGGTAGTCCCGCCCCGTTAACGGGACAGTTGGAAAAAAAAAACCATCGACCCTGGTTGATCAGACCCCGCCGTTAACGGGGTGAATGGCATAGATCAATTATCATCTAACCCAGCGTGTTTTTTTAACGAGGCTGTTAGCAGAGATTAAGTAGCTATGGCTTGTGCTAACCCCGCCCTGCTCGGTTAGGAGTTTTATTGATTTTTTACAAATAGGGGAAACTACCCAATCATTGGCACTCTTCCTATTATTGGCACTTTTGAGTTTAGTTCGAAAAACCAGGAAACAATACATTATAGGAATAATGCTGCCAATTTTCAAATTTCGTAACCATACTAGGTTTTTCTTTTTAATATGTAACGACCTTGAATAATCTATTGTCTCCTTGTTTTTTTCGAATTAAACTGAATTAAACTTAAGTGCCAATGATTGGGTGGTTTCCCCTACATTCCTCGCTACGCGTCCGCACATCTCGGGGGAAACAGCCTGATTGCATAGGAGAGAGTTAGGATAGAAATTAGAAAATTTTCCACCCCTTGATAACTTGATATCATGATGCGCTGCTCGCAGGACCGGATTTAGTGGTGTTGATTCCCAAGGTGCCAAGGGGGGGGGGGGGGGGGGAGATCTGGCAACCTAGGATCAATTACGAATTGAACCCCCTAGGTGGCGACCCGTCGAATTTTTTATCTATGTACTGGAGCCCGTATATAATCGGGTGCACGAATAACATTATTCAAATTCGGGCACTCAAGTATTATTTACACTGGTATACGCGCTGAAAGTCGGGCAATATCGGACAACCAAAACGAATACGGGCGTACTCTATTCCGTATATTTACACTTTCCGTCGTTTGTCGTTTACCCGAATTCCATGGGCACTATTATTCGGGCTAACAACCAAGTGTAATCGCGCCATAATGAGAACTGACATGCCTTTAAACAAAACACATAGTTGTAATGAATATATTTTATTATTCCGTCAACGAAAGTGTTACAGGTGGTATAATTATCATTATTATTACTGTTATTAGTTGAATCACTTCGCTCACCTCGTATCACGACAGTAACAATTAAAATAGAAAACAAGTTTTAATATTATAAAAATAGCTTTGCGCTTTTTTACAATATACAAAGTGCTAGTTAATTACAAGTGCTGACATATTTAGGTTAAATTTACAACATAACATTTACAAGGAAATGCTTTTAACAGTCTTAGGACCTGAAAAATGTTTAATCCATTTAATAACTAGAGAAGAGGAATGGTAGAAGACAGTTAATTTTTGAAGTGAAACTTCTGTTCAGGCGGGATTTATAAATGGAAAAATCCTATGGAAAAGAAGAAACGGAAATGCGTCACACGACTATAATATATATATATATATATATATATGAGTTATGCATGCGCTGCTGAATACCCCTATGCCTTATGCACCGCTTAATGTTAGATTATTTAAGAAAAGAAGTTTCACTTCAGATGTGTGGTCCGTGCACACATTATTTTTTCTGTTTAGTAGTGTCGAAGTCAGTTATTAGAATACTTTGTCAATAAGGGATTATGATTTGAATCTATATATGATTGAAAACATCGATCAAAGTTACGGTCGATAAAAACCATTATAAATATTTTTTTACATACATAATTAAAAGCGCTTGTTATTTATATGTCGAATGCGGAACAGAGTGATATTTTCTCTTAATGAATCACAAATATTAAAATAAATTTAA